TGGAAATATAGATTTTTTTGATAATCTTACTTTTGAGTTAAGGAAATTTTAAATTTGAATAAATATTTTAAAGGTAATTTACAACATTTTTAGCTGTTTTTTATACTTTTAGAGTCCTTTTCTTAAGTTCTCTTCATAAACCATTACAAAATCTGATACATTTGTTAGGAAGTTATCTCTTAAAATGTAAAAAAAAGTGGATTAAAGATAAAAATTTCTGTTCCATCATCTTAACCCCTTCTAAACCCTTCCAAAGTGGCAACCGCGTTCCCAATCCGCCCTGCTCCCTGCTCGACTCTAGCTGAGAATGGTTGAACCGTTTTGCTGCTGCCGCGGGATCCATCCATCCGTCCGCCCGTCCGTCCGACCTCGATCCACTTACCCCAATGATCAGGTTGAGCTCCTGCATGGTCACCTGCTTCGCCCGCTCCACCGCCTGCAGCACTTGCTGCTGGTGGTCGGCCTGAAGGAATGGAAGTAGCTGGTTGATCAGTGTGTTCAGCCGCTTGGCGATCTCCGTCTGCTTGTGCATCTCCACGTTAAGGCCATAGGACATCTCGTAGTACTAAAAGGGGGGAGATAAGATAGCAAAAGACATGGCATTAGCTAAGGGATCCCTCGATAATTTGCGAATCATGACGAAGACTTACCATAACATAATGGCGCTGCATCTCCGTCTTCTCGTTCGACAGCTTCTCGCACTCCAATTTGATGCTGGAATTCACAGGAAAAGTGATCAACGGGCAAATTAGTTGGGCGACGGAAGCGAACTGAATTTGAGAACTGTGAAGAGCAGCTCATCGCAAGGAAGCGGCGATTGTGGAGCATGGAGCATGGAGCGCAGGTTAATCCTATCCCTATATGACAAGCAGGCGGCGCATATGGCGCGCCAAACCGGTTTGCGCTCAGCTCGAGACTCCGAGCCCAGCTTTTTGTTTTACTTTTCGCAAAACGCAGACGCAGCATCCACACTCACACAATCGCACACAATCCCATGCGATGGCGGTACAGCGAAGGCTTAAAATGTGATTTCTTTGGGGCATTGTAGAAGGTTCTAATAGCCTTCGTTTAACCTCAACCTGATTAGGGCTTTGGATTCTAGGGAAGAATTGGTCATGGTTTATCTGCCTAATTCGTAATCAAGTTTGGTGAATTACAGATAAATAAGTTATGTTGTTTTCTTAAAAACATTAATCATTTAATCTGGTTTGGTGGAAAATATATATACTTCGGGATTGAGTTCAATCGAATAAACATTAATACTATCTTGTAATATGGAAATAGTAAATAAACAAATTAGATCAGATCTCAAATTTAAACATTATTTATAAGTCTACCCATAATTATTTGCTGTGATTCTTGGAGTCACTAAAATAATTTGAAGGTATTTATGAGAAATTCCTAAATATGATTTATCTTTGTTAAAAAATTTAATGGGACTACTCCCAGGATATTTAATTTCTGTAAATTTGTTATTAACCATCCTCAAAATGTAAAAACTTTTCTTATAACTGATATTCAAATTAATATTTCCTGGCATTTTGAAATTCAATTGAATCATACGTTTCTTATAGATAGATTCTTATATAGATTTATAGATTTCTTATAACCATCCTCAAAAATTGAAGAACTTCTTATAACTGATATTCAAATGAAGTACAATTAATCCATACATTTCTAAATTGATTAGATAAAGGGATTCCTGAGTTTTATATCCTTTTTCAAGGTATGATTCCCCTAGATCTGGATACTTGCCTGTGGTACTGCGCCTGCAGGAAGTTGAACTCCTCCTTGATGCGCTCCAGTGTGTCGGCGATGGTGAACTTGATTGGACCCTGAGGTGGTGGTCCCTGCATCAGGTGGATACCGCGGATTAGGTGGTCACATGGCGAGGTGGTGGGGGAAGAGAGACAACAGAAACACAATTAGCACGGATTTGGGGGTCAGAGGTTGGTAAGTGGGTGGGTGGGTGAACTTACCCCGGCGGCGGGGTGGCGCACCGGTGAGGGATACATGTTGTTGTTAGGCTGGTATGTTGCCGGCTAGAAAAGTGGCGATAGCTCCGAGGTGGACACCGATTTGCCGGAGCGGAAGTCCTGCTGCTCCTCCTCCTTCGTTCGCCTTCCGTTCCGCTTATCCCTGCACTCCGCTCGTGGAAAATCCCCGTTGAGACCCAGAGTTTTCTCTGCCCACGATTTTATGATTTTTCTTGTGTTTTTCTAGCTTTTCTTAGCTTTTTTCTTGTATATTTTCAACGATGGCAGTTTATCCGCTTTATTATTTTTATTCGTATTTCTCCCCGCTGAGCAGACGGAACCGGCACTTAGTGGAAGTCCATTTCCCGGCTACATAGCATTCTGCATATCCTGCGAATGGGAATTTTACAACAACATCAATCATACAATTTGCTTAGTTATGCTTTTTCCATATATATTTTTGCACCATTTTTTTCGGAAACGTTCGCACGCACGTACATACGTACGTACGCACACAGGCACGCGGAGCCAGCGAGACACACGCACACTGGCGCAGGAAACGGGAGCGAGGGTACGAGTGTGAGTGTTTACCGCCGAAAAATCAAGCGCACAGTTGCATGTGGCCCCCGAAATTGTTACGCAAAATCACTGTTCGATTTTTGTGGGCCTCCACTGGGCTTAGCACCGATTGTTCATTTATGGTGCACTAGTTTAATCCAGGGGAAAATATAGCACTTTTCTTTCGTAAAGGCAGCACACTTTGCACAAACAACATGCGAACATATACAGACAGACTGCAATTAAACAGGGTTGCCATGCTGCTGGCACTTTTTACTTTTCTATGCACTTTTTACGATATTCTTTTCATTTTAATGTTTATAGTATTTAAGGATTCCTTGGTTTAACGGGCACTAACTTTATTCTCTTCAATTTTATTTAAACAATATAGGCAATGTGTTTCTGTTTTATGTGATTTGCGCGATAGGCGGCAACTCTGCTACGGCGATACGGGCACATACATAGAAACCAGCGAGTGGCCAAATCACACACACACACGCACTCGCGAGCAGCGCAAAAGAAAAATTATACTGTGTGTCCTATACAAAAAATAAACAAAAGCAATTAAAAAAAGCGAGATAATGGCAGTACCCGTTTTATGCCCCGGATTAGCACGTTTTATCGGGAGGTTCTCCTATTTATAGCACTTAAATTCCAGCTCTCGGGCCTGGTAATTCAATCATTTTCGCCACCGAAAAGTGGGTAAAATATTTTTTGTAACTTTTCGCCCGTATAAAATTGCCTGTTTTTCTGCCGACCGACCGCGAAGTGTCTGAACATTCGTGTATGTGTTGGGCAGCTTTGGCGGCGGCGCTCTCTCGGAAACACACACACAAACACGCTCGCTCTCTCTCTCCGGCTCTACTACACGCGCACTCGCTGTACAAACGCGGCTTGTAAATGGCGTTCTCGCCTCAAAAATATATATTTTTGCAACAATTTCGGCACGCCGATTTTCACCTCGCCTGCACTCGAAATCCTCGCCGTTGGGGGCAGCTGGCAATTGGGTGGCGTTTGGGGCTTCGGCACTGCCCGTTTCTATTTATAATTTCCTATTTTCCTATTTCCTTTCCGCTACAGGCCGCGTCGGTTTTTTGGTTTAGTTAGGGATGTGAAAAATATATCAACATATCGATATCTGCTTGATAAAAATAAATATTTGTATCGTGATATTTTTGTAGCGATATATCGAATTTCGGTGATTTTTAAAATATATTTTTAATATTTCCAAATAGGTGAGATGTTTTTATATTCTGGATACTCCCTAAACAGTTGAAAATTAAACCAAAAATTCCAACAATATAGGGAACGACTCTGAGCTTAAATAATAAATACGTCCTGGTGATAATAGAATGTTGTAGAGTTGTCCGGTCTTTCTTATAAAATAAGGTGACAGCGCCGGATTTTTATAATTCAACAACCTTGAGGAATTGAACTGCTAAAGTTTCGGACAATTAAATATTAGTGGAACAGATAATATAAGCAACAATTCAACAGCTTTGGGAATCCCCTAAATTTTTTCATATTCCCAGTTTAGAGCCAGAGTTGCCACCTTATTTTATAAGAATGCAAACATTTATTTATTCAAATGTACCGGTGAAACGCCAGTATGTGCCGACAGTGCTTAAGCAACTAATTTATTTTTAATTTAATTTACAATTTACCTTTTAGTTCCGTCTGTGATAAACTTATAATAACATTAATATTAAATAATTTATAATTTATAATAAAAAAAAATAATTATAGTTATTGCTTTTTTGTCAATCGGTTCTGTCGTAATTTTTGCTAGTGACCATTTTTTATATGGTCAAATTTTTCGCTTTTCATATGATAAATATAAACGAATTTTAGTGTGAAAAACAATTGTGCTAACGACTTCAAAGGATCAATTATAAAAAACATATAAAAACTAAATGATTATAATCTTATATTATTTTAAATACTTTATAGATAAATAAATCATTTTAATTTTTACATTTTTAATTTTGAATAAATAATTTTTTTAGGTTTTATTTTTAGTAAAAGTTGCGTGGGCGAAATACACCATTTAATTTTAAAAAATTAAATGTTGAAATGTTTGTGTTTGTCGATAGATTAATTTAATTTTATTTTATAAAGAATTTAATTATTCTCGTATTATTATGAGAAGACCTCTAATCATCCGCAGTTTGTGGTGGAGATAATTGATAACTCCTGTTGGGCATTACAGGTAACCATTCCAATTGTCAACTCAAGGCCTGAAATAAGTGCTGAAAGGTAGAATTTCCCCATCCCAAAAACCCAAAGAAGTAAACTGTTTTGAAATTCTTTTAAATTGGTTTATATTTGTTTTAATTGTTTTGCTAATTGTTTATCATTTTGCTAGTTGGTTGCCATCACAGTTGGGCTATCACAGATGCGTTGTTGGTTGGTTCTTCCATATATCACCATTGCCTTTTTCTACCACTTGACCCCTTTTTCTAGTTTCTACCAGGGGCGCCACAGGGGCTGTTGTTCCATGGGCTGTGGCGAGGGGGCGGGGCTGTCGCAGTCGCTGTGATATCCCGAGGAGGCGGGGCTCAGAGGTGCCTTCTCCATCGCAGAGCAGTCCATTGAGAGCTGCTGAGAATCGGTCTGGGCCTCGTGGAACTGCTGCAGGTTCTTGTAGATGCGTCCCAGGTGAGTCATCACCGACTTGCCCAGGTCGACGCTCATGCCAGGTGTGGAGGCCATGACACGTGACACCTCGTTCACGGCATTCATGTAGCCGTTCTTGAAGCTGTCCAGGGGCAGGGAAGGCTGTTCCACCACCTTCTTCGCGGCCTTTTGCTGGCGCATAAAGATCACCGCCGACTCGAGCATCTCGGCCTTGTCCATGCGCAGGATGCCGTCGTCTCCTCGCAGTTCGGCGACAAGTGTTTTCAGGTTGTCCAGACACTTGTTCATGCGGGCACGTCGCTGGCGTTCCAGCAGAGGCTTCTTCACCTTCTGGTAGATCTGGGTCTTGCTGGTGTATTCCATTTTTTGTTTTGGCTTGTTTTACGTATTTTTGGAAAATATATTTTAGAAATGTTTTTTCTTTTTCGGCTTGGTTGTTGCCTGCTCGATGGCGGAATCGTGAGTGATATTCTGCTCTCCAGAGGAGCGCCCTTTTATACCAGCTCCCTGGGCCCTCGAAATCCACCCTCTGATACGCACCTTTTCTTGCCTCTCTTTCGCTCTCACTGCTCAGAGCCTCTCTTGCCGTCTCTCTCGCGGCAGGAACAGCTGCATTTTTCGGAGGACGGAGGACAATCCTTGTGGCTCGTGGCGTGGGAACCGAGCTGAAAGTAAGTTTCTCACACAATTTTTTCTCGTTTGTTTTCCCTTTTGGCCACATGCTTCGCTCCGCTTCGTTTCGTTTCGTTTCGTTTCGTTTCGAGTTTAAGGATCAGGGCACATTTTTGCAGCTGTCGCTGTTTTTGGCCGTTCGCATTGCTTTCTGGGCCGGTGTTATTATCCTTAATGCACACTTCACTGCCTCATCCTGTCGTTTTTTGTTCTTGTTTTTGTTTTTGGGAATGGGAATGGGAAAGTACGTAGCCGGTATGTGGGTAAATGGGATCGCAGGAGACTTTGGTTGTGCGTGGGCTGCTCTTTCATTGTTATCCTGCCGTGCCATCTACTCGCTTATTGTTTCATCAATGCCTGCAGACGATGATGGCATAAGCCCCCTACTCCAAAAGGGTCCCAAATCCGATCAAAGGAGATCCTCTTTCCGTTCCCACACTGCCCCGTCGACGAGTGTTTATTGGACACAATTAGTGGATGTGGCATATTGGCTTCGTGCCGGGTCGATTGGTTGCCCGTTATTGTTGTTGCTGGCTGTTTTGGGTAGCCTCCGCTGAGATCCCTGTGTTATTGGGTGGTTGGCAGGGGGACGTGGGTCAAACGGGCGCAGAAAGTGTGCCCCGCGTGCCAAACTCGTGGACGAGGTTGAGTACTCATCGATCAGGGGGAAGTTGGGTGAGTCTTGTGCCGGAATGCCTACCTATGGCATGTATCTGACTCCCTAATTGGCATTTAATAGGTGGAAGGCTATTTTTCATTAATCACCTGATTAGTACTTTGGGATTTACTTATTAGAAAAACATATGTTAAATGGGTTATGTGGCTTATCTCCTTGGAGTACTTTTAATGATGGTAATCTTTTGGGAGAGGCGTTAAAGGATTTAGTGATACTAGAACTGATAGATGGTATGGGGTATATCCTCAACCATTTGTAACTGCCTTATAATATGTCACTTGATTTCATTGCTACCGAATCTTTAGTTAAGTTAATTTGTTTTTTTAATATACTTTCCCGTCAACACAAATAAGCAATTAATAAATGGTCAAGTAATACTCCATTGTTGATTTCCGATAGGCAAAAGATATGAACAATTCCTGCAGCTCTTTAAGAGTCAAAGGTTAACAAGATGTAAAGTGGGTTGGGATTTATTTACTAGAAGGAATTGTTTACCGTTTGTAGGGATGCCTACCTAAGGGAATCATGTCCCTCCCTTGCAACCCCCTAAAATATTATAATTCTTTCATGATTAATTTTATTGAACAGGGGATAGGTACATGTCTTGGGAGACTTCATAGGTAGTAAAGTCACATTTCATTGATTGTTTTAATAGGCAGGGATGTTCACACTTCTTAGGGAGTCACAAATTAATAGGATGTAAATAGGTTTAGGTTCAACTACCTACCTATGTTATGCATGTACCTCCCTTCCAACCCCCCAATAGATGATCATATTTGATTGATGAACACAGAAGGAAATACTTAAACGCATTTAAAGATCTTACATAGGGGCAAATATAATAGGGATGAGTGGTTTAGAAGTGTGCCGAAATTGTCTACCTTTCTTCGACACTCTAATTGCCATTTTATTTGAGGACCAATTTAATTGATTATTATAAACGGTCAACAATAGAATACAATAGAGTGAAAGATGCTATATTTTGATACTTATCGTGTTGATAGTCACATATCTTTCTAATTGGCTTGTAATATGTGGGAATGTTTAAGTTATTCATTTGAATGTGGTGTTTTGTTTATTTGTTTATTTTTAGAAAAACCAATTTCTAAATATAAGACAGTTGTCATAATTTAAAGAAAAATGTATTTAATATCGAGCCAAGTTGAGAGATTGCCACTGGTTTGGTTTTGTAATGATAAATCCAGCTTTCTTACTGTCATCAGTTATCATGGTGTCTTTTATAGTTAAAAGGATCAATTTATTTAATATCGAGCCAAGTTGAGAGATTGCAAGATGGTAGGGGTTTTATAATAATAAATACATGCTTTATAACTAAGAGCTCTATAGTCGAGTTGGTATCCTGTATCTAATACCCGTCACTCCGCTAAAGGGAGGGGAAACCCTTGTTGGGGTGGGGTCCCCAAAAAAAAAAAAAAATTTAAAAAAAGGGGGGGGAGGGGAAAATTTGTTTCCTTATAAATCGTATAACTTTTTGAATCTTGTTATTGCAGCATATTATTTAATTTAGCTCGTTTGTAGTTTTGAGATCTCGCGTTGCGCGAACAGAAGAAGATAATCGATGGGTTTTGACCGGATAATGAATATATATTTATGGGGTCGGAAAAAAGTCCATTCCTTTACACATGTAGGTATTAAATTATCTAGTGCATATGATAATTATATTTTATGGGATATAAAAAATGTACGCAGTAAATATTTAGTGTGTTTAACTTTAGGATATTGTGCAAGATATAAAAAAAAATTTTATAATAATGTTCTCTTAATAAAGAGTAATTAAAAAAGAGATATTTTTGAGAAATTCCATTGTCCATTAGCCTAGAGGATGTCATACTTCCTATTGGCTAAGAAAGGCTTCCAAAAGTCCTTCAGGATCAAGTTATCCTATTAGAAAAGAGTGCTGTAAAAGAAGTGTTCCCCAAATAATAAGATGTTTGTACAATTTCGTTTCATATTTGTTTTGTATTTAATTTGTTTTCATTTTGTATCTTTTCTTTTCTTTTTTGTGTTCTTGAGATCTCTTAGTTGGTAAACATTTGTATAAAAGTAGTGTAAAAAACAGACTTCTGCTTGATTGAGTTAAGACAAAAGTTGATTAAAGCGTGCCCTATCACAGACTTAACTTAGAAACCTAAAACTTGGTAACGTAACAAAATAAATGAGGATCATTGTAAAGCATTTTTTCCTAAAGCTGGCTGTTCCAATTGCGTTGTTGCCCATCCGGGGGGATTTCAGTCCTTTAAAGTGGATATAGTCCTATTTCTAGATTTACCAGGGACGCCACACCTGGCCGGGGCTGCTGATCTGGAGCAGGGATTCGTTGTCGCTGGCATAGCCACTGGAGACGGGGCTGATGGAGGAGCAGGAGGAGCTGGCACTGGAGCAGGAGCTGGAGTTGGATCCGCCGCAAACGATGCTCAGGGGCGTGTTGACCGACTGCGTTTGCTCCATGGGCTGTTCCAGTTGGTTGAGGCGCATGCCCAGGTGGGTCATCAGGGTGGTTCCGAAGGCCACATCCACTCGGGGCAGGGAGGCCAGGGCGCGGGACACTTCGTTGGCTGCCCGAATGTAGCCGGCACGGAAACTCTGCTCGGGATTGGCCTGAACCTGCTTCTTGGATTCCTTCAGCCTGCGAAGATGCTGCACCGTGACCTCCAGAATGTCGGCCTTTTCGAATTTGGCATCGCCCGTCTGGGAAACGCACTCGGCCATCAGATCCTTGAGTTCATCCAAGCACTTGTTGATCCTGGCACGACGCTTCCGCTCCAGCAGAGGCTTCATCACCTTGCGGTACTGATAGGTCTTGGACATCTCGTATTTGGTGGCCATTGTATTTGTTTGTTTATTTGGGAGTATCGGGACCTTGAAGAATATTTGGTTGAAGAACTTTTTCTTTGATCTTTTGAAGGAATGGATATCCTGAGATGTTGACTGCACGACGATTGCGTTGGAAATGTTGCCTTCGTCTCCGGTTACCGCTGCTTTTATAGCTGCACGTGCCGATTTTCAGGAGAGCAAGAGCGTCTCGTGCTCAGCGCACGCTACTTGGAGAAAGAGAGAAATGAGAAAGAGACTGGAGTAGTGAAGCCCCTGGAGAACCACCACCTGCGGAGCAAATTACTCTCACTCAGTCACTGGGACACGATCCTCTCGCCTGCATTTTCGGTGGTGGGTTTTTCTTCACAAACAAGTTTGGTGTACAGCCAGGTTCAGAATAATATGGTCTGTAGAATAAGAACGTCTTAAATTCTTTACTTTGATATGAATAAATTTATTCAAGATTTTTCCAAACTACATAAAAGTTTTAGAAACTACTAATTCCAATATTTCAACATAAAGTCTAAAGACTTTAAAAAAAAAATGGAAAATATTGTCAAAAATAATAAATATTTTAAAGTTAATTGGAATAGGTGATTTAAAATTTCTTTCGGGAATTTAAATTTAAGAATTATTTAAGGTATTAAGGTATTTTTCTTTACTTTGTCTAAAATTAAAAATAAATAATTAAGTAATTCAAAAGGTTCTCTTTTCCTAAAATCCCAATTTAAAAACGCTCAGAATACCAATTTCACTACTATTATGGTGACCCCATTTGTTCCGCATAAGTGAGTCTCGGCAGGGGATGAAGATGCGATGGTGCAGTGGTGGTGGTGTTGGTGGTGCGACGGTGGTTGCACATGCTGCTTCTCTGTTTTCCTTTCCACTGACATTCGAATCGTGGGAAACACTTTGCCCTCAAGTTTCCCACAAGATTTTTCTCGCTCGTTGGTGTTATAAGTTATAATCGGAGGTAGTCCGTGTGCGAGTCCCGAGCTCTGAGCTCCGATCCCCGAGTTTCGAGCCCTTATGCACATGGCACAGTGGGCCAAACCTATGAAATACATGTGGAAATTCCATGGTTCCCTTGCCTGCTTGAATGACAATTTCAAGGCTTTCCCAACTAGGTGAAAATTAAGGTATACGGATTTTACGCATCCTGTTAGCTACTTGCTAGGGATAGTTTTCGAAATTTGAGATCTGGGTATTTTGGGTTTTCCAGATCGAAGATGTGTGCAATTTTAGGACTTGCTGGTTTGGAACCCTGTTTTCAACTTGCTTAGGTTTATTTCCGAATTTATTTTAGAGGCCGTGGGAATGTGAGTTTTCGTATTTGGTTTCTGGGGTTTTCCAAATCGAAGATGTGTGCAATTTTAGGACCTTTCGTGCAAGGTATTTATTGCAGGTTTTGAACTCTGTACATTGTGGATTTTTGAGGGCTGTTCTCTACTTGCTACGGTAATTTTAGGAATCTCTCTTAGAAACTGTGGAAATGTGAGCATTGGAATGTGGTTTTTGGGATTTTCCAAACCGAAGAAGTGAGAAATTTTAGGACTTTTCTTTGAAGGTATCCCTGCAGGTTTCAAACTCAGTGTTTATGGACTTTTCGATGTCTGTTTTCTACTTGATACGGTGTATTTCGGGAACTAAGTGCTGCGTGGGAAGGAAATTATTTGTGGTTTTTTGGGTTTTAATTTTAGGTTTTGTGGTGTCTGGTTTGTTTTCTTCTTGGAACCGGAATCTAGGAAGAACATATGGTTCGTAAAGGTTGATACGGTATAATTTGACAGGAACACTATTAAAGGGATTTTCTGTTTACAGATGTGTGAGGCATAGTAACTTTTGTGGAAGGTGTTCTAGGCAGGTTAACTCTGAGACTATGCCAAATGCTGGCATTTCCAAAAACAGAATATTATGCCTACATGTATTTTCTTGGGTATGGGAATTATATCGTTAGAACAATTTAAAGGGTATTTTTGTCATTTAGGGATATAGCATTTAAATTTGGATAATTAATTTTACATTTTTAGAAATTAGTTTTTAGGATCCTAATAAAAATCAACCCTCGAAGATTTTTTACCCAATTCCAAACCCACTTGAACCACTGTAAATCTGACCGAGCTGCTTGTGCGAGTCACGGGTAGTACTGAAAAAACTACCACCTGCCCTTTATTTTATTTAATTTTTTCTTGTCCATCGTGGGCCCTATATCTGCCATCTCGCTCGCTCCCCCTGGCTGTTTGTCAATTATGAATGCTGAATTGTAGCTTCTGTTGAACACTTGGGCCCTCGATTCCTGGGTTGTTGTTCCTCGGCTCGGGGATCGCTAAGTGGCATACACATATACGATATGCGTATGGTATTCCTGCTCACGTCGGGACATCATCATCGTGGGACCCAGAAGATCCCAGATCCCAGACCCAAAGACGGAAAAAAGGGATGGTTTCTTCGATGGATCGACAAGGGGACATGCAAACTAAATGACTGTACGGCAAATTGACACACACTAAAGATTAAATGTATCGCATTCGTTAACTATATAAACAATATACGTGGCCGGTTTGGAGAACTCGGAGGAAAAAAAACGATGTAGATGTGGCAGGAAGTGTGTGTGCGCTGCGTGCTGAGAGTGTGCTGAACAACAAGCCGTTACAATTTTTCTGTGGCGACTCCGGACTGTGAGAAAATTTTTCGAGCTGCACATGGCCAGGGGTTTTGTTGTTTTTATTTTTTCCTCTTTTTTTTATTAAATAGGGGCAACCATTTGGGCACGCAACGGGGTTGGCTTATTGTCAATGCATCGCTATAATCGCTGGTGTTGCTGCTGTGCTGCTGTTGATGTTGCTGCTGGCTCGCTGATGTTGCTGCCGTGTAATTGAATATGTGTGCGCATGCTTGGCACGCCAAACGCGCGACAGAAGCGAGCAGCTTCAGAGAAGCAAAAGCTAAAGGGCCCCAACCAACCAGAAGCTTGCTGCGCGCCACGCATGCGCAATAAAATCGAATGAAATGCAAAAAAAAAAATTACACAAAAAAAAAGAGTTGGAATTTTTTTTTTGCAAGCTTGAGAATTGGCGACAGGAAATTATCATTTTGTGCGGAATGACAGGGCGGTGATTATCATTTGCTGCGATTAGCTTCGAAAGCCCGGATATGCGGGCTTTGATTTTCATTTGGTTTCGTAAGATTTTTAATAGACAAATTATAGAATAAATTACTATTTTAAATGAAATAAATTTTTAAAATGTCAAATTAGTTGGTCTGATAATTTATAATGGCTGTTACATATAATATTACTACATTTCATAGACCTGTGGGCATAGAAGAGGTTTTCCATCTACAACAAACATTAATTAAGTTTGTTAAGTCAACAATAGATCTAATTAAAGATTGTACAATTATTTTTTTGAGTTATACTTTATAAGCCGCCTAAAAGATTTTCTCTGTTTAAACAGAATCCAATTGGCTTGATTTTCCCATTTCCCAATCAACCCAATAAACAGACAGCCATAATTTCAATTAATTTTCGTTTTATATTTAAATTTCTTATAATCGAATAACATTTATACTAAACTAACTGGCTTGAGTTTATATCACACATTTATTTTATGTTTATCATCATTATATATCGAGGTTAACCAACTGGAAAGGATGCTGGATCCTTTAAAATAGGACCACTTGGATACTTGTTGCTCCAATCGAGTCCGTTGACAGCTCCATTCATTCATTCATTGAATGATGATATGCTTTGTATTATTCATTCATCTAACTACCGGTTTTTGGTTGGTTGTTGCTGTTGTTGCTATCCGATTGTTGTGGTGATTTCTTGAGATGCTGCTACTGTTGGCATTGCTGCAATTGTTATAGTTTATGTGGCTGCTACTGTTTTTTTGGTTGACAAGTTATTGTAGATTTTGTTGCGGTTGCTTCAGGGTTTTTAGCTTTTTTGAGGTGTCGCATTGCGATAAAAATTGCAGTTTGTTTGTAGCTCTGAATTTTTGGAGATGCTTTTTGAGATGCTGCTGTTGACATTGCAATAATAATTGCTGCTGTTGCTCCTGTTGCAACTTGAGTTGCTGCTGCTGCCGCTTCTGTGTTTACTATAATTGCCGTTGTTGACTTTTGCCAGCAATTGTTATAGCTGATAATTTGGTTCTCAGCAATCATTCCACTTAGATTGCTGCTGTTGCTGCTGCTCCTCCTCCTTGTTGTTGCTGTTGCTACTGCGAGTGCCAATAGAAGCTGCCGGCCGCCGTCTCCAGGCAGATGACCAGGTGCTCCTCCTCCATTCCCCCCTGGGTTTCCCTCAGCATCCTCTCGTTGGCCTGGTTCTGGGCAATCTCCTCCAGGCTGTCGTATCGCTGACTGTCGGCATTTGAGTGGTTTTTGCCAAAACGCTGCAGCATTTTGGCCAATAAGTTCTTCACTTTCGACATGATTTTATGTTTTCTTTTTTTAGGGATTATAGTTCTTTACACTTTGGTTTGCGATTGGCAACTGTTGTGGGCTGATGGCAAGTGCAGTGCTTTTATAGTCGGCAAACCACCACCACCCAAAAGTCCAACCACCCAACTGAATAACAAGTGCCACATGTGCCTGCCACATGTCCAAAACTCCGCGCAGGAGCAGCAGCAATATCATATCATCCCGAGTGGCAGAGTTCCGAAAGTATCAACCCAACCAACGTTCGCCTGCCACGCTTTCAGCGCAAGGAACTCGCAGCAGCAGCAAGCTCAACACGTGCAGGATAATCTCGTTTGGTGCCCCCATCCCTTGTTGAATTTTTTCCTCCTTTTTTCCGAAACCATCCTCATTTTTTGTTGCTGTGCCGTTTCAATAAAGAATAAATATTGAGAGCGTTGAGCAGTTGTGGTTCCCATGGATAAGGTTCGACAGCAAGGGCCTTCCTTCCCCTATCCTGAGTTTTATATCTCGATATTCTTTTTTTTTCTTTTTTCTGAGGCTAGGGGAAAAAGTATCCCACGGTTCGAGTGGCAGCTGTTTGCAATTTAGGCCACAGCCCCGCTCATTTCGTTGCCTTGATGGTTGGTGGTGGTTTCTTGTTGTTGCTGTTGCTGTTGCCCCTTTTGACACATATTGCACTTGCTGCTGCTGCCGATGTTGCTGCTGTGTTGTAGTTGCAACTTTGGTTAATTGCTTCGCCCGCCGTTGGGTCACGCGTTTGGCTTTGCTTCGCCTCTGGGTTTCCACTTTCCACCTGATTGATGTTTGCTTTTGGGCCTGGAAAGCTCAGGACGCTCAGGTCGCGTGGCGGTGGACAAGTGCTGCTCCTCCGCTTCTGATTGGGAGCGTGGGTCAGTCACGTGTTTGGAATAATCCTCGCCAGAGCAAGGTGCTTTCATTTGTGGTGGCGTTTTTAATAGAGTTTTAATTCAGGTTATATGGGCTTATAATTTGGAGTGTTTGTTGTCTGTGGGCTGAAAATTGGGAGGTGGGTTGGTTATCGAGGGTTGTTCTTCGGCACGAGCTGCGAATAAAGTGGGTTTCAGGTCGATTGCTTGAGGGGAGTCAATGGTGTTTGAATGTCAAATGGTTTAGCTGATTAAATGGATTGAATTGGTATAGGGAGATAATTTAAAGGGGTTATAATTGCAGTTAAAGAACTTTTTAAGAAAATAAGAATACTAATAGAATATTAAAATTAAATCGAATATTAAGAATTAAAGATTAAATACATAATTTAATTAATTAATATAAGTAAAGGTAAATAATAGATATGTTAAAAATTATATTATTGGCAAGATTGGCTTTTTTGTGTAATTACTGCACAATATGGTAATTAAATAGTAAATGGCAAAAAAAACCCAAAAAATTAGACCCAAAAAAATTTATAATAAAATTGTACTCTAACTAAAGTAGGAAAATAATTGTCTGTTTAAATTGTAGTCCGTTAAAATTTAGAATGAACATTGGCAATATAAGTAATGGTAATATGTATCTTATTAAAATTCGATTAGCAAAATTTCTGAAAATGAAATGAACAAATAAAATTAATTTTTAGTTCATATAAATTAAAAAAAAAAACAAAGAAACACAGACCGTCATCGTAATGTCAAAAATTAGTGAAAGCTGTGAAGATGTTCATACCCACAGTCATTACCTCGTTGGCTATTTTTCCCATGATATGTCTAAGGCCAAAACAATCGCATTAACACCAGGAAGTGTCCATTCTTTTGCGAGTCTAACTCTGAGTTATTCTAAGCATCCCACGGACTGTGGACACTGAGCTAATGTCAGCTACGAGCTACAACAATTGTCCACTTATCGTGCGTCTAATTTATGGCTGGGCAAACATTTGCCGGCGACATTTAACTGACAACCAAACTGGTGGTCCGGCATAAATATAAATCCCTCAAAGGATTGGATCATTGAAATCCATCCCAGTGGCTGTCAGTTAGTGGCTACTGGGGATCGGGATTCTCACTCACCTTGGAGACATTAATGATTTGATTGCCCATTGACAAGCTGAATCTTAGTCGTATCCCCCATTCTCCATTCGTTTTCGACTTCACTCGACTTCAATCAATGACAGACGGCTCGTTAAACTTCTTCTGCGGGTGCGTTCGTTCAATTAGCCCATGTCGTAAAGTACAAATAACTATTGCGTACAAGTTCCGAGGAACTCTGGGCCCGGCCATAATCATTAAGCCCGACTTGGCCGACTGGTAGCCGACTGGCAATTTAAATTAAACAATCGTCAATGACGGCGACAAGAGTGAAAAACTAAAGTAAAGCAGGCAGTAATCAGTAATGAGATGGTTTGTCAGTCAGTCAGTGAATCGGATCGTCAGTTAGCCAATCCGTCAGTCCATCAGTCAGTCACACGACGATTGCTACTTGGGCCTGATAATAAGCGTCGCGCCGGCGCAATAAATGTGTGCCGACAGATAAATGTGTGCCCTTATCTGGTTTGCTGCTTCTGTGTATTCACTGTACCTGTGCCTCTTTCTCTGTCTGTATGCGTGCCTGTAATCGTAACCATATAAGCGTCTTAAATGGCAGGTGTGCACATCGCGTGGGAAACACACGACGCGTCTCGAGCGGTTCTCACGATATGAAAATCGAGCAAAACAAACCGAAAGACCCAGAAAGACCCCGAAAGACCCCCGTAAGACCTAAGCAACAACAACAAGAGGTGACTGCCACTTTCTCGGGATCCGAAATTCGAATTGGATCTGGAATAGGGATTGGGGTTAAGGCATTAAGGGTTGTTGTTGCTGTCGTTGTCGGGAGTGCGCAAGGGGATCGACCTAACATTGGTTCAGGATTTATGATATAAGGGGTCCCCAAAAAACCATGACTAGAAAAGGGATTTAAGTGCTTGTTTGTTATATATTGGATACTAAAATTACTTGCATAAGCAGATACAAAGTACTTAAAATCTAAAAGAATTATGGTTTTGTTTATTTGATGGATTTAATTTGATATTAGAATTGTTACAAAAGCAGACAAAAAGTCCTTAAAATATCAAAGAACTTTTTTTTTGTTTAATGAATTTTTTATGAGGTTTACTGAATGCTTGTTTTTAAAAGTCAAAATTAAATATGTTGTGACCTTTATGTGGAAATATTATTTAGATTTTTGGGACATTAATTAACAATGCAATTAAATAACATTTAGAATGATTTTAATATGAGAGTAGAAAGCCACTTAAATATAAATATATAATTCGTATAATTAATTTTTAAAATATACATCTTTAATAATTATAATAAAAATCAATTTATTTTTGAAAATTGAGGACTATTCCAACAGAATAAAAACCCCGTACTTATTTATTTAACTGCCAATGATCCCCTGAAGGCTCTAAACGATCCTCCTCCTTTCCTCTCGAACTCACCAAAGATCAGTAAGCCACAACAAGACAATTACAATTTTACCGAGTTTGATTTTCATTTGCTGGCTGGTCCAAACCGAATCAGTTTGTCGCAGACAATTGGTATTACCAATTCCGTGTACCACGTTCCCACGTCTTGGCCAGCATTTTACGGTTTAATTGCAGTTACAAAAGCGTCGCCAGGACGAAGGACCCACACTCCTCGATGGCTAGACAATTGAAGGGAATAAAACACACAAAAGGGAGCCAAGGAAACTCTTATTCTTTGCACAGCAACGATTTCGAATTCGGTTTCCTTTCCCACGCACGCACAGCGCAGAGCAATAAGATTTCCAGATCTCTACGGCTGGCAGGCAGGGTTCGCAGGTAGCAGGTCCTCCAGCAAGGACCTTCTCGTGATTCTCATCGAGGGTATAAAAACCTGTGCAGTCGAGGAATCCAGCATCATTCGAGCAGCATCCTGCAAGCAATACACAGCTCCTCTCTCATTTACAAAACTATACTTCCACAAAAATATCGAACAAAATGGCTCCTCAGTCGAACAGCAACAACTCCACCGCTTTCGTCTCGAAAACCCAGCACTATTTGAAGGTGAAGAAGCCTCTGCTGGAGCGCCAGCGACGTGCCCGCATGAACAAGTGCCTGGATACACTGAAAACACTGGTGGCCGAGTTCCAGGGCGACGATGCCATCCTGCGAATGGACAAGGCCGAGATGCTGGAGGCGGCCCTCGTCTTCATGCGCAAACAGGTCGTCGAGCAGCAGGCGCCGGTCTCCCCACTGCCCATGGATAGTTTCAAGAACGGCTACATGAACGCCGTCAGCGAGATCTCCCGAGTGATGGCCTGCACCCCGGCGATGAGCGTGGATGTGGGCAAGACGGTGATGACCCACCTGGGCGTCGAGTTCCAGCGCATGCTGCAGGCCGATCAGGTTGTCCAGACCCCAGTTCAATCCGCACGCCCACTCAGCCCCGCCTCCTCGGGCTATCACAGCGATTCCGAGGACTCCCAATCCCAGGCCAGCCCCAAGCCAGCCCAGGAAACCATGTGGCGCCCTTGGTAAATCATCAGCATCAGCATCGACATCGAATCCTGTCTTCCAACTGCTAAATCATCATTAGCAAATCACCAGCAACTTCGAATCCTGTCTTCCATTAGCAAATCCTGCTACCAACGAATCATGTCTTCCAATTGAATCGTTAACACTGTGATAACAGCTTTACCTAGATCATAAGCCCAACTCAAGCTTTACTAGTTTATTAAGATTTATACTATAAGAAAACAACACAACAGCTTTAATAGTTATAAAATAAAAAACATAAAAAACTAAACAAATTGGTCTACTTATTTGGTATTACATAAAATATTATTAATATATCACAGCATTTTTGGAAACAAGGTACCAATGAATTTTATAGTTGGTTTTGGATTTCTTCTGTTTTTAGGAATTTATTTATTTTGTAATTGTTAGCCAAAGAAAAAAGTAAAATCAAATTATGATATGGGTATGATACAAATATAACCATATCATCCTTATTTATATAACTTCGAATACTTAAATAAAAATAGTTGATGCTTTAAAATGATTAATAAACATTTGTCTACAACTAATTAATATTTAAAAAAAACATTTGGACAATTTGTCTCAGCAAACACATTTCTTTTTTAATTTTTAAGTTACTTTAGGATGTATCCCCATGATATTTGTGTTCCTTTTTCTAGATATGTCCTCGAAGTACAGTTGAACTATCTCCAAAAATCGTTTCAGATAATATAATGTGCCTTTAAGTGGATAATGTACCAGAAATGTTAGAATTGTTAGGCATAAAACAAATGGTGTGGTGGAAGTTGAAGAATGTTTTCCCCTTGTTGAATAGATCAGTTCATTAGAATAATTCCACAGTTTATGTGTAAGAAACACACATTAGGATAACCCTCCCCCCACCTGATGAACAATCTAAACAAGATCTGTGCGTGACACCCCAGCTGGGTTCGAACCGACCTCCTCAGCGGAGTGTTAAACTCCCCTGGGTCCAAGTAGGAGGTCCTCGAGCTGTAAGCCCAGACAAACCCCTGGCCAAGCGACGCCCCCGAGGGGCAGGCACCAAAAAAGAGAAAAGAGATACTGAGACCTGTCTACGCCTCGATCAACAGCTTAACACCACTGTGGTGTTGCACGTGTTGCTGGGTGTTATCGAATCTGCATATTGAATGTCCCTCGAACCCCTGGACAGGGCTCATATATCGTTTGGGTTTTTATGTGCCCTTTGTCAGCCGGGGGAGGTTCCGGGCACCATCGAGTTAAACCGTCAATTACGACCCCTTTTGTGCACTGCACGTGCGTGCTGAGTGATGGGCGGGGATCGAACTTAAACGGGACTCCTTGAGGCTCCGTTGTGATATCCTAAACCAACAATGACAATGGCCATCGACTTTCCTGGAACTCGCCTCCCGCATTAATGGCATTGTATATGCCACATACCAATTTGTAAACTAAAAAATAAAAACCAAATATGCATAAAAGACATGTCGCGCTGTCTCGTGTCAAGTGCGATGTCTCTGTGAAATCCGATGATCCAAAGGACCCCACATGTGTTGCACTGTCTGTGTTATTTTATCATTACAAAACCAAAGAAACCGCCACGTAGGTCCGCCATATCAAATTCAGATTTTAATACGGGTAATACCCTCTAGTTAGTATCTACAAATAAGTATTATCTTTATTTTCTACGGATTTTAACATATCCTTTTTCTTATAAATTTACTTTCTATATTAACAATTAGATTTTTCATTTAAAACTTGATCAATTTCCTTTTAGATACAACACTAATTTATTCATATACCTATAAATCCGATTTTATTCAAATTCTTTATTTATAAACATAAAAAATAATTATAGAACTTTGTTTAACTTTCTCAATTTTCAAATTTTACTTAAAGTTTTATAACCTCTGGTTTTCTTTTCTGATTTTTTAAAGGATATCAAAAATTCAATATGCTTTTCTATCTTAAAATACGCTATTTACCGAAAGATATTCCTTGTTATTGTTATGCTAACTGTTGTGCACATGGTACTGACTAGGGTTATATCTCATCCCATCCTTATAGCTCAAGTGCAGATCGTCTTACGTTCAACGGAATTTTTCGCACGCCTCGTTTGATGTTCACGCTGTTGACCACGGAAAATGTAAACGGAAATACCGTAACAGATTCGGGCAGTTAGCACATCCTCTGGTTCCCTGGTCGTCCTGTGGGTGTGGAAGGTCCTGACCGGTACTGTCCTGTCCGGTGTAACAGGACCTGCGGAACAGGACCTGCGGAGGGAGGGAAGACCTCAATGATCGGTGGGCTTTTCCCGCTGACATTTGAAGCAACGCACATGTGTGAAATTTTCACGTTTGCAAGTTGCTCACGTTGCCGCATTATAGGTATGGTATGGTATACATATATGGGTTTTTAGGTGGATCGTTAGTCGGATAGATAAAGGTGGGTAGATCGAGGGACGTGACGGGGCCGCAGTTTCGACTGTAACACCCTGCTGCGAGCGAAACGAGGTCGTCACGTGTACAAACACGATCATTTCCCACCCCCCGTTTGAATTTGAACACTTGGCCCGGTGAACAATGGACTGCCAGGGTCAGGTTAATTTTATTTTATTTTTATTTTTTCTCTCCTCTCCTATACTCTTTTGTCTGCGTCGGGCTAATCTACAGTTTTGGAACCTTAAATGATCGGGCTGCGATAACAAATCAGTGCACGTGTTCGTCCAAAGATTTCCCTGGAAGATAGAAAAAGTGAAGGAGAAAAAGAAGGCACCACAGTAGTCACCTAAAACCCAGAAAAAAACCACTGCAGGGGCAGCCAAGATTTTAAAGACCCCCAGCGGGGCTTTGGTTTCCCATCCCAAATGGTTAACTATTTTTATTTGTTTTGGCCCTGCACACGTGGGCACACAATAAAATACAGAAAAAACAACGATCGAAAAAAGGAAATCTGGGGGCAATGAGTCAACCAAAAAAAGTAAAAATAAAGGACCCAAAACACAATTAGATCGACACAATCCGTGCATAATAAGGCCGAAAATAATGCGGTAGCATGAGTCAACCAAAAGAGATACGTGGAACTGGACGAGAATCCAAATCCAAATCCAAATCCAAGGCTATAAAGGTCAGTTTCCAAGAAGTAATTCAATAATTTGGGACTGTTGATCCAGCAAAGGATATTGAAAAGATTGGAGGCAGCTCTTGTTGCGATAAAACACAGGGGATTTTATAGAAATATTCTACCTCTCTATCAAAGATACTTTGTAGCCTAATAAGGGGAGGGACCTTATAGAAATGGACTTAGCTCTTAATCAGAAAACTTTGTGCAGTTTTTAGTTTGTTTTGTTGACATATTGGGCTCTTCAAATGACTTAATCGAGACTTGGGTAGGAAAAAATATAATAAAGTCTTACAATTTTGATTAGCAAAAATTTGTGTTGTATTTGTATCAACTTTTTTAATGGACCATTTTTATACTTTTTAGATTTTATTTTAGATTTTTTGGCAATTGGATTGTAGGTGCGATAATTTTTTATAATTATGGTTCGGTATAAAATTTTATTATTATAAAATATTCTCAAGGACTTTTTTCTTTTTTATTAAACTTAAATAAAATAATAAAAAAGTAGAAGTAGTTAATGTAATGAAAGGTATTGTTTTATTAACAATAAATCATGATAAAATGAAAGTATTATTTTAGCTCTTATTTTTGTTGGGAAATAAATGATCAAAAATTGTATCTCCCAATAAAAGCAATTATCCCATCCTTTCACTTGAACTCATCGATCTGTTACCACACCCACCCAGCCAACAAAGGCAACCATATAATCATCATCACCTCCACACAGCAGTTCAATAGATCCTGAGATCCAGGACGAACTGTTAACGCCAGCCTACAACTTCTCACCGAGGATCCCTGCTTAATTTGTCCCAACTCACACCGGGTTCCAAATATTTATGGTTAAGTCAAGGGACAATCAGCCATTAAGTACGCCAGAGAAATATCCAAAAGGGAGCCGAGAAAGAAATCCTGGGAAACGTTGGCTTCAGCGCCTCACGCGCCATCAAAGATCCACAAAAAAAAACAAAAAACGAGAAGGAACCGCACAAAAAAAGGACAGGCGCTCGCTGTGCGTGTGCTCCTCCAGCGACGTCCTCGTGATCCTCCTTTTTTTACCCAAACCATCCTTAAGAATCGGTCCCCTGCTAATTGTGTGCCATCAGCAACAGAAATTAAAAGCAACTCCTTCGACGTCGACGATCCTTGTCCTCCATCCCCATTCCCATCTCTTTTTTTTTAGGCAACGCCTCGCCTCCACATACAATTTGATAAATTTCAAATTACAGCGCATTTAGGATCCCTCATCTGGAATGCCCCCTACTCTTTTTAGATTCTCTGGATTGTTTGCCTATTGAGCTATGCAGAGATCTTTTTTGGTTTTCGGGCACTTAATTGTTCGCCTCCGTTCGAGCGTTGAAAATTGAAAATATTCTCCCACGTTCTCGAGCTGCACACGTGTTCGAGAAATGGAAAAGGGATTTCCCCCGCCCCCGGCTCCCCATCATCTCCCCGTCCCGCTCGCACTCCCATAAGATAATAAGATAAGTGCACATAAAAACCAAAAGTGATCGGCAGAAAATGGGAAAAAAATAAAAACGAGACTCCTTTTCAAAAAAGGATCCGATCCTTTCGAAGCGAAACTGTGGGAACTGGTAGAAAGTCTCGTTTCTCACGATCCTGCAGCAGGATAAAATTCCCCATACCTGCAGCAGGTGCGAGTGAAACAGCACCACATGCCGTCACACTCCGACGCAGGCAGGTTAATGCCGATGCAGTCCCTTTTCGAAAAAACACACCTGCCGTTTTTGTTGTTGCCTTGCCTGTATATTCTCTGTCTATAGGATTTTTCGGGACACGTATCCTTGTAGTTTCCCACACTCGGTGTTTTGTGACCTGCTCGGGGTTTGGGTTTCTCCAGCGGTCCTTCGGGTATAAAAGGCCGAGGATCCGAGGATCAGACATCATTCGAGCTCAACGCTTCGTACAGCAAACATCTCTCTACTACAACATCATGTGCCAGAACAAGAGCAACACCAACTCCAACACCATGACCATCAAGTCGAACAAGAAGCTGTCCTACAGCGTCAAGAAACTCCTCCAGAAGATCTTCAAGCAGCGCGTCGAGGAGGAGGAGCAGAACCTCAAGAACACCCTCAAGGCCAACTCCCTGGAGTCTTTGGAATCCATGGAGAACAGCCGCAACGCCGATCTGGAATCCGCTTCAATCTGCGCCTCCGTCGAGTCCTGCGAAAACGAGGCCAACGAGCGCTTGTCCCAGTCCTGCGACATGGAGGACTACGATCTCGAGCAACTGCCCACCGTTCCCGTTCACTTCGTCCGCACCGCCCACGGCACCTTCTTCTGGACCGCCGTCTCCGATCTGCCAGCCGACAACGACCTCATCGAGCCCCTCTACTGCAGCACCGCCAACGAGATCGCCATCCCCCAGGATCGTTGGGTTCAGGCCTAAGAAATCATCTGAATCATCATCCTGCATCATCTAGCAACCATGTCTTCCATTGGATCTCCAGCTTTAATCAACGTCTTCCGTTAATTTTTGACCACATTCCACAAAAATTAACATGCAAGCCGATCAACTCAGCTTTACAAAAATTGTGATACATTTTACTTAACATTTACAAAAAAAACAAATCAAAATATATATACAATTTAAAAGAAACTTCTGTGGCTTTTCATTCAATCATTTTTAAACATTTTATATGGTAACGGGGTTGCCTAAAATCGGTTATCTTTACCAAACATTCTATTACATTTATTCCGAAAAAAAATTGAATAGGAATTTGTTCTTTTGTTCCAACGATTTTCCGTTTACAAATCAACACAGAAAATAAATAGGCAGCGAAGTCCTTTGTTAATTGGCATGACTCATTTGAAAAACGAGCGGACCCTAATCCGATTCGATCCTGAACCTTTTTTGGTCTTATTGTTGATCAATTTACCTGCCGGCAGGTAGTGAAGATAGGATAGTCGGGGGTTGGTTTGCTTGGCCTGTTGATTTTTGGCTGCAGTTCCAACCAGTTTTCGGTTCGGGCAGGTAGAGGATCTGTTGATTGCCCGATCAGATCGGTTGAAGAAAACACAGGGTCCAATTAGATGATCTGCTTATGTGAAATGTGAATGAATCAGAGTCGAAGACGGAAATGTGTTGCATACATTGAGGGTGATGCATCTTCACGCCAATTAAAGGTAATTTATTGGGGCAGTAAAAAAAATGGGTGACTTTGGGTCCATAAATAAAATTGATCTCTTAAATAATGCGTAATTTTTAGAGTACGTTTAAATAATACTTTAGTTCGTTCTATAAATTACAACAAATATTTTGTACATAAAATTGAGTTGACCCGATCTTTTTTTTAATTATCTTGAAAAGTTATTTATACATTAAAGTAAATCAGAGTTTTAACGCTACTTTAAATTTAAGAGGCGGACGAGATAGATTTCTTCTAGATCATTTATTGATTGCTGAATACGAGAATTGTTTTAATTTCCAAAAATTTATTAAAAGAACAAATTATAAAAACACATTTTTAAAAAGTATTTTATAAATCAAAATACAAAGCCAAATCTTTTTCAGATTTTTACAATTCACTATTGTACATTTGTATAGTTTTTTGTACCAAATTATTTCGTAAACACTGTTCTGAAAATCTGAAGTACAAAGAAAATCCCCATTCCCAACCAATACAAAAAATAATTGTTTTCTTTTGCAATTTTATTGTTTTATTTTATTTTATTTGGGTAGTCAATTTTTTGATTTCTCGTTCTCAACTTAACATAAATTAACATTTATAAATTATTTAAAGCTTAAGTTAGGCATCTAAACAATGAAGAGAGCGCAACGAACTAATGAACTTAGGAAGCGTCTTGCAGTAGGAAAATAGCGCACTCGAATATATATCTTTACTCACTGATTGATTGATCATCGTACTTTAGTGATATCACAGTTTGAAATAAAACAAACAATTTACAAATTACCATTATCGGAACTAAGACTAAAAGTATTTCAAAACCATTTAGAAATCGATTAGGGAAAATCGACCTCAATTAACTCAGGTTGTTATGATTTACTTTGGAAGACAACGGATCTTGTTGCAGTTATTTTTTTTTTGGGTTTGCGATTATAATGTTAAGGATAAGGTCTAGATTTGGGCAGGCGTAGGCCCAATTACCAGGGCCTCCAGACGGGCTCCGAGGCGCCGGACTCCTGCGAACTCACTGACGCCGTCTCGGATAACGCGTTGCCATCGACCGAAGTGACATCGATCAGTTCGTCCTTGCTGGTCAGGAAGGAGCTGTAACTAATGGCGGCAGCGGCGGCCGCCGGTCCATAACCACCGAGTAATGGGAATCCCAAATGTCCTGATGCTGGCGGTACTTGTTGCTGCTGCTGCTGCTGGAGCAACTGCGTCTGTAGCTCAATTAGTCGCGTCGATAGGAACTTCATTATCTTGCGACCAATCTCATCGGTTTGCTGCGTCTGCAGCAGGACCTGTGTAATCTGATCGGCTGCATGGACGTAGCCGGAGCGAAAGGACTCCACGTGGGCGGTGCTGGTGGAGGTGGGTGGGCTGTTGCCGGCGATCACCCCCTGCAGGGAGAGACCTCCGCGCTGCTTCAGCTTCCTCATATGATCCACGGTGAGCTCCAGGATATCGGCCTTCTCCAGCCTGGTCACATGCTCGCCCTCCTGCTGCAGGCACTCCACCATCAGATCCTTGAGATCATCCAGACACTTGTTGATCCTGGCCCGTCGCTTGCGTTCCAGTAGGGGCTTCATCACCTTGCGGTACTGATAGGTTTTGGACATCTCCATGACCATGGTTGGGTGTTCTTTATGCGTGTGTGTTTTTAAGGATTGTTCTGTTTTATATTTAGACTTTCAACTGCACATTATCACTGGGGATTTTGGTTGGTTTTTAGTTCTTTGATTTTTACGAGAGTTGCGCGTGCGTTGCGCTTTCCACCGTCAGCGGTGCGTTCGACTGGCGGCACTTTTACGAAATGAGTGCCAAACTAGTTCCCAGCCCTACTTTTATATGACACGACGGGCTCTCCCGGAGACCGGGGATCGTGCTCTCCCAGCCACAAAGCTCCCGCATGATCACTCACACACATGCTCCCTGGGCACTCGGGCCCAAGATCGAGTTCCACTTCGGCTCTTTTCGGTCGCGGATCGGTAGCTCGGTAGTTCGGCGCTCGGCAGCGGCACAAAGAGAGGCTACTGTAGACCATCGATGGGGGTTGGACCGTCACCGTCTGCAGGGGCACAGTGGTCCACAGGTTCGGAATTATACTTGTTGATTGGGGTCCAAACATATTATTCTGTTACCAAATAAAACTAAAATTTAAAGAATTCCAGTGATAAAAATAAATCAGTAAACAATTGAAGTGGTAGATGGTTTTCTGCGACACAATATATTAGATAATATGGAATTTTCTAATTTTGAAGTCTAATTATCCTTTGAAATGTAAGCGCTCATATTATCATATCATATCATTATTAGTTAATCTGATTGATTAATGTAATTGATAAGCTTAATGAATTTCTTTCTAAAATTAATCCACTTTTTGGTCACAGTAAGATAGCTTTATTAATTGATCAACTGAGGATTATTTTATATATTTTTCTCTTATCTAAAATTGATTTGGAACTTTTGAGTGATCTTCAAAAAGTATGCTACAGTAATTACAAATTGAAAAGGATATTTGCCCTGATTCGGTAACATTTATGATTAAACTTTTTTGGATTTGAGGCATAGGCATAGGTTCAACAATATTATAACTTTTTTAGAATATGTATACAACACGAAAAACTTTTTCAGAATGTCCTGGAAACTCCAAAAAGTATGCTATAAAAAAACTGAGGCAAATAAATTTGGTTTGTTGATGTCTTATTGAAAGAATTACTATTAGGCAGAAAAATTATTACATATTATTTTCGAACCAAGGTGCCTGCAATGGGAGCGAGTGAGAGCGTGCCCGGCCGCAGCTACAAATGTATCTGTATCTGTAAGTTTGGTGCTCTGGCGCGCGTCGTCTTCAATTGATTGCATGGCATGGTATGGTATGGCTTGGTCAGGGGGAAACTGAGCAGTCGGCTTTGGGATTGGATTGGATCTCATTCTCAGTGACTCTCTCCCCCCGTAAGCCCCCACCCCCTGTAACCACCCCTCATCCATGTCATACTTATTGTCAATGATGACAGTGCTCGGCTCCCATTCGCTGTCGAAGTCCGCTGCTCTGTGCCGCTCACACCAACAAAACGAGAATGAGACACGAGGGAGCCTACTACTACGACTACCGACTGTATATATTCCTATGTGGTGGTAATTGTGGGTCCCATGGCTATACAAATGTATATGTGCGGTGTGCCTACTTTACGAGACCGTGGGAAACAGATTTGTCGTGTGTTTCCCACACGTTGGACGGATGGCTGGATTGTGATGCGATCCGATGGATTGCTGAAATGTTGTTGCTGTTGTTTCTCTTGCTGCTGGTTGATTTCAAGCGGGTTGACTGTCAGCCGCCTATGGGGGGCAGTGGGCGAACTGGCAAGGGGGAAACAGGGGGAGGGGGGCTCTTAGGAGGGGGCTTCGAGGGGGAGGGGCTGCCTTAACTCGCGCAATTATGTCGCATGCTTGGCTGATGATGATGACTGCGACAACTGCACGGTGGAAAATTTTTGGTTTCATTTTTGGGTGTTCCTTACTGTTTTTAAAGCTTTCCAAATTAAATTTTGAATGTTAATCAATTTTTAATCCACCAAACTACTGGTTAAAAATTATTTTTTAATTTTTGAATAAGTATAAAGTCAACTAATAATATTATTTTTATTTTAGCAGAAAACTAACAACTATTTTTTGTAATCACAGCACAAAAAGTAAATGACGCCACCCAAGAGACTTTAAAAACAAAATATTTCATGTGGTATGAATTTTATAGATTTCGAAATTAGTAAAAGAGTTCAATATTAAACAGTTAAAATTTACTTAATAATTTTTAAAGTTTTCAGATTTAAATTTCAATTCAATTTTTTTATAAATTATTTTATATACCTTAAATTAATTTTTGTATTATTTTTAGGAAAACATTGATTTTGTTTTAATTGTTTAAAAAGTGCAACGTAACCCAACTGATCTTTCCCATAATTTCTCCCAGTGTACAACCACTATGATGGCTTTGGCTTTGGGTTGACTTTTCGTTGAAGCGTATCGATTAAGTGTAACAGTTTCGCTATCTCGGCGCATTGGGGGTTCCAAAAAAAAAGAGGAAAACTAAAAGCAGTTTTTGCATAGTCCGATGTTTGCCAACCCTTCGGCATTTGTCGCCTTTCGTCATAAACTTTAACATCCGGTTGTCGTTCTAAGATTCGTTTTTCGTCCGTCCTCCACATCTATATATTATTTTTTTAATTCGCTGATCTCAGGGCTACTGGTCAGCGCACAGAGTGTATAAAATGTTGCCCCGGCCTTTTTTATGCCCCTTTTATTCGCAGCTGGCTTTATCACCATGGCGGCAATATGACACTTGTGGTTGGACGCCTCGAAGTTATTTTTTTCTCTTCGTATTTTGTATTTTTTGTGGCCAAGCTTTTTGCCTGGCTAAGCATTTCCCATGATGCTGCAGAATCGCTCTGTTTGTTTGTCTTCTGGCCATGACTTCCGTTAGCCGTTTGGCTTGACTTGGCTTGGCTTTCTGCTGACTGAAGATGGAGCCATAACAATTAAGCCTCCCAAGGCATTTCGATGGTTCGCCTTTCAAGATGCCTCGGCTCCACTCAACTTTCAACTTGGCCGGCACACGTGGCGTATGAGTAATGCGAATATGCAAAATAATCACGCAGACAGAAAGACCGCAAAGCCATTTTCGACTAACCTCAATGCACACTAATTGCTTGTCATACATGACCGACCGACCCGTCCGTGTGTCCGCCGATGTGTCTGAATGTATATAGTATATAGTTTTGCACAAAACTTGTTGCCATCGCCGGTCGGTCGTGTGAACCAAAAGCTTAAAAGCCAAATAGTTGCTGATGGGTAAAGACAGTGTTGAGGGGTCACTGAGCAGCGAATTGCTGATGCTCTCGAATTAAATTAAATTAAAGAAATGTAAATTCACTAAGCCAATATAAGAATCGTTTTTTAAATAATGTTTTTACATTTTTTTTAAATTTTTTTATACTTGTCCTCAAAAGTTATAAATGTTTTGTAAAACTCTAGAAATATTTGAAAATTATTTCTTAATAAATAATTTTAAATTATAATAACCTATAAATATTTTTAAACTATTTCTTAATGCATAATAATTAAATTAAGTAATTGTTTTCTGAACTAATTAAGTTTCAGATTTTTTTTTTTTCCGGCAACTCAAGGACCCCTTCTATATGAAAGTGTACAGATCGCCTAACGACTCCCATACTTCGTCTCCGAAAGGCACAAGCCCAGGCACAAGTCGGCCTCTGTTGGAGCTGAGCTGCAATCGCAATCGCACTCGGAGTTGGCTTCGAAGTTGGAGTTTCAGCCGGTGTCCGTGTTGCCAAGTCAGTCGCTTTTAATTTGGCAAACGTGCAGTTCAAAGCCTAGACGCTGATTGGGGGCAAAAGTGAGGGGGTTTTGGCGGAGGATGAGGAGGTGGCAGTGGTGTTTCAGCCAAGATTAATAGCGGCCAAAGGCAAGAGAGTCAAGTCGAGTCGAGAGATCTTTGGTGCGCAAGCGTGCGGTGCACACGCGATTGGCACGAGTTTCGGCAACAAAAAAATAGGTAGGTATAAAAACCCGATTCGTAGCTGAGAGCTGGCCTAACTAGTTATGGCAGCTAACTCCGATTGTTCGGCAGTGTGGGAACCTGCGATGCGGCAAGGACTTGCTGCCTGAATGAGGTCACGGCCTCATTAGATCCCCCATGCCCATATAGCCATACCCCTACTTATATATCCCATATACCCATCCCATCCCATCCCGTTTCTCGGTTCCCAGTTACCAGAGCGTGTGAACCACAACATGTCATAATCCCCTCGTTGCGACTAGTGCCTGTTTCCCTTTTTAAAATGAACTTATCAGCGCCGGTCGCTGCGAGCCTTGATTATAAATGACAACAAACAGGCCAACAAGTAGCAATAACAGCTGCTCAGCTGAGTCCCGAAAACCGAAACAAAAATCACATCGAAAGGAAACAGAAATAACAGCGTCGTCAGCAGCAACAAAAGCAAAAAAAAAAAAATCCCAACAATAATAGTGCCCCGAAAAAGCCGAAAAAACCAAGTGAAATTCTTATAAGCCCTTTCCCACACTCGAAGACGCCTGCGCCTTTTGCCTTATTTCGATTGCCAGTCGAGTTCAGTTTCCCCAGGACGGAAATGCCCAGCGTCTTAGTCCCACGCTCAGAGAAGGAGAATAACACGAACAGGTGCTATTCGGGCCCCTTCGACTACGGCTCTGTGGCGAGCCCTAACCGAACCCCCCTCCTCCTCCTCCACCACCGTTCATATCCCGAACCCCGAACAACGAACCCTGAAGCCTGAAGACCGGACAACAACCATGTACTACTGGGCTCCGGGCTCTGGGTACCGTGTGAATGTGAAAACAAAGTCAGTCGTGCATAAATGACGAACAGGCGATGCGCACAGTGGTTCCTGGATTACTGTCTATGGGGGAAAAACAGTTTATAATTTAATATCAAATCTAAAATTATATTCTTATCAACAGGAAATACCTTAAGAGTAAGAATATATTAAATAAATAAAATATTATTTTTATTTAAATAAAATATTATACCTCATTTTTTTAGATTCTGCATATTTTATTAGGCTTTGGAAAAACAAACTTTTCTTTTGTAAAACAAATTGTAGAAAATATATTCAAATTGTTTGCTCAATACAAAGTGTTATAGGCCTTACTTTACACTATTATATATCTTTTTTTTATAAACAATTTTAGGAATTTTTAAAATGTTATTAATATTATTTTTTGTTGTTTTAAAATGTTTTAGATATGTATTTAGTATTAAAAGCTAATTTTCTCCATCTTAATTGTAAATTACAACTTCTTAATAAGAAGTTCTTATAGATGCCTAAAAATTCTTTAGAATTAGAATATAATATAATTTCAATTTGATAACCATTTACTAACCCAGTAAGCCCACTGTGCGGCAGCGTCGTCTTCATCTACCTGCAGCCAAAACTCATCAAGCGGCCCTTGTCGATTGTACGTGCATGGGAAAAGTACACACACAGAAGACTGGAGCTTGTGGATTCCTGTTGGAATTTATTTGGGAAATACGCGCACATAAAAAGGCCTTTACTTCGGTGTGCACCCCTCCTCCTCCTCCTCCTCATCCACTGGGTTCACCTCTCACCCTGGGTTTTCTGCTGTGTGTGAGAGTGCACTCAAATTTCGTACGGTGCTTGGGCCATAGCACCGCTCGTGAGATCAGCCGGCGTACGATTTCACTCTTGACTGGCCATCGGCAGCGCAGCAAGTTGGCCTCATATATAAATATGAGCGACGCCGGCGCAGCAGCATCAGTAAACGACCAACTCTCGCGAGGTGCGCACACGCAGCAGCGAGTCTGAAAAGAATATAATTTTATAAAAAAAAAACAAACACAAGAAAAAGCTCCGCAAACAACATGTATCTGGATACGAAAAACATGACATCGGGCAACACAACCGCCTTGACAGCGCCAGCAACCGGAAATCAAAAGGCCACACGGCGCATGCGCAACGTTTGGCTACCCCTGCGTCGCCTGCTGAAAGTGGGCGGCAAAGGCAAAGGTCGCCACCCCACCCAGCTGACCTTGGCCCATCCCAACAACGTGGATCTCAACAACACACAGCAGCAGTTGGTCATCGAGGAAGAGGCTAAGACTTCGCCAGAGGAGACTACACACAAATATGGCTTGGAACTGAGGGAAGTTCCGAGGGAGGAGACCGAGGAGGAGTTGCAGTCCCCCACCCAACCGCCCAACACGCCCACCTTGATTAGCAGCGTCTATGTGGACAAGGTCAGCGCCCAGAGCTGCGGCAACTGTCAGCATGGAAGGAATTGCCAGCACAGACATCACATCAGTAGCAGCAACCTCAACAGCAGCAGCAACATCAACAGCAGCAACATCTCCGCCAGCAACTCCACGAATGCAACACAGTTGCCCAGCAATCTCTGGGATCTGCAGTTGCCCCTCCAGTACATCAGCACCGACAATGGCACCTTCTTTTGGGCCAACACCCAGGATCGGGTGGACGATGATCTCCTGCACGCCTTGCTCTGCCAGAGCTTCAGTCAGCTGCCCGGAACCCTCTGTTAGTAGTTAGTAAAACGCCCACAAATACACCTCATCCCATCACTAAACAGATCTCAACCTCAACCGGGGGTCATACCCCTAATTATTGTAATTTTCACTTATTTATTCCCCTTGCGCAATATTTACGTTGTTAATGTGATACTAATTTGCATATAAAATAAAATATAAACACTCAATTTGTACCATACAAATGGAAAGAAGAAGAAAAGGAAACGTTTTATTATTATTGGATTGGGGTTCTGTGTGGGAAAAAGAACCTGATAAGGAAAACCATTATGTTTTAGGGTTCCAATTTTATGGGATATTTTAATGCTTTCCGCTGTTAATTCAATTTACAACTTGGACCTTTTAGCTAATGGAGGATAACGATATTAGAAAACATCATTCTGATATGAAGAGTCTGGGAGATTAAAGATTTAGAAACCTTAAAGGGGTTTAAGTATTTTGATAAAGAAGACAAGTGATTATCTTAGAGTTCTAGAACTAAAGAAATTACTTTTAGGTATGCAGAGAGAGCATGATTAAGGAATAAGATTATTCTGGTTCATCATCTTCATCAACAAACCATTGATCAAGACACCTTTTCTTTATTATCATCATTGGGGATCTGAAAGAAGAACCCGATCTTTTAGAGTACTGGCATAACGGAAGAACGAAGATCAGAGCAAAGGATAACGGAAGCAATGTTATGAGTGGAACCTAATGAGGCCTGACAGATGAGCGCTCTGCAAGAAGACGGGTTGGTTGTAGACTGATAAAAGGAAGATGAAACGAAAGGGGAGATGTGCAAACTGGTATCATCTTGCAGTGAATGTCACATCGATGCTACCAGACCATACATAAAAGAATATAGGGTGATTGCAAAAGGTTAACCTGAACACTTGTATCCTGTGTTAATGCCCTCCATTAATCGCTCAAGTCAATGGGTTGTGAATGAAGATAGGCTTATTAAGTTTAGACCTCAGTTGCTTGAGAAAAAAAGGAGCCCCAACGGATATTGAAGGAGACTTTATAAAACCCATTTTGGGATATAGAAAAAACCACCATTATCAGCAGAATTGATTATAAGATAGAGTAGGTTGCTGATAAGGCTTGTGGTTAAATGTTATTAACCCCAGTTGGAGAAGTAAGAGCCAAACACAAACATTTTGAAACAGGAAACACTTGTGGTTAAAAAGCTTGATAAATTTAAAGATAAAATACAATAATTATATTAAGTAGGCCTAATAAAAATATAAACATACCTTTATATAGACGAAATAAATACCCTTTGTTTTAAGCAGCTAACAGAATAAAACAACAATCCCCATCACCTTCCGAAAAATGTATATTTTAATCCATTTTCGCAATTTTTATATAGGGTTGCATCATAATTTTTGCAAAAAAAGGCCAAAAATAAAAACTTGTAAGTTTGAATGCCAATTGATTCGATACTAAATTACAAACTTATCGAAGAATGATTAGGATTTTGCACCAAAACACCCGATTAAAATATTCTCTAAGAGTAAGGGGTATAAAGATTCTATTTAATATATAAAATAACTGTAAAAATAACATCTTTTACCAATACAAAAAAAAATTGCCTGTCCCTTTAGCTAAGTAACTGCAATGCTAACCATGTCAAATCAACCCAACTGCTCGTGCCCAAAAACGCATTTCACTTTCCTTACCCACCCACTGTGAACACCCCAATTAACAACTCGTTTACTCGTGTCTCATAAATTCGTAGGTTTATATTTTTTTGTTCAAAACAAAAGGATGGCTGGCTATTTCGAACAAAAGAGTGGCCCAGTGTATTGTTCCGACTTTACGATCCCGGTTGCGTCTAGCATTTCTCTTCGCGCAAAAGGCGGAAGGTCTCAGCGGGTTGGGCGCCGGAAACCTGCAGGGCGCAATTGAAGGTCTCCAGCAGGCAGGAGTTGGCCAACTCGGCACGATACTTGCCATTGGTTGATGCACACCGGCTGGTAGATCATCGAGCAGGGCTTGAAGCACTCCTGCACCTCCAGCTTGAAGTTGCCCAGCTTCTCGTGCAGATTCTCAACGAACTCGGAGCTGCACCAGGCGGCATCGGTGGCGGCATATGCTATTGGAAATATTTTTATTATATAGATTGGAAACCAAGCTAATTTCGGTTTTTTTTACTCACTCTGCAGGCTGTTCCTTTCGCGGCGACAATTGTCAGACAAAAGATTGCAGGCACTGGCGAACTCCTTGAAGTTCAGACCATCAGTTGCGCAAACTGGCTTATAGATGGCGGCACAAAACTGGGGACAGGCGGTATCATTGGTGGATACTGTATTTCCGTATACGGATGCCACCAAAGCCAGGCAGCAAATTGTCAAAGTTTGGCTCATCATTTTGAGGTTGTTCTATTTAAGTTTTTTCTTGGGTTTTTACCAACAAACGCGTTCTCTCTGTAGTAGCTATCGATTTCAATTGCCGTGACTGTCTGCAGTTTCATTGATTTTTATATATTTTTATGACTCTCTATAGCTACTAGTAGATAGTTTATCAGTTGTACAGTGTTGATAAGGACCGGGCCTCTTATCAGCGACCCAAACAAAAACTCGTTTATGCGGTCTACAGAGTTCTACAAAGTACCGGCACTGTTTGGGTGACTAACTATGTTAATACTCTTGCAGAGGGTGTACTTATTTTCACCAGAAGTTTACAACTCGGTAAACAATTTTATTATATTATACTATTTACAATTTAAACTTGGTATGTTTGAAATGATTTAAAGTAGATTTTATTCACCACTATTGATATATGAACTCGGGTCTTTAAAGGATTTCATGAGCTTATTTCGGAAGAGAATAATATTCTATTAAATGTATTGAGATTTATATAAATGTTAAGCTTCAACTTTTTTATTTAAGATATATTTCTTCCAAGCCCACGTACATTTCTTATTTGGTAAGATTTCTTTTAAACGACATACCTTCCTTTAATCAATAAAATGCAATACCGGGAAGAAAATAATAAATATCTCAAAATAGGTGCGTTTATAACTCCCGATAATTTTGCAAGCCTTAAGAAGGGCTTGTTCTTTTAAAATTGAGGTATAAAACGGGTGGTCACTTCGATGGATACTCCCAGTAGTGAAGTTTTCACCCTTCCAGTGACATTTCCTCAGTGATCTCCGTAGCATATCCTGAAATGGCCAAACAAGAAGGGATCTCCTCCTGCTTTTCCATCATCCCACGGAGCCCGTGTTCATGGACAAGGGTGGCGATGGAACCTTGTTTGAAGTACCCGATTCCTTTGTGACCGAACGCTTCAAGAAGATGGAGCAGCAGCACTCAGGCGCAGGTGGAAATGGGAGGCGTATATGTATCAAGGAGATGTCCATGCCCGATATAGGTTACTGCCTGTCCTTGGGTCATTCGGAGCAGTTCTCGCTATTCCTCAAGAGCCACCGCCAAATGGCCGGACATCTCATCGAGATCTTTACCAAACTGCCCACCGTGGATGAACTGCAGAGTGTGGCGGTGTTTGCCAGGGATCGGGTTAATCCGGTGATGTTTAACTATGCCCTGTCGGTGGCCTTGCTTCATCGTCCGGATACCCGGGGTCTGGAACTGCCCACCCTTTCGCAGACCTTTCCGGATCGCTTTATTGACTCGCAGGTTTTTCGCTCAGTACGCGAGCAATCCGTGGTTTTCGGTGATTCCAAGAACCGTGATCCCATCGTTATTCCCGTCAACTACACCGCCTCTGATCTCGAGCAGGAGCACCGTCTTTGGTACTTTCGCGAGGATCTCGGGATCAATCTGCACCACTGGCACTGGCACCTGGTCTATCCCAACGAAGTCTCCGAGGGAGCTGACCCACGGATCGTGGACAAGGATCGTCGTGGCGAGTTGTTCTACTATATGCATCAGCAGATAATCGCCCGCTATAATGCCGAGCGGTTGAGCAATCATTTGGCCCGTGTGCAGCCCATTATAGATTTGGAGGATCCCATAGCCGAGGGCTACTTTCCCAAGATGGACTCCTCGGTGGCCAGTCGGGCCTATCCACCGCGATTCGATGACACTCAGCTGAAGGATGTCGATCGTCCTGGTAATCAGATTAAAGTGGCCATTGACGATGTGAAACGTTGGCGGGAGCGAATCTATGAAGCCATCCACCAGGGCTACGTTTTGGATGTGAGCTTTGGCAACTCTTCTTTTTAATAGGAAAAATAATATAACAATAACTGCCATTTCAGGTAAACCACAAAGAAATTGAGCTGGATGAAGTAAAGGGCATCGATATTCTGGGCAACATGATGGAGGCCTCTGCCTTGTCCGTCAACCCTTCTCTGGTAAGATATATGTTTACTAGATAGGATATCTAAAATAATCCAAAATTCCAGTACGGTGACATGCACAACATGGGACACATCCTGATTGGCTACTGCCACGATCCCACCAACAAGCATTTGGAGGATCATGGCGTCATGGGTGACACATCCACCGCCATGCGAGATCCAGCCTTCTACAAGTGGCACGCGTTTATGGATAATATTTTCCAGGAGCACAAGCGACTCCTGCCTGCCTATAAAGAGGAGGATCTAAGCTACCCGGACATCCGTGTGATCGGAATAAATGTAGAAAGCCAGGGGGAGACCAACAAATTAACTACCTTTTGGCAGGAGTCCGATGTGGACATGTCCCGTGGCGTGGACTTTCTGCCCCGTGGCAATGTCTTTGCCAGATTCACCCATCTGCAGCACAGTCCATTCAACTACTCCATCGATGTGGAAAACTGCAGTGGAGCCACAAGATTGGGCTATGTTCGCATCTTCATGGCGCCCAAGTTGGATGATCGTAATGCTGCCATGTTTCTGGCGGATCAGCGTTTAATGATGATGGAGCTGGACAAGTTTGTGATTAAGATGCAGCCCGGAAGAAATACGATTAGACAGGAATCCAAGAAATCTAGTGTGACTATTCCATTTGAGCGCACTTTTCGCAAACTGGAGAAGAATCCCTGGCGACGCGAAATCTACGGAGAATCTGGAGAATTACTTCTGCGGCTGTGGATGGCCTGACCACATGCTGGTGCCCAAGGGTCGTCCGGAGGGTATGAAATTCGAACTGTTTGTTATGGTTTCCAACTATGAGAATGATAGGGTAAGTGTTTGATTGAAGGCCTTCTTGCGACCCATTTATCCAATAATCTCCTCTAGGTTGACCAGAATCTTGAGGGTTCTTGCTGCAACGATGCCGTTTCCTATTGCGGACTCCGCGATCGCCTCTATCCGGATCGCAAGTCCATGGGCTATCCCTTCGATCGAGTGCCTCGCAATGGGGCTGAGACCCTAGAGAACTTCCTTACACCCAATATGAACACTGTGGAAGTTACCATTACCCATGAGGATCGCACCGTTAAGTCGAATAATTAATAACTATTTGCTTAATCCAAAAACATTTTTATTTCTAAATAAATAATTATAACTATGTATAAACACTTGTCTTTTTAAAATATTTTTATTTTAAATAAAAGAAATCGAAAAATTTTATTTTAAAATTTCCTCTTTTGCTACTCTTACGATTTCTATATTTTTTTTCAGGTAGTTCCTTATTTTAGTTTTATTACTTTGAGGGTATTAAAACTTCGCCTTGCGATATTTAGCTTTTCTTTTCGATTTTCAATTTGCTTGTCTATCGTCTAGGTAAAATTTTGTTTTCAAAACAGCATCATCATCATCATCATCAAAGTTCCTGATATTATCTTGTTTATCGCATAGAACAGCGGTTCTGTCTGAAAATATTGATAATATCGGGGAAGTCTAAATTTCTATGTTGTTTTTATGGCAGTTGTTTTGATAACATTGTTTACAGATTTCTAAGTTGAGGTAATTTTTTTTTTTTTGGGGAGATGACTTACCTTTTTTAGTGGAATGGTGCGTTATTTCTTTTTAACGGATGTTTTGATGGTTTATTTTGTTTTCGAGGGTTTCGATTGCGTTATTTTGGCTGTAATTACATATGTTTGGTCTAGAAAATAATCAGAATCCAAAATTTAAAATGCTCCCAAGTTGGGTTAAGTTAAGTTACTTTAAAGCTATAATAAATTGTTAATAATAACTTAATCAAGAAATGTTAAATCGTGTTAAATGGATTAAAGTGAAATGATACAACACGTGTCTATGCTCATTAAAAAAAGGTCTACAAAACATAAGTTCGAAAAAAAAACCCCCATTCCCTTCACTCCCAGACGTTTGACAAATGATCGTGGATCTCGCCGCACATTTCTTCGATCCCCGGTCTAATTCGGTTACAACATTCTGACCGCCCACATTGTTGCACAGTTCATCGCAACTGCCGATCTCCATGGGGCACAATGGTAATTGAGGCCTCTCGACGCGCCGCACACGAAATGATCATGGAAAGAGGAGGTGGGGAATCCCAAACTCTGGTTGGTTGATGGTGGCCAAGGGAGCGTGGTGGTGGCCGGGCCTAATCACCGTTTAATGGTGTTCACACACTTGTTGCTGACGGCGCCCTCCACATCCATAGACCTGGCCAAAACCAACAAGTTAACAACAGACCAACCTGGCCCGGCCAATCAATGACCGCTAAGCGAATGCTCGTCACGCACGCGAAGGCCGCTCCGCTGGTCATCGTCATCGAGAATTGGGTACACACGCGTCCATTAAACCCAACTGAAGACTGAAGATTGCGGAGACCACGAACCACAACCCATTTCCATTCTCAAACCCAATCCCAGATCCAGGATCAGGTTGTTTTGGTTCGGTCTCTCAGTGCACACAGGTATGCAAATGAGGCACAGCCCATCCAAGATAGCCATCGGGGCTACGATTCCGTCCCCCAGGTGACTGGGACTGGGACTCATCGCTATCATCGCACTACCATCGCCATGAACAGTGTCATCAGCATTATCAACGGCATTCCATGATGGCTATGGGTTCTTTCTTCCAATTTTCAATTCTTTCGTGCAGACAAGCCTCGCTTTGCATACGAAATTAATTATGTGCTGTCAAAGGCAATTTAACAGAAACTTATATTGCTACTTAATTTACGTCACGGCGCTACCAGAACTTCTGGATTCACTTGGGAAAGGGTATTGCCACTTTTACTGGAGGTTTGAGAATGGAAAATATACAAATTTTCTTAGGAGGTTCATATTTTGATTTTTGGTAGTTTTTTTAACACTTTAAATTAAATTTTAAACATTACCTAAAATGGTTTTATCTTATTTTATTTCAATCAAAATATCAATTACAATCAATAGGAGTAATTAGGATGAATTCGCTAATAATATCTTGCAGAAGTCTTATATTTTTTTAAGTGTCTATATATTTTTATGCATTTAACTAATATCTTATACAATTTTTGTAAGTATTTCTAGCCCTAATATTAAACTTTTATTTACATAAATATACTAAACCTAAGTTAATATAGTTAGTCCTTAAATTAAAGGTTATAAAAGAAGAGTATCTAAAATCTCGAATATTTTCAAATCGTTCTCGATCTTTCTGGTTATTCATGTTGTTATGTTATTTTCCTTTATTTTTTCCAACTCCTTCGCTTGCCGCTTCCCTGCTGTCGACATCAATTTGCATTTTTAGTGTAGGAGAAATGCGTTTGAGATTGATAGAGACAGAGACAGACGGAGAGTGTGTGAAAGAGTGGGAAAATATCGTGTGAGGGACCTGCGTCGGATTTTGATGATTCCCTGGATTCCCTAGCCAAGGCGATTATCTTTTTGCGGCAACCGTTTTTTATGCCCAATTTCAACGTCCGCCTCGAGACGCCTTGGCATGTGATTCGATGTCTTGAGGTGTTGACGTCTACATGTTGCATTTTAATTGTGGTTTTTGGTGTTTGTCTGTCGCTTCTCCGTTCTGGGATCTTTCACTCGGTTCTTGGGGTTTTTCCCCCGCCTTTCAGCCTTTCTCCACTCCCTCGCCGACTCATAAATAAGTTGTACGACAAGGAGCTGCCGTGAAGTTATGCGCACGACATCCATATTTGGTCGCACACAGGTGGCGATGGTGGCCTTAGCCAAGGTGATAGCCATAACACTTGGCCGCTGGCCAACTTGGCTCTTGGCTCTTGGCCACATCTCTCCGGAGTGCCGGCCACATCACACCTTCGGGGTAAAATGGCAAACAAGACAAGGCTGACCACAAGGTTGTCCATTTTTGGATAGAGTTATCCAAGGAATTGACTTTCTTGTGGACTGTGTGGGCTGGTTTACTGCAGGATGTGCTAGAGTCTTTACTGACCCAGTTAGAGGGGTATTTTAATTGTACCCCAGTCAATTACCACATACTTGCTTAGATTCCTAAATAACTAGATTGAAAAAGGGGTTAAAGATAAGTATATCCTATGATGTTGTTAGGTTTAAAATATTTTAAATAACATATAATTAATTGGTATGGTATTCGTAATATTTGAAATGGATTAAATATCAATTAAATCTATAAAGTCTCTCAATAGTTTAGCCATCAACTAATAAATCGTTACATTGTTCTTCTTATGTGTAAACTAACTCTCAGCCAACATAATTCTTAGAACTTATAAGCGAGTACAATTAAATTGGACTATTCTAATAAATTTCAAATATTAAGTAAGGATATATTTCATTACTAAATATTTACATTCATTTATTTTTACTATTTTCATTCCATTAATCAGCTCTTACGCAGCAAACTTTTCCCGTAGTAATTCAAGTGATTTCCCATCTTTTATCATACTCTGGAAATAACTCGAAATATCATCTCCCCAAAAGTAGTAGTTGCTCTTATCTGGCACGTTGACTTCGAGAACAATATTTGGTGTAGGACAACAAGCGATTCATTCATGTGGAATGCGCAGCGAATCATAACAATCTCGGAAAAGATAATAATGTTTTATTTTTATGCTGAAACCAGAAACCCGCAAACCCTTTAGACCAATAATAAGATGAGTGAATTTGATTTTGATATTTCTTGTTTTGTATTTTGTACGTTTGTTTTAAAGCTCTCTTTTTCTCTTGTTCTATCACAATATCTTAATAACTAAATGGAAGCGCTGGATCGCCGAGATTTGTAGGTTGTAGTTAAAGCCGCTGCTGCTATCACAATGTTTTGTAGAGTTCTTCGAGTTCCTGAAGGATGGATGTTGGTTTTCTAGGCCTGGGCCCAACGATCCTGGAACTGCATGGAGTAGCACATGGCGGGCTCAACGCTGGCGACTGGCTGAAGATTGGTGGTCCAGAAGAAGGTGCCGGCGGTGGTGCGAGCGAAGCGAACTGGGACATAGACGTCCTCCTCCTCCTCCTCAATCTCGAACTCCTGGGAGTTTTCCATTTGAGCCAATTTCTCGTTGGCGGCGTTCTCATCGATCTCGGCATAGTAGGCCTCCTCAACCTGGGCGTTGCGCAGGTTGTCGACGGATTCTAGGGATTCCAGAGAGCCCTGGGGCTTCTGTTCCCGGTGCTTCTGCTGCTTCTTGAAGAGTGTCTTCAAGACCTGCTTGATGCTGTAGCTGGTCTTCATCTTGTTGTTGGTGGTGGCGACGACAACGACTTGCTGGCACATTTTTGGTTGGTTTTAATGTTTCGAGTGAGTGTGCTGAGTGCGTGTGTTGCTTGAAAGGCTGACGATGTCAGAATGATTTCCCAACCGGCAAACGGACGGCTTTTATAGCCGAAGTGCATTTCCTGTGCGCTCGAGGAAAAGAGAGGGCGCGAAACAGACCCCTTGGGAAGACACGCACCGCAGAAAGGGAAGGGAACACAAACAGAGAAGCGAACCAGAGACCCTCGCCCTCAAAGACCCGAGATAATCGGGGCGGAGAACCTGAAATACGACGCTCTGCAGGAGCCGGGGGAAGTTTTGAGTTCAGTTCAGGAGCAGGTAGAGAGGAGACGAGAAGAGTGCATCGCATCCGAAGGAAACAAACCCCTACAAAAACTGCAACTGTCCAACGAGTGTGGGAAACAATTTTTCGTTGGCCTTAAAATTTTCGGAAACGTATTCAAGTGCCCCGAGAAATCCCCGAGAGTATCAGAAAAAATCACCAATACTCGGGCAAACCAGGACACACCGATACGGGGCAGGTGTTCCTTGGTAAAATTTCTCACGACACCGAAGGAAGCCCAGGATCAAGCAGAACAACAACCACATCGGGGGAAAAGGAGTTGCAAATTGTATTCCTAATGGGCAATCAACATAAAGGAAGAGGGTCTTCGAGACAGAAAAACTCCAGGACCATTCCCACGCATTCCCACACATATTTACTCGTCCTGGTTTGGGTTTCCAGAAAGATATAATATGAAAAGGGAGAATCAGAGAACTGGGGGTTGGGATCAGCTATTTGTATAGGCATCTCGAATCACTTGTTATGGTGTTTTGATTCTGATTTCCAACTTTCCCACAGGGCTCGAAACACCGAAAACCACCACCAATAAAATATCAACGCCACTTGTCTTCAATTTTGGAAACACTCCCCAGGGGTGAGAATCCCAGAATCTTATAGATATTTTAATTGATTCCCTTTCAAGCGGCCCAAGTGTGCTGAAAGTGTGGAGCGACAGGGAGGGTTTCTTTAGGGATAGGAATTGCGCCCTCGATAAGGCCGAGAAGCAGGGAGAAAGTGTGGGCAAAGCGAGCTGAGAACGAGATACGAACGCGTACTTGAAGATATGTTTCAATGGGGATCCTGTTTAATGGTTCGCTTCGTTTTTTATCAGTGCCACTAATGGATCGTTCAGATTGCACCCCCTGCCAAGACTAGTGTTTGGGAAAACGAGAAAAAGCAGAGAAGATTCAAGATCCCCAAAGTGGGAGTCTTTTCAGGGGGGATTCTGATGATCCCACTATCTAGTAGTTTTTCTGGGGGCCTCCTGTCAAGGGGCCATTGACAGTTTACACTTGGCGGAGGCCCGCGATGATGATGCATCTCTCGGCCTGCTGGTGGTGGTAATATGATATATGCACTCGAAATCTTTACAAAAAATAAAAGCCACAGCTTCAGCATCTCAGCTTCAGTTCCAGTTTGAGTTTGAGTTGGAGTTGCCGAGAGATAATGGGCAACGTGCCAAGTGCCCGGCCGTGTATACACAACAAACAGTGCATAAAAGCAGGCGGAGGAGCCATTCACAACCCGGTGGTTAAAGGGGGGCAGGGGGGATCGGGGGGAGCCGAGACTGCAGTAGGAGGTGTGCCGGGTCTTTTATGTGATCTCCGAACGGAGTATGTGTCGGCATCCCAGCAGCCGACCGAGCAGAGTCCACTGGCTTTGGCGGATGGCAAACTGGTTTCTGGCTTTTTCGGATCTCTTTACATACACCACGAGAGATGCCAATGCCAGCAAGGGTGCACTTTGAAAAATATTCAACTTAAAAGTTGAGGAAACCAATGGCTAAAAATCACATTCCCACTCTATTGTAAACCAATCCAAGTTAAATTCCAAATAGACATACTTAACGTAAAAGAAAAGGTCTAACTTCTTATCTTAGACGTCTCTGATTTTACAAAAATAATATATTTACCTATATTTTTGGAAGGAAAAAATAATAAAATAAAATTTACCTGAATATTTGTGCTTATTAATTTAAATTAATTATTATAATTATTGGAACCCAACATATTTGAAATCATCCAATACTGCAATATTTTGACTTGTAATACTCTTAACTGAAATCATACAATAATATTGAATCCAAGTTGAACTTTCCATATTTCCTTCTAATCATTCTATATTCCAATATTTTGACTTGAAACTCTTTTAATTGAAAAGGTAATACAATTTTATTGTACCCAAGTTGAACTATCCACATTTCCTTCTAATCGAACTTGGACTTTCAATTGGTATTATAAATTCCTAATCCATTACCCCGACCCTTAACCCCTATTTTTCTGAGTGCACACATGGACACACATACTTAACGCTCGGCTATGACGAACAAATGTGTAAAGCATTAAAAAAGAGATCTAAAAAATACGAAAAAAATGAGAAAAGCTGAATAAAAAAAAAAACAAAAGCGTCGACCGCATCCTAAACAGCGGCAACCGTCAGAGGCGGCGGTGGAAGAGGGGGAGGGGGTCAAAGAGGGGCGACCGACGGCGGACTGAGCTCGGGCCCAAGCCCCAACCAATCTTTTCAAGTTGATCCCCATCAAGATATTATTTGACAGCAATGAAACGACTGGCACGAGTTTGTTTCCCACGGTCTGGCGTTGCTTTAGTGTGCGTTCGTATCTGTGAGGTGGGGCTTTGCCGGGGGCAGGGGGTTTTCGAAGGGGGTCTTCCGAGGGGCGAGAGGGAACCCACCGACGACTGCTGACTTGGCTGGCTGCTTTTCGCGGCGCAATAAAGTTGAAAGCGCACTGTTGGATATAAATTAATTCAACAACACGCTATGGCCATACATATAGTGGTGTTGTTGTTGGGCCCCCGATCTCCGGTCTCCGGTCTCCAAGTTTTGCACGCTCTCGTGCCCCGCCCCCCTTTATACCGCCCCCTCTGGGCAATCGACCGACTCCGCGGGGGCACTGAAATTCGCGCGTGCGTATGCCATCGATAAAAAAAATACAAATAAAAATAAAAAAAAAATGGTTTAACAAAAAAGCAACCAAGAGAAATAATAAAGCGAGAGAAATGAGGTCTTTCGAGATATATTCGTATGTATCGTGTATATGGGTATGTGTGTTTATTTCTTCGGATGATTGGGTGTATAAAATGCCAGTTGGTCTTAAGCGACTTGGGCACATGCGCTACACGCCATTCAGAATTACAGAATCTGATGAAATTTCATAAAGTGAATCACTTCCTTATTTCAGATTCCTGATAATGTTATTAGGAATTCGAGTTCTTTGTGAGCCAGCATATTGGTAGTTTCAATTCCAAATTTATAAGGCCACGCTTGATTTCATCTATTAAGGGCACGTGCTCGACCACTGATTTTCCTAATTACTGCAATTGGTATTAATGATATGAAATACAACTGTGATTCAGTACTTGAAAAGCTGGAAAATCATTCATGCTTAGGCCTTTATTATAGCGATTACACGAATTATTAGATCTTCCGAAAATGTTGGACTATTTTAAGTGTATTTGAAACCCTTAGGAAATGTTTATGTAATTATTTTTTGATTAGCAATTATTTCAATTAATTTATAATAACGTTACCAGTTTGTAAAGCTAGTTTATCTGAACGATTATAAAAGAACTATGTGTAATATCCCGGATCAATGTCTAGAAAATTATAAAAACGATTTGTTGTTCTTGGTTTCGATTACAAAACACTATTAAATAATAATTTAAGCCATATTTATAAATTATCTAATCAAGTCAGATAAATTACACTTACTGGAAACACTAAACGATTTGTATACCTTTATATAAAAATTGTTAGAATAAAATCACGCCATATAATAGTAACTGAACTGCTATAATATAATTTTTTGGCGCTATTATTGGAATGATAAATAAATATTTCGTATATAAATTGTTCGCATTAAGCAAATATTATAAAAATCCATAAAATTTTTATAGCAAGATCTTCCTATTTCCAATAAGAAATTATCTTTAACAGGACATTGCGAAATATTATGGAATACCCACCCCAAAAAGTGCATCTACCACTTATAAAATTCCCCCGACCCATAAAATCCAATTAGTCATTTCCGGAGCATTCAGCTTTTTGACATCCACAGTTTAACTGTCCCGGTCCAGCGAGCTAAACAGAGAAACAAAACAAAACGTTTTCGGTTAGATAAGTTGTTAATGCTAACTGATTGTGTTGGCCCGTTTATCGTTTATTGCCGTTGCTGCTTTGTTTCGGCTAACTGTAGCTCATTTCGAATGCGTCGAGGGGCAATCTTAATTTATCTTATTTTCTCATATGGTGAGTAGCCTTTGTTATTTCTTATTTTCTTATTTGTGTGCCAATGAGCCGGGCTCGTGTCATTTTCAATGGACTCAGGCCGGCACTTCTAATTAAATATGGTGAAACCTGAGCTTTTTCGCCGAGAGAGCTGATGTGTCAGATCGGATCGGATGTATCATATGCCGGCGGATGGGGATCTAGCATCTCGAGCTGATGAATCACGGTACAATACGATACGACGATAAAGCGCTAAAAATAAATGCCGAATGTGCTAAATATATATCGCGTTTAAGCCCACACGAGCCACATAACATTTATAGCGTGTGCTGGCAACAACCATAACGATTGTAACCGACTTTCGATCGGTTCCCAAGTTCCCAGAGATGGTAATTGTCTACAAATAGAAGCGAGCGACGACCCAAGATACCCCCTGTACCAACCGAGCAGCCCCAACCCGACAATCAAGAATAATCATGTAAACGAAAAGCGTAATGCTCGTCCCACGAAACCCACGACTACCACGATCCAATCAATGATCCATAAAGCGCTAACCAAAAAAACCAAAAAAAAAAAAACCAAGAGCCCGTCCCCGAATGACGATTCCACAATTATCAGCGTGCCATAAGCTACCGACTGCAAAAGCAAAGGCAAAAGCAAAAAGGGTGAAGGCACATGGCAAGACTTGACTTGAACCGAACCTCACTGGAAGACCCAAAAGACCGGACCATACCGACCATACAAATGAATTGAAATGCAAACATCTTGTTATGGATGGAAGGCATGTGCTCGCCTCGCATCGTATCTCGGGATCCCAAGTCGCACAGACCTCTTAAAGGCGGTCGGTCGTTCAGTCCGTCTGCCTGTCTTTCAGTCCACAAAAGACCGAGCGACTGAAAGACGGACGAGGGATCGTACAAGACCCCAAGCATGCACAATCAGAAGAAGTCAGGCCAGCCGTCGTCGTCGTCGTGGAAATCGGCTGCGAAACAGTTTCCCACGGTATAACAATCACAACACATATATATAGAGGGACTGAGGAAGGGGGATGGAGTGAGTGAGTGAGCAAGAGAGAGAGCCTCGTTTTATTGCCCTCACATATACACCATACAGAAGCCACCACCACGAGCAGTACGAAAAAACCATCTGAAAACCACCGCTGGCAACAGCAGCAGGCCGCGCACGAGGCAAAATGAGTGTCCCGCTCGCACTCACTGCCGTCGGTCTTATGGAGGCAGAGGCTATATAAAGCCGAGCCCGAACAGCCAGCCGATTCATTCAAAGCTTCGACTTCGTTGCGTGTAGATCGACATAGAGTATAGTACCTCTGCGACTGTGGATTACGCGAGTTTACTCTACTACTTCAAGTAATATCTATAAAATACCAAACAACAAGATGGTTCTGGAGATGGAAATGTCCAAGACCTATCAGTACCGCAAGGTGATGAAGCCCATGCTGGAGCGGAAGCGTCGTGCCAGGATCAACAAGTGCCTGGACGAGCTGAAGGACATCATGGTGGAGTGCCTGACGCAGGAGGGCGAGCACATCACCCGGCTGGAGAAGGCCGACATCCTGGAGCTCACCGTGGAGCACATGAAGAAGCTGCGCGCCCAGAAGCAGCTGCGTCTGTCCAGTGTCTCCGGTGGGGGAAACCCAAGTTCCCAAGATCCCAAGCTCAGCATTGCCGAGAGTTTCCGGGCGGGCTATGTGCATGCCGCCAATGAAGTGTCCAAGACTCTGGCCGCCGTTCCCGGAGTGAGTGTGGATCTGGGCACCCAGCTGATGAGTCACCTGGGTCATCGCCTGAACTACCTGCAAGTGGTGGTTCCCTCGCTGCCCATCGGAGTGCCCCTTCAGGCTTCTTCAGAGGATCAGGGGGCCATGGTCACACCACCGCCCTCGGAATGCGGCAGCTTGGAGAGCGGCGCCTGCTCGCCGGCTCCCAGTGAGGCCAGCTCCAGTTCCTCCGGACCCATGTGGCGACCCTGGTGAGCACTGGACACCCAGCTGAATCGCCTTCGAGAGGAAGGCCTTCTACAAATTGTTGCCCCGCAGAAAAAGGTGCTGGAAACCCGCCTTTTGGAGCTCTTCAATTGCCGCCCAGGATTAGTTGTTCCTGGCCGAGAAAAGCAGAGTCAACCATCTCTAGCAGAGCCACACATTCCGGCTATAGAGATTGCTGCTTCATTTTCAAGAAACTGAAAAAAAAGAAACTGAAAATAAATGAAATTCCCAACTAAAGAACCTCTGCATTTTTATCGTTTTCCACTATATTACTCAGACTTCCCAGGCATTTAGTAGGCGTCCAAGCGCAAAGTCTAAAACAAAAAACCCCTTTAAAAACAAGAAACAAATTAAAGATAAACTCCACAGAGCCCACAGCCGGAAGTCGCTGAATATTTTCCCACACTCTGGCTTGGCCTCATTATGAACCGAGAATTTCGAATTCCATGGGCCAAAATGCGGGGGGTTTTCAAGGGGTATGCTATATGTATGCTATATCTGCGGGAACTTTTGCGCCGGCGCTGTCGCTGTCGCAATTAAATAATAAAATAAAGCAAAAAGTCAGTTCTAGGAAACGTCATTTATTATGAGGCCCGAAGTCGAGTGTGAGAACCGCGGCTCCGCTGTCAATGGCTCAGCATTGTGTTTTAGTTTTTTCTCTCAGTTTTTTTTTTGTCCAGGCTTTGACAGCTTTAACTGCGCTTGACCGCTTGGCACATGCGCGGACCGCCGGTCAGACATTCAGACTTTCAGACATTGCAAATTAAGCCCGCGACCGCGACCGTCTCGGCACTTAAGTCTTAAAAACTCTACAGTCTAGAGATGTATGGGCATGGGTATGGGTTTCGAAGTGCGGTTCGATTACGGAACCTCGGATATTCAGCGCCTTTGTCTGCTGGACAACGACAACTATGATGATGACTACTTACCGGGTCGTCTTGAGTTTTGTGGGACCGTTCAAGCCGTCGCTGATTGCTGTTAATCTTCAGAAAATGTGATTAGTCACGTAACTTTGCCGCGGAGACGGTGCTTTTTTAGCGCTTCTCTATGTTTTTTGTTGATACAAAACGGCTATTTATAGGGCTCAACGGTAGTCTACGGCAAATGGGTGATCTATTTCGCGATGGACCAGTTGAAAAGCAATCAGTTTGGGTTTTGAGTGAGTCTAGGCCACAGCCGGCGGCCAATTGGATGGGTTAGTTTGTGAAACCGATCTAGAGGGGTTCCCATTGAACCTGTCTGCGGCTTTGGCTTTTATTTTACGCCGAAACGTGCGTCATTCCTGAGAGCTTAATGTGTTTGAACATGATCTCTGATGACTTAAGAGTAATTTATTGGAAACCACCTAATACTCGATTGATCAAAGATATAGATCTTAACGATGAATCATAATTATATTTATCATATTTTGACCAAAAATCGGATTATTTCCTTTCTTCAAAAAAAAAAAATATTTAATTTAAAAATAAATAAAAAATAAGTCTGAACAGTCTATCGATAAGCAATTATAACGATGAATCATAATTATATTTCTTTTTTTGTTTCCAAAAATCGTATAATTATTTCCTTCCTTAAAAAAAAAAAAACTTTTAGAAAAAAAAAAAAATAAATAAAAAAATGTTATACCAATCGATAAGCAATTTGTTTACGATTTAATAAAAAGAAAAGTGTGCCAAAAAAGGATCGAAAAGGATTTTAAATACAATATTCACATAACTATATAATTAAGTAAGTTTAAACTATTGTTAAATTCAATTTTAAAATTAAAAAAACATTTAATTAGTTATAGTGATCCATCATTATTCTGTTTTTATTTATTTGTGTAGTTATTACTTTATGATCCCCTTTCGTGCCTCAGACCTAACCCAACCCACTTCGAATATTGTGACAGGAGGTACAGTAGAGCCCGCACGTCATCCATCACGTGACCTCTGTGTGTGTCGGTGGCCCCCATATACCTCATATACCCCACATGGCATCGAAATCACCGCGGGTCCGGCCACCTACTTCAGTCATAATACTCCGCACGCCGCTAAGGTTTAATGCAGCCGTATTAAAGTAAGCGCAAGACCACCACTTAATAAAGGAGAGGCGGCGGCGAACCGGACTGGAAGGAGGATGCTATAAGATGGGTTGGCATTGGGTTGGAGTCGGCACTCGTGCCTCGGTCTTCGGGCAGTCCGTCCTCCTCCATTCCCATACCCATACGATCCCATACAAACACAACCTGTGGGCAGCTTGTCCAGTGGCAGCCAGAGCGTGTGCCAATGTAGTGTAACAACATCCCATATTAAAGATATTACAGAGTCAATAGCACACCATATAAGTGTGGTTGGTTGCCTCTCCACTGCATCGGTCGAAACTCCCCATCTCCCACTCTGAATCCCCATAACCGATCTCCTCTGGCATCCCGCTCGCTCTTGCGCTTTTTGGCCATAAACCAACTAAATTGAGTTCGTTCAACAAAACAGCGACGCATGCGCCGAACCCGAAGTCAGGAACCCCTTCTCCCACCCCTTCTTTACCCCTTCTTTACCCCTTCCTCAGATCACACGGCGCGCTCTTAACGATCGTGTGTCCACAGTCATTACAATGTTGGATGTTGGCCAATGCACAAAAGTTGAGACTGCGACTGCGACTTCGACTGAAGCTGAGGATTCGACTGAGACACACTTACCGCACGCTGCTTTTCTCTTTCATGTCGATCTATAGCCATATAGCCATATAGCCATAGCTGTAGCCGCAGCTCGAGTCGGTCGTGATCTTGCCCGTAAGTGGTCTTGTATCTTGAATTCGTAAAAGTACGCACACATAGGCAGCCCAGACATACACACAGAGACACACACATAAAAAGGGCAGGTGTGTCGATCGTGTGAGAACCACGTTCCAAACCATTTTCTCACGATCTTCGCTTCTGATATTTCTGTGTTGTTTTTTTTTTCTGGCTACGGTCCCTTCCCCCCACCCTCCAAAAAAGACCCTTTCTTTGGGCCTCAGTCTTCCAGTCTTCGAGTGATTCGTATGCAGTTTGTGTATTGTAGTTTTTAATGACTTGGGCTTGCGTTCGAGCTCGATCGCCGGATTGCCGGATTGCTGTTTCGGATCGGGGGTTCGGTTACGTCGCCGCCATTCGTTCATCATTCATCGGGTTTACCTATAAGATTAAGTATCTTTTGTGAACAGCATTTCCTTTTGGCATTTTGGGTGCGATTCCTCGCTGCATGCCCTTACTTTTCTTATTGCTTATTGTATGGTATGATAGTATAGTATAATAGTATAGTAACTGGGTCTGGTCGGGTTGGTGTTGGTCCTCTTATTGTCAACGCGACAGTTATGTCGCCTGATCGGATCATCTAGGGATGGACAAGGGCTGAAGGTGAGTTAAGATTTTGCATGGCTCTTAAGGAGGGTGTCTTGTTCGAAGGGTAAAAAGTTGTCTTAGGGTGGAAGTGACATTGAAACTTTTTAGGAGATGACCTTGGGGAGATTACCAGTTAATGATTAATGGACTGTAACGATTGACAGATCACTAGGACCCACTAGGTATTAGGAATTGATCAATTAAATTAAAAGATAAACTTTAAAATTAATTACTAGATGGTGAAGAAAGACTTTATGTACAATGTTTACTTTAACCAATTGGTACTTCAAGATCAATATTATAGTTACTTATTTCCTTTTTGAATTTTAATGGTTCTAGAAAATTGTATATAATCTCCAATTTTTAATCATTTCCATAAATAATTGCTAGCACCAAAAACCCATAAGAAGAACGGAAATGTAAAATTAAGTATAAACACTCAAGACTGTTAAAAAGGTGATCTTGTTCAGATAATCAACATTCGGCTTTAACAAGTCAACAGATTTGTAATCAGCCGAAAAATCTCTATAAATTGGGATCCCTGGAATTTATTACACCCATCGCTAGTCCCAAGGCAATCCTGAGATACCGATCTCGTTGACTATTCCCTCGTCTTGTGTTTGTGCCCTGCGTCGATTTTAAAGACAGAGGCGTCTGGGGATCGGCTACTGGTCTTGGCACACACAGATAACCAAATGATGCTGGGTCAGTCAAAAACAAAAAAACCGAAAACCCGAAAGGCCCTAAGCAGAACCCATAAAAAAGAAACAAAAAACGATATCCTGTCCCAAAAGGGGGCTCCTCCATCCTAAAGTTGCCCTAGGGCAAGGCACTCATTTACCTGATCCGAAGCAATTATGTGCCCATATCTTATAGCTTACCTTGACCATTGTGCACACGATTTTCTAGCCGAGTGGCCAGCCAGAATCTCGGCGTAAAAAGAAATAAAGGAGGAGAACAAAGCAAAATCAGGATGGATGCGGGATGAATGATGACTCGAGATCCCTTCTTTTTTTGGGATACTGTATGGTAGTTCCACCCCGGCTTTTGTGCCCATTTATTTTCCTATTCCAAACTCCGAGCGACATTGTCGTAACTCGATTAGACACGCTGAGATAAGACTCTAATTTTTTGTGTTACCTTTCCTTATTGTCCGCACACGTGTGCAAAGGTCCAACCTTATAGGTATGGTCTCTAACCATCGGTAGCCCAGAGTTTGGATTCTTCTTAATTCTTCTTGTTTCGGCCTTGGCATTGTTTTCGCTTTCTTTTGTCTACTGATCGTGTGCATTCGTGGGGCGATCGAGTAGTTACAATAGATTGGACAAACAGAGCAGCTAGCATTTCCGTTCTAGACCGCAGATTTACAAAGAACTGTTTGGGAGTGTCTCAGCAATTTGCATGAATCACTTCAAAATAGTGGCAGTAAAAAGTCGTGATCTTTCAATTTTAGCTATATAATTTATTATTTATTTAGTTATCACATGAACTGCGAGGGTTCTCATCTAAAGCTTTGTGTGTTTATGGTGTTTAGGTGCTTAAAACTAGGTGGGGAGTCGCAACTGGGGGAATTCCAGTGACTCGGAAGACTTTTACTTTCCATCATCTCTCCGGGGTTCTTTTCTTATAAGTAGAAAACCCTTCTACCAGGGACGCCAGACGTTCTCCTCGTCCTCGCTGTCGTCCTCCATTTTGGTCACGTCGATGGTGGTCAACAGGGAGTGGCTGGTGGAGCTGGCATTGGAGTTGGGGCTGCCGGCGTAGCTGGAGACTGGCGAAATGGGCACGGAGTAGGCATCCCGGGTGGCAATGTGAACGGAGAGAGGAGCGGTGACGGGAAGAGGTTCCTTCTCAGCTGGCTGAATTTGGTTGAGTCGCTGTCCCAGGTGGGTCATCAACTGAGTGCCCAGGCTGACGTTCATTCCAGGCAGTTGAGACAGTGAACGGGAGACCTCGTTCACGGCATGGATGTAGCCGGAACGGAAACCCTCAGCCGGAGTCAAGCTCTCATCGCCGGAAGCCTTCTTCTGATGACGCTGCTGCTTCATCTTTTGCAAGTGGGTCACGGTCAACTCCAGGATGTCGGCCTTCTCCAAGCGGGTGACATGCTCGCCCTCGGACTCCAAGGTGGCCACCATCAGATCTTTGAGTTCATCCAGGCACTTGTTGATCCTGGCACGACGCTTCCTCTCCAGCATGGGCTTCATCACCTTGCGGTACTGATAGGTCTTGCTCATCTCGGACATTTGCAGTGAAGACATTTTCTCGATATTTAAGTTGAGTTCTTTTTTGTGAGCTGTGGCTGCTCTGACAGTCGAAGACGTTGTGTGTTGTCGGAGTTTCGGGAGCCCGACCTTATATACTCGACCAGCCAGAAACAACCCCCAAAATGGGAATGTGCTGGCATTTTGAGGAGCCAAAGGTGGAAAAGGGATGGCGACACGCTTCGTGTGCTGGAATGAGGGTTGGTTGGCACACACACAGACCCTTCCGCTTCTTGAGACCGCTCCTTATTGTTCGGGCGATTTCTTATTGCTGCCCCGGCACCCTTATCAACCGAGAGGGAGCAGGATCGCCCGGCAGGATCGTGGGAAACACTTTCCTGCTCGGTTTCTCACCGAGACTCGAGACCCGAGACCGAGGCTCACCTGCCCGCAAAAAGCGAGAGGCAGAAAGCAGCCGAGCATGGCTATGGGAATTTGCAGGGCGAACAGCTGCCGTTTTCTAGATTTGTGTGTTATGATTTGACTATCCGGGGAGGGGGACCACAAGGATAATGAACTGCCTGCTTTATGCCATCTCATCGGGGTATTGGAACCTCTGCGTTTCCCACGATAGCGAGGACCTCTGCCGGGGGAATGGGAATGGGGATGGGGATAAGGACGAGGCGTTGCGATTCCTTCGACGACTTCCTGTTTACCGTTGGCATTCCAAATTGGATCGGGTTCGTATTCCTCGGTGGCAGAGGAAGGACGAAGGCATCCTGCACTTGTTGGTCGGCTGTTAAGATCCTGTGGGAACATTGCTCGTGTGCGTCGAGTGTGCTTAATGTGTGTCGCTCGACTTCGGCCGCTTCCCCGCTCCCCCTGACCCCGAAGGACCTCCGATGTAAAAGGGGCCAGCGATGCTGATCCTGGAGCGCTGCTTGCATCGCGTCTGGCTCGCGGTAGACACACTTTCGGCTGTAAGTTGCTCGCGTTCCGAGGACCTTTGTAATGGAATGGTTGTAATGGATGGATGGGTGGTGCATGACGGGGATTTGTAACATGAGTGGGTTCTTCAAATGGGTTGGAGTCAATTAGAACTTGTGATGTGGGTCAAAGGGGATAAGGACGAAGCTCCACAAGGTTACCTTCACGAAAGTAAAGTAGGTTATAACTGGACGTCGATCGATCCTCAGTTGGTACAAAAGCAAGTAACTCTAATCTAATAGAATAGGTAAATCTAATTATTAATTTGTTGAAAACGTTTTTAAAAAGTTGCCTATTATATTATTTCCTCAATATGGTATACAGTAAAATATTTAATGAATTGGAGCCACAGTTTGGTAAACCTTTTTATTTTAAGTATAGTCCTTTTTAGTTTTTGAAATGTTTTTATTAAGGATCAACCATATTCAACCAAATTTTTATGAAATTATATTTGCTGTGGAAAATTTGTTATTATTGATTTTCCGTTTTTTTCATTTTGATTTTTTTAAATCACATGTTTTCACTATATTATGCAAAATTTAAGTTAATGTGGTATATTGACATTATGATATTTTCTAGACATAGAAATAAATAAAATAAACATTTTATGCATACTTAGAAATACGGCTTGCTTTAACCAGGATCATTTGACAATAAGACTCAAGACGTAACTGTAAAAGGTCTAATTTATGCCATTATTCCCATTTTCTCTTAAATATGCTATAAACGTAACCAGTACAATATTCCAACCCTCGGTTTTTCATATCCCAAACAATGAAGACATTTAAAATTTCAGTTTATGTTCTTTTTTATTATTCAAGTGTTCATGGCTTAGATTAAATGTTGTAAAGCAAAAATGTAAATTTAAAGCATACAAAAAATGTGTGTTTTTCCTTAATGAAACTAAGTGGAAGCTCGGTGGGGAAGCTCTTTGTGTTGAGATGATCAAATAAATTACAATCAATTAAATACATGAATTATTTAGCCTAGGGGAGATCAAATACAAAATACGAACTTAAGAACTATCACAGGAACATCACATCATATCAAATTAAATCAACTACCAACTAAATACGATTCTGAGGCAAATGTTTACACTAGACCTTGGAAAACTTGGATTGTTTCTTAATGAAACTGAGTTTAGTAAAGCTATCGATTGGTTGCGTGTGTATTTGGGATGCTCCTTTCACCAGGGACGCCAGACATCCTCGCCATGGGGGATGATATCCTCTTCCTGCGGAGACTTGGAGCGCTTTTGATCGGCCAGATTGACGGGTTCCTGGGGGTCCTCCATTTCGGTGCTGTATTCCTCCTGTTTGATATCCTTGAGCTGGTGGCCCAACTGCTTCATCAGGTGGGTGCCGAATTTGAGATCCAGGCCGGGAACGGTGGAGAATATATGAGAGACCTCGTAGGCAGCCTGGGTGTAGCCAGCGCGGAATTTATCCAAGTTCACTTGGTTAGCTGGTGGTGGAGATTGGGGATGGGCCACCCGCTGCTGCTGCTGTGCCTTCAGATAGTTGACAGTGAGCTCCAAGATGTCCGCCTTCTCCAGCTTGCTGACCTGCTCGCCCTGGCGCATCCATCGTGTCCACAATGAGATCTTTCAGCTCATCCAGATACAGGTTCATCCGGGCACGTCTCTTCCGCTCCAGCAGAGGTTTGGTCACCTTGCGGTAGTGCTGGGTCTTGGTCATAAATCTCTGACCCTGTACGGCCATTGTGTTTAATGAGTTTGGGGTTTTGGTCTCGGAATTGTTTGTAAATAAAGTTGCGATCTTGCGATGTCGCTGCTGCCGCTCCGCACTGCACGGTAGTCACTTGAGAAATGATCTTGCCGCAAGGTAAACTGATCCTTTTTGTAGCTGCCACACAGCCGGTGCCGTACACTTGCGAAAGCGACATCGAAATCGAAATCCTCCCCTAACTGCCACCACGCACTGCGATCGCAACGATTCAAAACGCTCCTCCAACGAAGCATCAATCGGGTCACTCTCTGCTTGTGGCAAGATTCCCTCGGCGCTGCACGTGTGCATCTTCAAAAAAAAAATTGGATCGGGCGGAAGCCGTTGCGGCTCTCTCTTTTTGCAGAGAGAAAAATTTTCTAGGGTAGATATTTAAGATCTAATATATTCAATAAACATTTTAAAAATGTACTCCTTGAATTATTACAAGTAAATATCGTTATAAAGAAAGAAATATTGTTTGAAAGACTATTTCTAAAAACCTCAAAAGACCTTCAAACTATTTAAATTATCAACAAATTTTTAATCTCACAAAATGATCCTAAGTGCGAATTAGTTAAACTAATGGAATGTAATGATTTGAACCTAGTAAATATTTCTTAAAGAATTTTTTTTTTCTTTATCTGAGGAAGTAGAACTAGAGTGACATTAGTATCCTAAACTAATATCCAATGTATGATAGCCAATGTTTAAGGATTTTTCTTAACAATCTTCTAAATACAGTCTTAAAGAAAATAAACTTATTTTCAGTGTATTGACTAGGGCCCAATAACACGTTCTTCGGATCTTGGCTCTCTTCGGGCGTCTCTCTTCCTCGTGCTGTTGCCGTGCGCCGGCGCAACAGCCAGAAGAAGTAGAAGAAGGGTCGGAGGTGAGGTGAGGAGTAAGAGGAGGAAGAGCCGAGGAAAGACGAGAGCCGGAGCAATCAACCACCACCACCAGCAGCGCACCACACGCACACACGACATTCAACATCGCCATCGACATCGACATGACCTCGACCTGCCTGCCAGCCATCCGTGCCACTCTCCCCTCCCCGCTCCCTTCTTAATGCTCCCTGCTTCCCACTCCTCTCGGGAAAAGAGAGCCGTGCCCCATGCGTGCCGTCCTCACTTAAGCCAAAGAGCCAATCTCGTCGAGGCGATGCCATTGTTGCACATGGGTGTGGGCCTTCTGGCTGTGTGCGTGCAGGGACACAGAGGGAAAATAGGGCTTATAAATTGAAGTACTAATAATTCTTATTTAATATAACTTGGGTTTTGGAGATATAGAGAAACCTTAAATCATATTAAAAACATTTTTAAAAATTTGAAAATACTGTTTTGAAAATTACTAATGCCATACCTACTCATTCCCAATATCATACTATCAAAAAAAAAGGAATTCTTCCCTACAAATAACGTCTTTCAAGTTCAAGATTAAATTTTCAATATAATTTAGAAATAAAGAATCGGATTTGTCATAGAAATATAGTCTTTCAATATATTTTTATTAATTTCCTAAATATCTCTAGAAAACAAAATTGAACTATTTGACAAAAGAACTTCTCTCCTTCAAATTGGTTAAGTCATATTAAATTTAAAGGACACTACATTAAAACATATTATTTTGATATAAAATTGATATTTTTATAACCAAATCATCATCGATATATAATTAATATTTATTTAACAAATCATTTTTTACCTCCTTCCTGTCTTTAAATATTGAAAATCTTTTTGGTAGACTTTTCTCTTAGTGCAGGCTCTTCCCTTTTGGCGCACAGTCACACAGACCTCATTTCCTCTTTGGCGCGACATTGCGTTACACTTAAGCAACCACCGCAGCAACCACCACCAATGGAATAGCAGCACAACCACCCAGAGCCAGGGAAGCGGCAAACAGCCGGTGCTCCGATGGGTCGGTGTCGGTCGGCAGTCGGTGCATGTGCATCGTGAGAAAGTTTACTGGAGACATTCCCACAAGTATTGGGATTGTGCCGCACTCTTGCTCCCGGTTTACTCAGCCTCGGTCAGCTGTGACACTTGTTTGGCGCATTTTGCGAGATTGGGCCTTCGGATTCGGCCCATTGACGGAATCCACCTGCCCGAGGGTGAGTTTCCAGGCCTCAAATTCAAGACCAGGGGTCGCTGCAATCGCAGCCATGAAATCGAGAAGTTAACAAACAGAGAAAACGGCACCAGCGACATTCGCTGACATCTGATGGCACTGATTTCGTACATTTCCAGTTTTCTTCGTGGGGGAGGTTTTCTGAGATCATCAGCGTTGCAATGTTTTGATATGGGTTTCGGGATGACTGAGGATGAGGCAGAGCAGCCATATGCAAAAACAAAGATTTGCATGGCAGGAAGATTTTAAAAGAGGGATAAACTTCTGACAATGATGAATCATACCACTTATGTGGGGTTGGTTTTTATACTCTAAAGTATAAAATCTGCTGGCAGATCAAGGATCTTAAAAGAAATTTTTATAAATTGATGGACATTCTTGACAGATTTTAGCAAATCTAAAGAAAATATCGAGGTCGCCAACCTAGATTCAGATCATTAAAACATAAGTATTTAATTTTAATTGGTGTTCTAATAAATTTTAGAAACTTCAAAGAAAAGATCGTGGTCACCAATTCAAATTCAACTCAATAATGAATAAGACCCTAAGGTTTTCACAAAATTTCCCAATAAAACAAACGTTCTTATATTCATTAAACATTTTAATTGAAAGTATATTATTTTGTTCGATATTCTTTTACATTGATAAATTTGGGACATTAACATTTCATAAATATCTTCAAATGGCTGTAATATACAAAGATACATATTCGTTTATAATACACATATAGCAACACACACATATACGTTTAGATTAATAATAATGCATAGAATCCTGTTCCATATTTGCTCATCTAGTTTTAAAAAAATTCCTCGAGTTTTGTGCGGGTAACGCCAAATACAGTTTAAAATCCATGTGCTAGAAAGTAAGTGTAACGGACTAATTTGTTTCGTTTATTGTTTAATAAGAGGTACAAATGTGTAACGTTCGTAAGGTTTTATTTTGGTTCGATTCTCGTCGCTTATCAACTCTATTTCGATAAAAATCTTGTTTGTGCTTAAAACTAAATTATATTTAAAGCGGACTGGGTCGTTTTTTAAGCTTATCTTCGTTTAGTTTTTGGTGTTTTAGAGTTTTCTTCGAGAATGTGCTGATGAAATAAATTAGTAAGGACTAATGAGATATGAACTTGGTTAAAAAAAATAAAAGTAACTAGAATAAAAGAGAAATAAATGCCATCTGATACAATTTGCTGCGGGGAGATTCTTTTATAATACAAAACAATGGTGGCGACATGTGGAACATGCCGCTCTCTTAAAGCTTTAAGTTATTCTTGTATTCGTTTCGTTTGATTTTGCCTTTAAACGCTTTCATGGTTAACTCCGAGTTTCGCCTGGTCGTGGTCATCATGCTCAGGAACTGGTGGACTTGTGGTGTGCCTAGTTGCAGTTGCGGGTAGCAAACTTTAAAATGTACAATCGTTAATCGTTAAAAAATATTTCCATTCGATATCCTTCTCTGTGGGGCTTTCGGTATCCTCGATCCACACTCCTTTCTACACATACACTTTATATACATTCATATTTTTACACACATTTCCTCCTTTCGCTTTTAGTGGCCATCGCTTCGGGACATTCTATACATACATATACCAATATATAAATATTCTATGATTTTTGTACGACTTTCTGTGGGGGTTTGGTTTTTGACGTTCTCTAAAAGCACTTTTTAAACAGATTTAGGAAACGCATTACTTTTGCGATTAGTGTGGTACGTCTAGTGCGCGGGTTTGTAGTTGTTATTCATGCAGCTGAAAGTAAGACAAAAGTTGCATAAACACATCGAGGGAAGGAATAGTCGGGGGTGAAAAGGAAAATCTGGGCGAAAAAGCGGTGAAGATCATTAAATTTACTTATATTTAACTTCAATTATCTATTATCGCTCGTATAAAATATAGTCTTTAATGAAAATATATAAAATCTTGATGTATTTTCTGTGTTTGGTTATTTGTTCTTAGCCAAATTAGGCGCTACTGGAAACTGAAACTTGCACAGGGTGAGCATATTTAAATGGCAATATTTTAAAAATGTTCTTGGCATGCATATATCAGAAATATATTTTGGATCTCTGTTACAATTTAGCTGTCGTGGAATACATTTTTTCGACTCTTTTTTTGAACAACAAATATTTTTTGACAACACTACACTACGCTACAAAACGGTGCGTTTAATTCGCCCACATGATTTCGAAAATATTTTGTAAATGCTTCAAGGTACCAGATTTATCATCAATATATAATTCTCAAATCTTCAACATCAATTTGCTAATGCGTGTACGATTAAGTGCATTATCTTGTGGGATTTCCCTTGCGGTCTTTGTATTGTGTTTAACAATTTGCATATTACAAAAATTAATCGTTTTCGAGTGTTTTGGGACAATAATTCCATTTGGCAAAGCTTAGATAACTACGAAATACATATTTTTTTTGGATCCAATCATGGTGTTATTTAGTGGCATTGTTTTCAGCTATTCATCGTTTGTCTTTAGTTGCAGTTTTTTGATATATTTTGTATTTTACTTTTGTGGAACGTTCAATGTGATGGACTGTCGTTAATTCGATGTTTGGCGCGTGATTTGCTGTGTGAGGCGCGTCGCAGGCTGCTGACGCTGCCTGGGCAATTGTCATAAAAATCTAATGATTCCGATGAGAATGCTATATATCGCAATTGGTGTGATATAAAGAAAAGGTTAGGTTTGAGTAAATACTGTTTGTAAAATTCTGTGTTCATTCAAATGGGGGCTTTTGGGCTTGCTATTTGAAAAGTAAACGCTCTAGATTAAAGCAAATGCATTACGGTATAGTATAGCTGGGGAAAGCTAATGGATAATCTAGCGGATACTAACCTTTGTCCGTGGGGGAGCCCAAGGTCAGGCTACTCAGGCTGGAGCTCAGGTTGTAGGGACGCGGAGAGGGTGGCACCGGGGCGGATTCATCGCCGGGCAAACAGGTCTCGACCATGGCCTCCAAACAGTTGACGAACAGCTCTGAAGATTCACCCATCATGTTGTACTGTAAATGCATTTAAGTTATAAACGATGGCTTCTTTACTTTATAGTTAGGAACCCACCTTGGTAAAGGGTCCAGCAAATCGCCATAGTCCGCCAAAACCACAACTTTGGAGGAAGTGCAGCTGCTGCTGGGAGGGATCTTCGCTGGCCAGCATATTTTGTATAATGCTCTGGACCGAGTTAAGCACCACTTGATCGTGTGACACGGACAAAATATTGTTGATCTTTTGGTCCAGCAGCGAGTGGCTAAAATATCAAAAACAATATAAGTATTTCCTTAAAGGAGATATAAAAATATATACTCACATAACTGGAAACACCTTTGGAAAGACCACCGATCCTTCGGCCAAATACTGATATAAAACGCGCGTTTCGCCCTCATCCGACGAGTACTTGACTAAGGTGGCCAAAACAGTCAGTACCAAAGCTTGTATGGACAAATCAGGCAGCACCTCGGGATCGAGCAGGACATTCGACTCGTTGGATACCGAAGAACGCGAGCCGCGTTCCTGTTTAAATATATTTGACCAGTTGTTAGTGAAGTTACCTTACAAAGTGCAAACCAATTACACACAGATATGGTTTAAAAGAGAAACTAGTGAGGATGAAAGATCTACGATAAATACGATATGTGCATGTTGGCCATGGATTGGCTTTTTAGCTGCCTTCATTCAGTGCCATGCAAGATAAACCAAACTAAATGACATTACAGCGAAACATCAATGTTATTTTTAGAGTGGGTTTTTGGTAGGCGAACTTAGAAATATAGGATTTAGTGGGGTAGTAGAGTTAGTCTTAGCTAAGAGATAAGTTTTGTAGAGCAATACCTGACGTTCTTCGATGCCGGCGGCATTGTTCGGATCTTTGGTTGTCGGCACCGAGAATGAGCGTTGAGTTTTGAACAAAACCCGCGCGTTCTACGGATGTTTAATTGAATGTTCGTGGTGGTGTCACAGTGTTGTAGTTTTAGCGGGTTTCGGTAACCAAATCAAACGTAAATCAAATGACAATGTTCATGCGAAGTAGTAGTAGTAGAAGTGGCAGTTACAGTTTATAGGACATTTAAAAGTAATATCGATATTGATGAGTTACAAGCACCAATTAGATGTAAGATTCGGCAGGCATATTATGGCATTAATACGGTTTCAACGAGTATACATTGTGATTTATATGTAACGTTTTTTTTTTCATATTCAAATCAAACATAAAAAGAGAAAAGAAAAAATCATTGAACGATTATTAGTTATGCAACGGCTGATCTCGATAGATAGTTGATATTACAGTAGTAGGTGGGATATATAGAATATATAGGTTTATGGTAAACTCAAATAGATAGCCAAAAGTTACTATAGCAGATGGTTATAACAACTTTTGCACAGCGAATTTCGAACAAGTGGGGAGTACAGCTGGGCTGGATCGATGATATAAGCTCACCTGAAGAGTGGGAACCTTGTGCTGGCGAGCAAACTGCAAAGCGGACTGGTCTAGGATGTCCCAGCTCTTTTTGCCGGCGTGACAAGGGCATGCCAATCTAAGGGGGGATTTTATAATTTAGTTTCTACTATTAAGAAATCGACTTGATTTAAACTTACAGCTTGCACTCCACTGGCCGTTTCGCCGTTCTCCACACTGCCACTTAGATCGGCGGGCCAGCGGGGCAGAGCGTGCTTCACATGACACCTGGAACGGACTTCCTCGGAGACAGCCACCAGAGCAGTTAAATAGGCCACACTATCTGGGGTCACCTCGAACTTGTCTCGATGCAGCGGCTTGGCTATGATGCCCAGCAGCATGGTCAGCACTCGGGAGGTGCGCGAAACAGTAGTGGGTGTGGGATGGCGGAAGCCCTGGAAAATAATATAATAATAAAGTAATAAACATTTTATAATTATAGAGTTTTTTTTTTTTATTCAAAACCAACCTTGATTAAATGCCCCACCAGGGCAAAGTGGAAATTGCTGCGGAACGAAAGACCCACGGCGTGATCCAGTTGCTTAAAGTGCCACTCCAGCTTCTCCCTGGTCTTCATCATCACCTCGGCAATGGTCTCCTTCTTGTCGAAGCAGCCCTGCGACTTGAGCGTGTGCAGATTCTGCTCAAGCAGGGCTAGTCCAGCGCCGTACAGGGTAATCTCGTCCAGCTGCAGCACCGAAATGGCTACCCAGAAGAGAGCCCGATGAATGGGCGACTCTGGACGCAGCAGCGGTTGGATGCGAGTCAAGCACATGACCAGCGCCTCGATCAGGATGAGATCGTTGAAGGACTCCAGTGCCTTGACCAGAATGCGGAGCAACTGCTTCACCTCGTGGTCAGTGACACTCTTGCTGATGCAACCGTAGACAATAAGAGCCCTTGGCTGCAGAGCCGGATTGTAGCAAAAGGCGAAGCTGCGGGCCAGCGAGGTCCAGGTGTTGAGCCACTCGCAATCGGGAACATCGCGCATGCAGGCCTCCATGATCTCGAGCAGGGCGTCCGTTATGACCTCCAGCGAGGGCAGCGACAAACGCTCGCGATCCGCCGGCAATGGTTGAGTAACTCTCTCGTTTCCCAGCCACTTATCTGTGGGATGACGGCAGCTGGAGCGGAACGCAGTCACTGCCGCCGACTTGACCTTGCTAATGCCGAAAAGCAGGTAAAACTTGGGCAGCGAGAACTCATCCAGCGACAGTCGCAGCACACGCTGCGCCTCCTCCGAAAAGGAGGGATTCGTGCAGGTGCACAGCGAGTGGATGATGTTGATCACCAGTCCATGGGTGGAGGCTCGCATCGACAGCGATCCCGAGCAGACCAAAAACGTGATGGTGTGGAATAGATATGGCACCGAAGTGGCCACATCCAAGCAATTGTTGAAGGACAACATGAGCAGGTAGCGACCGAGGATGGCAATGTCATCCCACATCATGTGCTGCTCCAGATATTGCGTGGGATTCGTGCAGGATTTGTCCATTACTCGGCACATTCGCGTGATAACCTTCTTGGACACCAACTGGACATTTGCTGAAGCGAGAGCCACTGCTGTATCCGCCATAATTTCCACTTGCGGTGATCCCAATCCGTACGTAATCGATTTGTGCAAAAAGTTGTCCAGAACCATGTCGATGAGCTCGGGAATCTGGCCAATCGATCCCCAGATCTTTGCCTGCACAGAGGGATACATTTCCTTCTGGTCAATGGTTAGGTTGATGAGCTTGTCCAGAATCTGAGACACCTTCAGCTTCTTCGAGTCATCGTTGGACTTGCAAAACTTGACGAGATTCTTTAGCCACGGCGTCATATACTCCAGGCACAAATGCTTCAGCTCAATAGTGCTGCGTTGGAAGCCCTGAATGGACTCCTCGAGGAATTCCAGCGTCAGATGGGGTTCATTGGTGGCCAGCTTCTCGCTGACGGACTTTATAAATATGGTGTTATTGGAGGGTATACAAAGACCTTGCGTTTCGAGCAGCTGACCCTCGATCTTCAGGTCAAATGTGGCGGTCAGAGCACACAGCAAATTGTAGGCAGCAGTCCTGAGATTGGGATCACAGGATCCCAGATTGAGTAGCGCCATGTTAAGCAGGGTTCCCGGCACATCCTTTGGTCGGATCTTCTGGTGCACCGTCACCGAATCCGGCTGACTGAGTTCCCAGCGGTTTCGGATGTGAATAATGGCCTGGACAATGTTATCGCAATCGTTGTGAATAAAGCTCAGCTGGCCACTTTCGTTGGTTATGGACAGGGTGAACTGGTTGTCGTCCACCAGGCACACCTCCTCAATCTCGGAGGCGTAGTATACATCGTTCAGGAGCACCGAGTGAGCCAGTACCTTTGTCTTTTCCGCAGACGTAATCTGCAGTGCAGTGGGACCCACTTTGATGGCCACCTTTGTGTCTTTGTGGCTGAGTTTTAGAGCGTTGCTAAACACCTTGAGATCCTCATCTAAGGACAGAGTTGCGCCTGGCAGCTTCTGCTGCTCGGCATCGATGAAATCGGTAAGTTTGTTCGGCGACTCGAGGAACAGCAGCTTGCGATTTCCCTTCAAAGGTGCCAGGATGCGATCGTGGAACTTGGTATATTCGCGCACCCACGAGTTGCAGTTGTATATGTAGACCGCATGGACATTTTCGTAGGCCACCGTGGGCAGGACATAGAACCACTTCTGCAGGAACTCGGTGCGGAAGCGATTGTCCGAACAGGTGTGCGTAAAATCGATGACCACCTCGAATGGCGAGTGGCAGAAGGGTTTCAAAGTGAGTATGACATGGTAGATCAGCAGATCCCCGTTCGTTTCTCCAATCCTGAAAGAGAATAAAAGTTAGTTCTGCTTGGAGTACTGATTTTACACTTACTTGTATCTCCTTGCTATGTAGTAAAACACAGGATAGCCAGATTTGCTAGTTCCTGCCTGGTAAAATATGTTCATCGACTTGAGGGTCTTGAACTCCTCCTTCTCGTGCATCTGGTGCTTGACCATAATCTCCTCGAAGTTCGTCGACGACATATCAATGGAGCTCCAACGTGCGTACGAACTGAACATCATGTGCGAGTCCACAGGCTTGTGCTCCGGCGGTCCCAAGTAGGCCAGCAAAGTGGCCATCTTGTCGAAGGGCCGCCTGCCCACCGCCTTGTGATCGCGACTGCTGGAGAGGTAGTCGCCGATCTTCTCCTGGTGTGTCCACAGCAAGCGATGCAGGGCCAGTACGTTTGCGTCCGAAATAAAACTCATGCTGTGCGACGTCTGATCCACAGTCTCGCAATCCGAGGCAATCTGTATGAAGAACCGTCGACCGGCTTCGAAGTGATCGCGCAGGAAGTCGTTGAAGCACAACATGTGCTGCTCCTTGGAGAACTCCACGTGGTTGGCAATGTTCTGCAGGATCTTGGACATAAGCATGAGGCCTCTTTTAGCTGAGCTGTGTACTTGTTTGTCAACGATTCCTAGTTCTTGCGGTGAAACTAAGGAAAGGAAAGGGAATATTAATAATAATTATAATAAAACGAATTATTTATTAAAATCTTACCAATAGCGGGATTGATAAAGCGCAGGAAGATCACAGTTCCCACTGCACCAATGTTGTTTTGCAGCAGATTCGGGAAGCGTTTGCTTAGCACTTGGTACAGGCAATGGCACATGGAGCGCAGTTGCGGGAGGAAAGCGATCCGAAGAGTTAATAATGGCATCAAAAACCTTCTGGGTTAAAGCAATCAGGTTGTTCCTGTGCTGTTCGATATCCTCGGTCGGATCCAGGCGGGCAGGATCCACCTCAAAGCAGGTCTCCTCCTCCTCATCCAGCAGCGGACGAATCAGCGGCTCCAGCAGCATTTGCAGATAGCTGGCGCCGTAGATTTTGAAGCAGAAGGCCATTATTTTGCTGCCCAGCGAGTTTCCACGGAAGAGTGTCTGCATGCAGTCCGAAACTTCCACCTCGCGATAGAACATGTTCCACAGGAGCGGCGAAAGAAGGTGCTTGGCGTCGAACAGGGTGACCAAGACCCTGGCCAGCTCGTCCATTTGGGCAGTGGTCACCACATTGGCCAATGCCATGGCTATGGGCAGTTCACCCTTGTCGCTGATCATCGTCACCAGTTGGACCAGTTGCTCGAAACGATCTGCTAAAACCGTTTCAGCCAAGGTATCGAATTCAGTGCCCTGCTGGAGGATTTGTGTGAGCACCTCCATAAAAGCGGCACGGGTTTGCAAATCGGGATTATAACCAAGATCAATGGAGTGCATTAAACCCGAATCAATATTGGCACCCAGCAAATTGGACATGGCCAGGATGGTGGCATTTCGCAGAGCGGTCAGCTTTCCAGCTGCCATTCGAGGACGCGGCGGCAACAATGGGGTATTGTTCATCTCCTTTTCCGCCTCCGAACTATCGATGCAGTCGTTCAGCAGGTTCATAAACAGGGTAAAATACTTCAAAAAGAGCGCACTCTTGGCGTCCATCAAATCACCGCGATCCGATTCCTCTGGCTGAAGAGGAAGACCGCGAAGCAGAGCGGCCACTGCCTCCATGCAGGCTTGGTCCAGGTCGCGAAAGATGAGCGAAGTGTTGGTAAGGATGGCCGCATCCGCCGAGCTGGGCGGCGCAATCTGATGCGAGGTGCCCATCACCCAGTCGGTCAGGTATTCCACCAGCTTGTTCCGGAACTTCATCTCCTGACGGAAGGCGAGGTCGTCGCGTCGCTTCATCATCACCTCCACCAGCTGGCACAGTTTCGTCTTGATTCGAATGGCATAAACTGTCATGTCCAGATGGCGAACATAGCGCACGATTCCCAGCATCATGCCCTCGATGCTCGTCACTCCCAGATGCTCCGATGGCGTCGGTTGATCGGTGTTCAGATCCTTGCTGGCCTTGGGATCCAGGATGGATTTCATTATGTAGATGGTGTGCTCGATAAACTGCGTGTTGATGTCGGTCACATTGACGTTCACCTGGCCTTGCTGGTCGAAGAACTTCTCCACAATGGCTCTCACTTGGTCGAATAGTATGGGATACAGTTGGGTGGACATCTCCTCGCCCACAAGTTCCTTTACGTTCTTCTGTATATTAAGCCCGATTTTTTCGTTGCTGCAGACGAGTAGACGCAGTAGTTGGCCAACGAATCTATAATTTAGATATAAAGGTTAGAAAGGTAAGATGTTTATAGGAATTAAATTTAATCTCACTGTGTCACAGGGCAGTAGCTGACATCCTGTGGCGGAGCAGGTGGAAGCGTGGAAAGGGAAACCGTACTAGGATGCAGAGAACCATGTCCGGAGCTCGTGGAGCTTGAGTAAAGCGAGTTTTGCGCTAGAGATCCCAGGGAGGCATTATTCTGCGATTGCTGCAGCAACATTTGTCGGCTGCTGCTGCGTTTGTGCAGACAGACGCCGCCCAGGGCCAAAAGGAACCAGGTCATATTGGCCCACTCATTGATCTGCTCCTCCAAGTCGTGCTCCGAGCTCTGGTGACTCGCTCGCCGCTTGCCCATGCCGCGATGGAAGACCTCCGCCTGACCATCTTCGCCCTTGCATTTGGGGTACGTTTGCAAAACCTTGCTGGACACCTCCCAGTTGCGAAAGGTCTCTTCCCAGGCGGGCTGCACACCATGGACGCAGTGCTCGATCTTGCGCAAAAGAGTCATTATGCGTTTCTGGAGCGTCAGGCGGCTCAAAACATTTCCATGGGTGTTGTCAAAGAAACAAATACGAGAGTCCGTGGCAGCTAAAATTTAAGTATCTCAAATTAATAAAGATTAAATGAAATTTATTTAACAAACTCACAAGTGGACAACTGAGCCAGCTCCTGGTAAATGTGATAATTCGGCATAATGAAGCCCACTGTCAGCTCATCGGAGCTGCAGCAAATCTCCGCCTCCTCGCATAACAATCCAAAACAGGAGAGCGACGTGAGCACCGCATCCAAGTCAACGCTCCACAGGTACATGAAGAAAACCACCTCCATCTTGATGTGAGCCTGCTTGCAAATGGCAATCTGGCTGCCCACATGCGCGTAATCCTTGTGACGCTGGAGGAACGTATTGCGGCAGATGAGAATCTCGCGCAGCCACTTTAAAACATCCGTGTAGTTGGCTATTTGGTGCTGGATGAGCTTTTGCGAGATGGAGAACAGCACCTGGGAGCTGACGTCCCAGAATGTGTTGATGGGAGCCTCTGGATTCCAAACCTCGATTTTCTCCGGCGCATGGAGAGCGAGCAGCGCCTCCATAGCCTCCTGGGCCACATCGGGCATGGTGGTTTGATGCACCAAACTGACCAGGCCGTTAATCAGCTCCAAAGTGGAGCTCTGCACTTCATGGGCCACTTTTCCCTGTGTCTGAAATAAAATGCATTTATTTAAAGGGTTATAGAGATTAAATTTAGCAACTCACATTCAACAAAAGCGTGGGATCTGCATGAATCAGCCGCACAAGCAGTAGCAACAACATTTTATGGGCGGGACCCTCTTCAGCCCGCGTCAAACCCTTCTGCGTATCCTTCGATTTTAAAGTCAGTGAGGTAATATAGCGCAGTGGTGTGTGGGCTATATAACCCTGGGTGGCCTTATTAAGAGTATCCGTAAACAGAGCCCTCAACTCAGCGGAGCGATAGTGAACCACATCCGTCTGCGGCCACCAGGACAATCTGGGTTGGTTGACAATTCGAAAGGGATTTTTGTTCTGCAGGCGAAAGTCCACGTAAATGTGAGCCAACCTAAAATGATAGTACAGATTAGTTAGAAAATATATTTTAGAAATACTTCAATTAATTACCTCAGCAGGGAGCAAACAATGACAAAGTGATAAGCCTGTGGTGACGACAAGTTCAGGCAAACCTTCAAAGCCTCGATGTTGTGGGGATTTATCCGGAAACACGAAACCCAGCAGTCAATCATCAACTCAATGTCCGCAAAGTTATAGCCCTGTCCGCGCGAAAACGGTTTGGCCGGATTGAAGAGCAGCGCCTTGAGATCGTTGATAAAAAACTGCACCAGCTTGAAGACCACATTGTTGGAGTCCGTGTTGTTGATGTAGGTGGATGCCTTGCAGAGCTTTACACAAGCAATAGCTGAGGATTCGGTGACCTGTTTGGATGGCGAGTGCTGTCCCAATCCTCTCTTGATGCTCTCGATGAACTGCTTGGCCGAGAAGTCCTTGTCCCGCGAAGTGGATTGCGCCGACTTCGAGGCCACCTTTTCCTTCTCCTTTTCTTTCTCCTTCTCCGACTGCTGCAGTTCGTTGACGACGGCCTCGAGGCAGGAGGGATTCAGTATCAGCAGGAGCATTTGCAGCGGCCACACGAGGGTCTTGCTCTTCTTGTTTTCGGTCTTAAAGTACTCCACAAAGTCCATCAGGGGTTCCCAGCAGCTAAAAGGGAAAATATGTATATTATTATGTTATTAACTACTCTATATTGTAGACCCACGTAGATATATCTCGATTGGTGCCTCGTTGCAAGTCCTGAAACTCCTGCGGATGGTACTCAATCCAATTCCAAATGGCCTTCTCTAGTGAGTAGAGCAAAATCAATGGAGGCGCTCGCTTCGATCGAAACTTTGTGATGGTCTCTGCGAATATACTTTACTTTTTTAACCTTTTTTCAAAGACCTAGTAAGTATACCCACCTTGCAGCAGCTTGGTCAGCTTAATCATGTCCATGTCGATGTGTTGAATCAATTCGATGTCGTTGTAGTCGGGATTCTCCTCAGAGCAGGATGTCAGCTCCTGGATCCGGGCCGAGATGCGATTAAACACCGCCGAGAAGTGATTCTGCGACAGGGCAAAGAGCACTTTGGAGGCCAGGGCCTTGAGCTGGGCCGCATTCGGATTGCTGTCGCTCTGGACGTCCACAAACTGGGAGATTTCGCGCAGCAGTAGCTTCACATTCATGGCCTCCTCGAACCGGGCCGTGTCCTTGGTCTGGTTGGTCAGGCAGCGCTCCAGGGTGGTCAGTATGATGACCAGCGATTCGAAGTAGCAACGCTCTGGCTCATGGCGGTTTTGAAGGGCCTGTAAAGGTATTAATTTTTAATCAATGTTTTTTGGCTTAAAGATTTAATAAAAATGTAAAAATTTAAGGTAAAAAGAATAATTTTTAAAATGAATTTTTTTTATTATACAAATTAGTGGGAAACATAATTTTGATTTTTAAAGGTTTTTTTTTCTTGAAGATTACATTTAAATATAGTGTGTGATGGGAATTACACGGAGTAAAAACCATCTAAGGATCTTTTATGGCTAAAAACAAATAATTTTTAAAATACACCAATCTTTTTACTTAAAAAAAATAAAGGTTAATGGGGAAGACCATTTTAGTTTTAAAAGATTTTTTTATAAGTATATTACTTAAAAATTTAATAATTTATGGGTGTTACAAGAAATAAAAACCATCTAAGGATCTATTATCATAAGAAACTACCATATCCTCACGCCTTAAAGTAGGCAACATATTTTTAAATAGTTAAGTAAATAATGAATTCAAATTAAACTACTTATAGATTAGTTTTTGGAGTACTCACCGCCTCATTGACCCTCTGAAGCATCTTGGTGAGACCGGAAATGACCAGGGAAAAGCGATACCGGGATATGTGGATCAGACAGGCCACCAGTTGGTCCTGGCTCATCCTGGCCTGCGTGCCATAGGCGCCGATTCTGTTCGGGAGCTGAAAGAACCACCCATTGATTGATTAAATCCACTTCATTCATGCGGAACTCGATGTTATTGTTATTGTTGCTGTCTCGCTCGCTCACGCATTTGATTGAGAGCCCTCACATACAAGGCGCGTGAGACACATACACACGGCCAGGGTGAGCATGTGTGGGGTAGGAAGAGGCAGAGCAGCAGGTACATTTTTTCGCCTGGGAAAACGCAGATGCAGCTGCGGAAAAAAGCTGGAAAAACACTTGCCTGATCCTCGAAACGGGCCAAAAGGGCACTGGCCCACTCGCCTGGCTTCTGGGTCATCTTGTTGTGGTCTTTTCACGGTTATTTGTAAGCTTTTTAGCGCATTTTACTGCACTTTTGTGGTCGCAAAGGCAAGCGTTTGTTCGTGGGGCAGCGGGCGGGGCATTTTGCTAAATCCCATGGTTTTTGATATCCCTAATCCTCCGGGTGCCTTTTTCTCCTCCCTGAGATGTCCACTTTCTTCTTTTCACTCGATTTGGAAAGCCTTTGCCCGCAAAACTTCCTTTATTTTCACAGATCCGTCCAGTTTGCGAGCAAAATAGTGATGCAGTGTGTGTCGACAGAAAAGTAAAAAATACCACTCACTCTTCTGTAATATACCGCAAATTTAAAAGGGGTATTCAGCAATTTGGGGAATACCACAATAATAAACAATAATAAAATTACAGTTTTTTGGGAAAATATATTTTAAAAATTTAGTTTATAATAGAGAGATTTTTAAATTAACATACTTATCATTTTTATTATTTTTTAAAGCGATAATATAATACCCTGTACAAATTGCCTATCGTCAGCTAGTGATGCGTATCGGAGTACTACTCTCGATAGTATCAGGGTGACCATAAAACTGGGCGCTTTTTTTAAATCCGTTTAAAATTTTGAATAATTTTTTTAAGATTTTACTGTTACTGTCCCAAAAACATTTTCCAATGATAAAAAAATTTTAAAAACTCCAATAAAACAAGAATTCAGTTCAGTAATTATTGTTAGTTTATTTAATGTTGTTGTTTATGCATTACAAATAATCAATATTGAATATTTCAGATGGTTTTCCTTTGTCGTAGCTTGGGTTTCAGTGTCTCTCTTGGATTTGTGTGCTTGGTGGACTCTGTGCAAATTATATATATTTTCCAGCAATACTTAATATTTATAATGTTTCAGCATTTCGAGCAGTAGTAGGTTCAAATCGAGTTCTATCTGTTGTGATTTAGTGTTGCGTCCAACGTTAGTTAATATTTATTCAATTGTTCTATTATTTTACGGTATAAAGTTAGTTTAGCTAGCTAAAAAACACATGTACAGTCGCGTATAGGTATATATGTATATAATTATTTTATTGAAAATGTTTGCGTTATTTTTCAAATAACCGTTCTTAAGTTGACAAAAAATTTAAGTATAGGCATAGGCTTATGTTACAATCGTGTTTATTGGCCGTTTTTGGGAAGTGAGTTGGTAACTTCATCTAATCAAGGAAAATGAAAACGGTGCTCTTAAATAGGTAAAAATTATAGGTATTTGGAAAATTGCCTGTGAGCTTTGCAGAAGGAGCTTCTTAAACTGTATAATCGTTTGATTTATTTTGCATTCGATATATGTACGGTTCTCTCGTAGATTTAAATGCAGTTATTGATATTCTTTAGTTAGGGGGTTCTATTAACTTTGCATCGTTAAGAAGTGTATATATGAATTTGCTATATTACTTTGTTTTAGGCTGTATAACTGGTTTCGTTTATTTACTCATGTATAAGTGGTATATTTTATTTGTTCAATTTTAATGGACGTTTGATGATTATTCGCTTTGAAAATTATAGCTTAAGGTGCTTGAAACTAAGTCGAAAAGTAGATAGCAAGATACAAACTAATGCTCGTTGTAAATAGAATATGCTCGTATAACTAGTAAGATTTGTATTTAGCTTGCGTTGTTTCGTTATTCGATTTCGCATTCGCATTCGATTCGATTTGTTTCGGTCTTATAGCTAGGTTTTCGTCTTGAAATTGGATTTCAATGCAGTGCGATCCTGCGTTCGCGTCCTTGAGCAGGCCTGCTAATAATAAATTAGTGCTGGGATCGCAGGACGGGCCTTCCCCGTCCCGATTCGCCAGCCGACTAGAGTAATAGACTAAATTTAACAATTCCTTTGGGGGCATCAGATCAGAGACTACAGCTAGGATTTACGTTTTAGACCAGGGATTCAAACGGGACAATCAATGTGTTTTTTTAAAGATATGGTCACATTGGTTTTTATAATCTTGCAGTGTGACCTTGCAGTTTGAAATTAAGTCAAAACTAGGATCATTTTGAACAAAAAAACGGAATTTTACTTTTGAATCATTGATAAATCTTTCTGGTTAACCAAGGCATACGTTTTTGAATCCCCTTTTAAGTGCGTAGGGTTCTTAGATGGTCCACACCTGGACCTTTTCGGCCACCACACACCAGCTGGCCCGCTCGTAGTAGGAGCTAACGATGTGCAGGCTGGCCACATGGTGGTTGATCAGTGCGTCCAGCTCGCCCTCGCGGAACACATGATAGTAGCGGTGGTGGGTGCTGGCTCCCCCCTGCGATGGGCTGTCCAGGGAGTTGGTGGAGCTGTTCGAGTGCTCCAGAGATTCGTTGGAGGGTCGCTGTTGCAGACTGGGCGTTGGGTTGATTGGACTCCCTCTGTGGTGGCTGCTGCTGCTGCTGGGAGGTCGTTGCAGGTTGCACCTTCAGGGCGGCCATGTTGCGTCGCCGCTGACCGTAGTCCGCCATTCCCTCGCCCAACTGATCGCCACCCCTGGCCTCCAAGGCCTCCGCCTCGGCGTCCTCGTCCTGTTCCTCCTGCTCCTCCTCCTCGGGTATGACATCGTCCTCGTCCTCCTCCCGCACATCACTGTCCCCGTCGTCCTGCAGGAGGTAGGCTGTCTCCGGATTGAGCTGATAGTGACGATTCCGCTTGTAGTTGAACTTGGAGATCTTGCAGTGCTCGTAGACCCCAAGGGAATAGCTGGACTCGTTCTCCTCCTCCTCCTCTTCCTCGCCATCCTCCTCCTGGATGGTGAAGCTGCGCGTTTGCGAGGACAGCGATGAGGTGGAGGAGCTTACGGGGGATTGTTGGAGACTCGGTTGGGTGGACAGATTGGCCAGCATCAGGCGACGTTCCCTCAGTTCATCCCGAAAAGCACTCAGATCTCCGTTGGATCGTTTCTTGCCACCGCCCAGGAACTCCGAGAGATCGCCCATTCCGATCCCGTCCAGATATCGGCACTCGGTGCGATTTGACTTGTCCTCCAGTTCCCGCTGCAGTTGGGCAGTCAGTTGTTCGGCGAACTCGGCACAATCCTGCTTCTGGTTGGACTCCCTCTTCTCGGGGAGCAGCGTGGCACTATCTGCATTCAGTATGATATCATCTTCGGCCTGGGATCGAGAGCTATTGATCTGGAGCTCTCCCTTGTGGTACTGCTCCTGCTGCAGGCTAATCAACTGGGCTAGACTAGCTTCACCTTCGTCCTGGGAGGCGGGAGTTGGCAGAGGCACCTCCACCCTCATCGCTTCCCGAGGGAACCTTGGCCGACCGTGGAGCACTGATCACACTGTCTATGGAATCGGGTGACGAGGGTTCACTGGAGTCGCTGTCCAAGTCATCGGTGGCTGGATTGAAGAGCTCCAGGGAGAGCAGTTTGCTGGCCAGCGAGGTGGAGGAAGCCGAGGTGGAAACCCCAGATCCCGAGGCTCTCCGGACGATGGGAAAGCTCTGGCGTTGCAGCTGCAGGGATTGCTGTTTCCGGAACTTGGGAATGGGTGGCAGATCCCTGATGGCCTGGCGGGTTATCCTCCTCACCGGCGGCGACTCCTTGAGGGGTTCCTTGGGCAACTCCTTCTTCTGCTCCCTAGGCACCTCCATCTGTTGCTCCTTCTGCTGCTTGATGTGCGCCTCATCGAAGCTGAATCTTGCCGGTTTCGAGGGAGGAGTCAGAATGGCCATGGCGGCGGAAACAGCCGAGGTGGATTGCGGTGGAGAGGTAACCGTGCCCTGGATGGCAGCCGGGGAATGGGCCGGAGTGGGAGGGCAGGGCATGATCAAAGGCGACGTTGGCACTGAGTGAGTGGGCGGCAGTCGAGAGCCGGTGATTCCGGAACCCTGATCTCGGCCAGCGGCTCCCTGAGCCCTTTGCCCGTTGCTCGAGGAGGAGTTGCTGGAACTGGAGTTGGAGTTCTGGTGCTGCTGCTGGTAGTTCAACTGCTGTTGGTGCTGCTCCGGCTTCGGGATGAATATGACCGAGGCGAAGCTATCCTCGGACTCGATACTGGTGTCCGATTGGAGGCTACTGTCCTTGGAGGAGTCCGAGCCTGACTCCCGGGAATGCCTCCTCGCCTTGTCACCCTGAGCCCCATCCGCACAGGCGGGACACTCCTGCTGGTACTGACTGCAGTGGCACAGGTTGCCCATCGTGCACTCCACACTGCTGCAGTACGTCACGGGTCCCGTGGACGTGGAGGATGTGGGCAGTATCAAGTGGGAGAGATGATGCACTGGATGGTGGTGGTGGTGATGATGGTGCTGATGCGGCACGGCGGTTACTCCACCCTGTTTGTTGTTGTTATTCAGCGCGGTGTTCTTCTCCATTTGACTGGGACTCTGGGCAGGATTTGGCTGCGTCTGCGGCACACTCTTGATGTTCTGGATCAGTTTACTTATCCCTGTTTTGGTCACCCTTTCCAAACTGCCCGTCGAGCTCTTAATCTTCGTGGTGAAGCCCTCGCGGATGACCTGTAATCTCTTGGAGAACAAGGCGGATCTGCAGAGGAAGGCTTCGTTTAAAGAGGTTTGCTTCTGGATTCGCTTTCGCACCCTTTCCTTCTCCCTCAACCGATTGCAGGCCATCAGATCCTCATTAAGAGAGCTCTGTTTGCGCAGGAAGGTGGGTGCTCCCGATGCAGGTGCTGCTCCTCCTCCCTCCTTAGGATCCCCTGAAGAATTCGCGTCCGCTGATGACATATGCTGATGGAAATTCCCAGCATAGCAGCCACTTCTCGTATACAAACTACTGCTCACTCCGCCATTCGAACCATTTAGGCTGCTCACCATCTGGTAGGATTCGGGGGCGGGAGGCGTGGCGGCGCCAGTGGCGTCATCATCGCACAGGGATTGCTTCTGCTTGATGAGCTTGGGCCTCCGGGCCAAAGTATTCCCAGCACTGGCTGTCGCAGTGGGTGAATGCCTTCCGTTCAGCTGGAGTTGCAGCTGAAGTTGCTGGGCCTCCGGGGCATTTAGTAGCAAAGGGCAGCTGCTGTGGCCTTGGATTCCCCCGGGATCAAAGGACCTCCCAAACTGGGAACACTCGATCGCGAGCGAACAATCTGGCGGGGAGGAGGCTGCAGAATGCTGCCCAAGCTGCGGGATTTCAGGCCAGCTGAAAGAGGAGGATCAGGAAAGTCCTCAAAGTCCTCCAGGCGACGCAGTTCGATGGGCAGGTCCTTGGCATCCTCGTAGTCCAAACTGCTATCGTTCTTGGTGTCCTTCGAGGACCACGAGTCCATGAACCAGGCATGTCGCCTTCCTCTTGCCAGTTTCTAAAAGAATAAGGATATTTGTAAATAACAGATAACAATAAATAAATATATCCCTATAATACCTGAATGGCCCTGCGAACGAAGCTGTAGCAGGACTCCCCCGGCGAGGATGAACTCAAGCTGGAACTATCCCCATCCCCTGCCGATCGACTGGAGTTCGTCGAGTCCTCCGTGTAGGCATGATAAGGTGGCTGGAAGTTATCGTCATCCTCCTCATCCGAGTACGAGTAATTTCGATTCTTTGGCGGCTGCCAGGGTATCAGCACATCCTGCGACTCGAAGCGCCGATGCCGCTGTTCCAGTGCCCAAACGGTGATCACCACACGTCCGCCGATCCGAAGGATCCTGGCCAGCTCCCTCAAAGCCTGAACCCTACGCTCCGTGGTGGCAAAGTGATGCACCACCGCCAGGGATAACACCGCATCGAAACTGTCGTCCCGGAAAGGCAGCTCCAGATTGTCGCACAGGGCAACCTAGAAAATAAAACAAATAAAACAATTTTATATATTGAAATTAGTAAAATGTTTTTGCATATTTTGAAATTTAATTTAATTAAATCACACCTTTTGTTAAGTCAATCTCAAAGTTTATTAAATTTGTTCTACATTTGGAAAGTTTTGCAATGACACATAAGACGTAAAAATATAAAACACAAGTTTATTATATTACACATTTTTAAATTTAAATTAATTAAATCCCTCCTTTTGTTAAGTCAATCTCAAAGTTTGTTAAATTTTTTCTACATTTGGAAACTTTTGCAATGACAAATTAGACGTTAAAATATAAAACACAAGTTTATTATATTACATATTTTGAAATTTAATTTAATTAAATCACACCTTTTGTTAAATCAATCTCAAAGTTAAATTAAATAAAATTTGTTATACATTTGGAATCTTTTGCAATGACACATAAGACGTAAAAATGTAAAACACAAGTTTTATATTCCCATAAATGTTATTTATTATTACCTATTAATTACCAACATAACTTATAATTTAATCGTGCTCTTGTATGATTCTACTTTCCCTCATAAATGAAATAACTTGATTGATTTACTGACTTAATGATTTCCCCAGGTGGAAGCCCAACACCATGAAATCCCAGCCCCACCACGGGAATCCCCTGGGTAGCCATGCCAATTAAGCTGTGTCAAAGATAAGTCCTCGCAGGAGTCTCTTTGTGGGGTCAGAACGGGACATCCTTGCCGACATCGAGTCTCCTTTTTGCCGGGAATCTCCCAAGGGTCCTGCCCGCAAAAGTATGCAATTGAAATGGTGTAAGCTGCGGCCAGCAAAAGGAGATGATGCAATTTTTAAGCCCTGCACTCTGGACCATCATCAATCGCCTTCGAGCAAAAGTTCAGCTTTCAGGATGGAAAAAAATGAAGAATTTCCATATCAAAGTGATGCAGCCTGATTGAATAATCCATCCAGCCAGTATTCCTTGCGGTTGGCTACATCATTTTGCAATTAGTAACTTTTTCCGTGCTGGGAAAACAAAAAGTTATCGGTTCGGTTCGGTTGGCTGATTGGCAGAGTTGGCTTCGATCATTTGTCATTCAAAAGTAGACGCTGGGGGAAAAGTCCTGGCCAGCCGGAACCCTCCGAACAACCTGACCTAACACAATGTGGCCAAAAAGCGATGCAGGTGTTCCATCTACATGTATGCACGCCATTTATATTCATTTTCGTGTCATGGCCAGAAAACTGATGGTGTCAATTACGATGGCTGGAATAAGGGGAGTTAGCCAAACAAAGGTGTATTTTATTCGTTCAATATGTGTGTATAATATATAGCTTTTCTATGACAAACTGCCAAACGCGTCACTGGAGAAATTTAATATCGATTCAAGCCGTTCCGGGAAATGCAATTTCTGGCATCCAATATAAATTTAGCATTTCCCAGGAAATTTCATTGCTCTCAATCCTCGGAATCGAATTTACATTGCAAAATTAAATATTGGAAGGCGGCTACACAAGTATTATGTTTCCCTCTCGCCGATAAAATGCCATTTTATTTGCTGCAATCTTGTATTTCCGCTTCCTGCTCAACTATTATCGCCAATGTCTGTGTATTTGCACCATATACTGTGTGGGTGTGTTTTCTCTGCAGCAAATAAAAATCCTTGACCCGCCAAGCCTTACACTTTTGCCCAGAGTTTTCCGCTCCAGGTGATTCAGGTGGGCAGAAGAACCTGCAGAAATTCAGGCGCTGCCATTACAAGCTCGAAGTCTTCAGCAAATATCAATTAACAAAAGTGTTTTTCGGCCTCTGAACTTTCGATGGGGCTTAAGCATAGAAAATCTGGCTTTGGTATAATGAAATAGCATTATAGGCTAAGCGATTTCGAAGATGGAGGAACTTGAAAAGGATAGAAATAAATCTTAAAAAATCTTTAAATAAAAATGAATTAGGTTAAGTCAATAATTTAAATTTCTTGAATTTCAATTTATTATTTATTAGTAGATTAAATATTCTATACCATCCATTCTATCAAATAAACTTTTCGCCCATTTGAAAACCATTGTGAACACCTTTGTTTTAGCTGCATAAAATGAGAATTAATCATTGTATTCTCTTTTGTGAAAATGCCCAGGCAAACAAACAGAATCTCATGCATTTTAGGTAAGCAAGCTTTTGTTTTCCGTTCATAAGGATGACTCTTAATGCATGGCGATGCAGAGCCATTCATCTGATCCCCAGCATCCCCCAACCCACATAACCATAACCATATCCCCTGCACTTTAGTTTCTCCTTTCGATGAATGCCCAAGCTGACAGTTTTCCTTTATTTGCCATGTTTTTCTATCTTTTTTTTTTGCAGAGTGCGCCATACAAATCGTATTTATAGCAGTGGCCATTTTTCACATAGGGGGTGCTTTTGTGTGTGCGTTGTGTGTAGTGTAGTGTAATGTCACGCGGGTCGGGCACATGACGCCTTTGAAATTTATGTTGACAGGACTTTCCTTCTTTCTTTCTGGCGGGGAAAGGAGAAGAGAAGCGGCGAGTGTCAGGTGAAAGTGAAACACGTTACGCATACGCCGCGTTGCACGCTAATGAGGCCAAAGCGCAGCGTCTAAAGACGAAAAGACGGGGCCAAAAGAGGTAAATCCCTGTATATATATGCACTCATACTTTATGCAGTAGCTATCTCTCTTTCTGCGGCTTATTTAAATGGCGCTTTAGCTTTGGCCCCAAGAAAATTGCAGCCTTTTCACCTGGCCCAGAAAAATACCCAGCCATTATTGAGTTCCACTTTTTATGTTTGCGGTGCTACATGCGCCATTTTTGGGGGTTTTCCTGGTCGCAAGATTTACGAGGAGTGTTATTGTTGCGCCCTTACAAAATTATTGAAAATCAGGCCATGCACGAGCTGCAGAAATCAAAGAGTTGCAACAACTTTTTCGGTGCCACGGACCAAGTTAAATTGGTTTTGCATAAAGTTTTTGCCTTTCTGCAGCAAAACTTGCATTTCGCTTGCATGTCACGTGCGCATTCTGTGTCGGCTTTATTTTAAACACATTAGGCAGCAAATAGAAATAAATCCCGATCGGAAGCGTTTTGCTATGCAAATTATCGCGGGGCTTTCTGGCGATTAGAAACACATGCGGGCAATCAGCGGTGGGTTAAATGTCAAGGACGCAAGGACTCTCGAACTCAGCGGATAATTGGAGGCACTAAGCTCCTGTCCGGTCAATGGTAATGTGGCATGTTATTAAATAAATTAAGCCGCTTACACTAAATGGTGGGCGAAATGCAGCAGCTGCTGTTTCTGCAACTGCAACCTTGCTGTCAATTCCACGCGAAAGCAATTTAAATGCGAAGAATGCGTGTTGTCGATGAAAAGAGCGGGGGATTTTCTTGGTAAATGGTACTCCAACCACCTGGGAAATGGAAAACGGGAAATGGGCACCATAAATAAGCGCCCAGCGTTAGTAATAGATTATGGCAAAAAAGCATTGCATACCTCTGGCAGCCATGCCGCTGAATAATGGTCGCTATATACTATTATATAGTCGGTTATAGTCGGTTAGGGTCGCGTGGGGGGATCGCAATTTATTGTTGTTCCTTGTAAAAGGAAATGTTGGAGGTTTCCAACAACAGCCAACGCAGAGAACAGCCAGCAGCAACAAAAGAAAATGGGGAAAACTATGCAGCAGAGTTGTGTCATTGTTGAGCGAATATTCTTCGAAGGGGGGAAAACTAAGTGCGCTGTACTATACTTCATGTTCATTATGACATAGTCGAGCGTATCACTTAATTGTGCCCAGAAGTTCCCGCCCCATAAACTTTACAATTTCTGAGCTTAATGCCATGACATATTATTAACGCGAGACTCTTTTGAAGCAGACTCAACATATTTTACAACGCGGGGTACAGTTTATAGATCCAGGTGTAGATTTATAACGTAGATGGTAAAATTTGAAGAAATTTTAAGTGATTATCTGCACAAAATATATTGCCATTAAATTTACAACACATTTATCTGACACCAAAGTATATTTATATTGAATGTACCTGCTTTATAATTTCAATTAAGCCCATTTCTAATTTAAATTTAATGTATATTCATTAAAAATCAAGCCAACTTTAAATCCAATTAATTTGGCAGTATTTTCATTAAATAAATGTTTAATGAACCCAATGATTCCGACCAGTCACCCAATTAAGTTGCTATATTTTTTTAGAATTTTCATTTATGCAACATCCCATTTAGTCATGAAATATGCATTCAATGCTAGTTTAGAATGCACAGCGCTAAAGTTTTAAACTTGAAACGTAACTCTCACTGCATTAAATGCAATTGGTGATTATGCATCCCTTTTGGCTGCCAACCATCTGCAGTTTATTGGATCCGCCTGGCTGGCTGCTCCTCCGAATGACTCGTTTTACGGCACCGCTGTGGACCATTGCAATTATGAGGCATTAAAAACTCCCAATGGAAAACGAAAACGGCGAACGGAACATGTGCAAATAATACCCAATGATAAGCATAATTTATGCGTGCTGCTAATGGCCAAGTTAAGTGGAGCAACCAGCGTTTGAATCAAGCGAATGTTTTACAACAAAATCTACTCCTTGCTGGCTGGAACACGGAAAATGGGAAATGGAAAATGGGTCAATTGTGTGGCCAAGAGAGCTCCCAGCCAAGGAACACGACCGCACCAAAAGCACATGCAATTAGCAGGCTGCAATTAGATTGCATACAAACCTGATGAGTTCATGCGATGCTCATTTCGTAAATTCTGCTAATCAAGAACTTACGTTCGTGGGAACTTTGAAAAATACCACCCTTGAAATCATGTAACCTTCGTTAGTTTCCAGGAAAGTTATTTCTCATTTCGCAATTTGAAATGGCTTAATTGAAATTAGTTCCATTTAATCAACACCTCTATATAAGCACTATTATTCACAAACCACTTAATAGAAGTCTATACAACCTCGCTTCAGGATGAAGATCTTTTTGGGAATTGTGGCCATTCTTGTTTTAGGCCTTGCGAAAAACACCGAAGCCCAATTTCAGCCGCCATGGGGACCCATTGGGGACTGGTTCAATCCCGGCCACCATATCAATAAATAATCTACTCTAAAGATATTCTCGTACATAATACCGGTGTTGGGGAAGGTATTAATAAAGGCATTTTATTATCAGTGTTGGGAAAGGGACTTCTTTTGTGAGCCTAGGGAAGGTTTAAAATGCTTGAAAGGGGGAAAATAAGGGCGCGAATTCTATAGAACATGCGGAACCAATATGGACCATTGCAACATTACTTCTTTGTTTAGTTAACCCTTAACCCTTAAACAAAATGACACCGCGAATTCTTGAGAACAAGAAAGGAACCAAGAACTTTTATATACCTTACTGGTACTTAGGTTTTATAGAATTGCTTAAAGAGGAGACTCACCTCGCCGCCCTTCTCGTGGGCCACCTTGCTCAGCCGATAACATCGCTCCACGCCGATGGTGCAGATGGCCGGGTTGCACTGGGTGAGGTACCGCCCACTGCCGCAGCCCACGTCGCAGACCACGGAGCCCGGATCCAAGCCGCTGAGGAAGTGGGCCATCCGGGGACGCACTGGACCCGTCGGCTCCTCGCAATGCTCGTACACATCGTGCACATAGGCCCGTTCCAGAGCCGCCGATCTGCCACTGGCATCGCTACTCGAGGGCTTCTCTTTGAGGGTTTGGGCTTGCGGTTGGGCCACAGTCTTTGTTGTCTCGCTGACAGGTGAAATGCTGCCACCCACAGCTCCTCCAGCTCCTCCAGCTCCTCCTCCTCCTCTCCCTCTGACCCTCCCGCTGCTCCTGCAGTCGGTGATATAACTGTGGGCGCCAAATCACCCGCTTGTCCTATGCTCGATGCCGCATTTGTTGCTGTTGCCGTTGTCAATTGCTTGGTCATTGTGGCTGCTGCTGCTGCTGTTGCCGTTGCAAGTGTTGCTGCTGCTGCTGCTGCTCCCGATGTTGCTCCCGTCGTTGTGTGGCACTTTTCATATGTTGTCGAGGGGCAAACTTCATCTGCAGAATACATAAAAATAGATGGAGGAAGTCAGAGTCTGGATTCCACACGAATTTCGTGTCAGGAACATGACACTTAATAATCCCTTGTTCAAAAATAACATCCATATCCTTCAGCAGACTAAGAAGAAAGCAACTGGTTCTTTAAAATTGCTATAAAAGTTTTAAACACATTTTTATACAAACTGAAATCTTACCAATCATAAATTATAACAACTTTCTTTCTTAATGATTTAAATTTTGGATAAAAATATCTTTTTTTGGTTTTGAACCATAGTGAATGAAATGATGTTGCAAATCTAAAGTACCGACTTTTTTGAGCAGCTGAAACCCCAGTTGACAATCCCCATCACCAATTTTCGCATTTTACAAAAATTAAAATTTTCTAGATTTATTTCGACCATTTTTTGCAGAGTTTCGGAATTTTCTATCGTACCAAAGAGCACAACTAAAAATCCGTCCGTTAAAAAAAACTGCCAACCCCAAATTACGCTCCCTAATACTAGTTTTCATAATTCTTTTTTCCCTTACTTAAATTTAAAAAAGTTTATAATTGGCTTTCTAGGAGCAAGGTCCTTCAGGACCATGAAAAACTATTTGTGGACGTGGATTTTGTTATCGAGTTCTAGGAAATGCCCCCTTTACCTACTTCGTTATGCAAACTGCAGTGTAATTTATAATCCGCCAAACAATTTGTATAATTAAGCCAATTGCCTGGCATAAAGTCAATTTCAGACTCCTCCGACTCCTTGTTGCATGCCGTTGGAAATTTTGCGAAACGAAAGAGCGAAGGAGGACTACTGGGTGCATGACATCAAGTCGTAAAATCGTTAGAAAAACGTCAGCAAGGCCCACACACACACAACCACACGGAGACCTGCATTCCGGATGTGTGGCAACTGTTTTTGGTTAGCATTGCTGTTGACATTTTATAACCATACTTCCGGTGGCACTTCGAATGGAAATTTTAGCGCCTTGGGCGCAGGCAACTGGCCATTGTCAGAGCCAATAAATTGCATTAAAATGCTGTTGCACAAAGGGAAATTACCAAGTGGGTGGCTGATGGAGTTTTCCTCTGTTTTCAGGTGGGCAGTGGTGGGCGGCTCATAGTTCAGAGGTGGGTGGCTCGAGGCCATTTACAGGGAGCCACAGCAGCCGGCAGTGGGCGCCAAACGACATTAGTGCAGTAAAATGGAATTATAATTGAAATCTGATTAAAAGCAGTTGTAGTGCCAACAATGACGCAGCATTCAGGATGATGGTGGCGAAGGGGAGGCTAAGTTCAGGGGTCTTTCGTATAGCTCATGTCCTGGGGGCGTTAATGAGTTGGCGCCCATTCTGTGTATGTGTTAATAAGCACTGTAAATGAGTTATAAATGTGTTCTATGACATTTTGATTGAAATTATGGACAAAGAAAGGGGACTAGAGAGCCAAAGAGCAGGCTAGACACATAGAGAGCTGGGTGTAAATCAGAGAGAAATAACACAGTCATTTCTATTTCGCCATTTAATGAAAAGTTGTATGTCAGCATATAAATGAGAAAGTTCCTTAATTAGTTTAACTATTAAATATCCTATAAATAAGTGATTTAAAATCGCTATTTCCAGAAAAACTTACTAATTGGGTTTTTATTTCATTTATTTGTTGAAATAATGTATATGCTTTAGTAGATTTTCATCCGTTAGTCATTAGTTATGTTTTTTAATAATTCTAAAAATGGGCCTTTTTTATTCTCAAGATGCGTTTTAAAAATAGTGTCTTGTTGTATATTATTCTTCAGTCTATTTTAATTCCAATAATACAATTTTAGAAACGGTAAAACAAATGATTAAACCTGGTTTTCTGTTTCTAATCTTTGTAATATTCTTAATAGATATAAAGCTATCTAGAAAACCCAAGAAAATGTTTTTAAAACTTTATAATATGATATCATAGCCTTTTCACTACCTATCCTAAGTTAACCACACCGTGCCCCTCAAAAACTCTAAAGATTTTCTGCTGATGCCTGCTTATCCCCGATAGCTTCCTTTTCATTCTTAGCCTCTGTTGAGCATGATGAGCACTCATTAACATCGCTTTTCCCGTGCTTTCCCCGTGCTCGCCGTATCCGTATCCTAATCAATAAAGTGCTTTCCCATTACCCATACGCCATGTGGTCCAGGCGGATGTTGTTTGTAGGATGTGCTTACCTTTTGAGGGGCCGTTGCTGCGCTGATAACTCGCATTCAACAAAGCCGTCGACGACGCCAGTTCCGCTGATAACATGCGATGCGATATAGATGATATAGATGGGGGATATAACGACTGGGTCGGAAAATCAATGTGCATGCATAATTTAAAGTCTGTTGCGGCACTTTAGACCCTTGGACCCTTCGACATCCACATCCAGTTGATTGGGGGGAAGTGGAAACAGGGAACTTTGGACTCTCGACAACTTGGCGACGCGCGATTATTTTTAGACTTTCGAAGCGGAGCACGTTCTATGCGATAATTTGCTCAATTTACTTTTGAAATCTATCATTATGGCAACTACACGGTGTAATTGCGATGTGCTTGTTTTTGTTTTTGTTTTTCTATGGCCACTATGGCTAAGGACCTTCTCCTCGCTGCCTTCTCCTTCTTTTTTTAGCTGCCACACACAAAATAGGATACACAAAATGCGGGCTCCATGGACTCCTGTCAATGCCTCTGGCATATGACGTTTCCTTTGTGTGTGTGTGAGTGTGTGATTTTCTGCTTCTTACAGGCACTTTTCACTTGCACTTTTCCTTTTGGATCCGTTTCCATCCGAAGGGGTCCCACCAATTAATTTTCCATTATCGCCCTTGTCGATTTGGATTTATTCTTGTATTGTGTTTAATTTCTAGGACACTGGCACTTGGCGCTTCACTTTCATACATATACGTATATATATAGGCGAGTGGGGATTTGTGTGTGCGAGTGTGTGTGTGAGTGCGCGTGTGTGAGAGGTCCTGTCTCAGCGATTTTCCCGTTTGTTAGCCGTTTTGTTTTCTCAGCCCTCGTGTCCGTTCTCTCGGAGTCAACGTCGCGTACTAAACGTGAAAAGCCCCTTGGACTCCAAATGCGTTTGTTCAAGGATGTTGCTCCTGCCGCCTTGTGGATCGCATTGAAAAAGCTTCTTCCAACTTGACGAAAGCTTTCCGGGAGCAGGAGCAGAGGGGCTGCCAAACCAACCAGCTCACAGCTGTTTTTGCAGAGAGGGAAAGTGAAAGCGGAGAATTGGAGCGGGAGAATTCGCCAGTCTTTGAGTTATGGCTTTAATGTAGAAAAGATCTTCTCTATGGAAATATATTCGACTAACTTGTTGGTTAGTGTAACCCCATCTTAAATCTTATCAAAGGAATATTTCAATTGCAACCTTTTACATCCTAGAGGTCCTAAAATCAAGGATTAGCTAATTACAATTTAAAAATTTTAAATTAATACTTATTAAGTCTTGTATACAAAAACTCTCTAAGAATTTATTTATTTATTTTTTTTACAGAACTTTTTAAGGACATTTAATAAATTTAAGAAGACTACATCAAATCGGTTTTTTTATGCTTTTATTAAAAGAAGATCTTTTGCAGTTTGTTGTATGTTACTATCTGGCCTAACTGAAAATAGTTTGGGAATGCATTTTAATTCTGTAGGACATAAGAAAAAAATTCTAAAAAATTCTTTAAAACATGAAAGTTTAAGATTCTTATTGGTTTAAAAATCCTTTAATTTAAAAAGCCATATAAAATGCGTTTTACGATGCCAAAGTCCCGTCGAGAGCTCAATGGCAATATCCAAAAATAGCCAGCCCAGGGCAATTAAAATGACAAAAGAAAGAAAAGCTCGGAATTCGTCTTTGTTTGGTTAACGCGAGTCGGCTTGTCAAATTTCATGAATGAACCCCAAAGCGCAATTGAAAAAGTCAAAAAGTGGAAAAAAATAATAAGTGGGAAAAGTGGAAATGGGGGAAGAGCAACAACCGCATATGAAAAGCCATATGAAAAGCCACAGAGCACAGAAATAGAAGCTTCGTCGAGTTGGCCAGCGAAATGTGTCGAAAATAGCAAAATAGCATAGAGCCAGCCACAAAATAGGCGAAAAATAGCTCCACGAGCTGCCAAATGGCGCAAACTCTACCCAGTCGGTGTCCCTTTTCCTCCCCATCCATCCATCTCACTTGCTCCCGATTACTTTTGATGAATGAAAAGCTTTTTGTTTTCGCCTTTGCCTTTGCGTTTGCCGCTATCTCAGAGTCGCGTGGAAAAGGGAAAAGTGTGGGAAAACTCCCGCCGATGTCGCTGTAGTTGTAGGAGCAGCGCCATCCTCTGACGTCCCCGCATAGTAAAAGCTTGTAAAAGGGGGTTTCCTGGGAGTGGGTGGCATCGGCATCCCAAGCGTCACATGTCTTTTTTGGGCCGCATGACTAATATAGGCAAATGGCAAGCGACTCGCAGGACATGGCGCACATTTGGCGACATGCCAGAGGAGCAGATACGCATTCCTAAACAAAATGTTTCTGTACTTGGAAAAATACTTCAGATTAAGATTTACGGGAACTGCTTTTCAGTAAAATTTTTATGAAAAGACTATAGAAATCTCTAAAGTTCTAAAATTTATTTTAAAAGTGCCTTTTAAGTAGTGTAGTATGAATGGATTTTATATTGCATACTTTTAGACACCTTCAAATAGAATATTTCATTTTTATAAAATTATTCCCTAAAAATTTTATAATATTTTTCCTAACATTTCGAGAGAACCAACTACTTTTCAAAGCTCAAATAAGAATGAACATACAAGCTGGTATCTCATTTTTTTTCTCAGTGGCTTTCGCTAACTGGTAATGTCTGATTTTTACCGGTAGATGGGTCGATGTCGTCACTGAACCGATGGATACGCTGTTGAATGATTCACGAGTGCGAATGCAAGGAGTGGGTGTTATACAAAGGAAAAACTTTTGTTTATGCCAGATTGAACTAAAAGTAGAAGTTTACAAGTGGCAGCAACTTTTACGATTGTTTAGGGCTATCTTTAGCGTGGGCCAAGAACGTCACAGCCGGTGACGTTTCGACATTTGACTTGACTTTTATTGGGGATCCTGCAGGATAGTATTATATATGCAGAGATACAGATATGTAAATAAATAGATGTCTTCTCGCCTTGGGCGCACGCCTGGCACATCTAACGAATGTGGCATTATTAGTTCTGTCATAGTCATAAATCATACGTATACGCCCAGTGGAACGTGGAAAGCCGGCAGCACGCCAAGGAGGCGAAGGACGAACGAGATATTGCGGCAGGACTGCATTGCTAATAATGTCACGTAGCACAGCTTTTGACAGTCAAGTGTCACACACACACTCTACTTCCGAGAATCCAAGATTAGGCGCTGCTCAACATGGCCAATTATGAGGGGGGAATCTGCGGTTCTCAAATCCCACCCCCTAATTTTGCATACATTTCTTCCTATTCTCCTTTGTGTAATCTCCTTTAGAAGCGCAAAATTTAATTACGAAAACTGTGCTCGAAATTATGCCAAAACATACGCAAGGACGCAGAACGTGGCGGCCATACTAAAAATACGCAAAAATAAACAGGAAAATGGCAAGAGGAAAAACTCATTTCGCAGTGCTATCGCCGCTCGGCAATCAGAGCAAACCGCCCACGAACGAATCCTTATTCTTATCCATATCCTTATCCTTATCCTCGTCCTTGGCGGCGGAAAGACATTTCCTTTTTGTGTGCCGGCAAATGAAGTGCAAATTATGCCAACGGAATGGCCAGTGCGAAAGCAGAGAAAATCGCGGAAAACAAAGCGCTTTTCACGTAGCCCCGAAAAGTATGCCATATACACACAAGTGGGGCGGGGGACTTTCGGGGGATTTTTGGGGCGGATTTTGAGTGAGATTACATGGCAAAGCATAACTTTATTGAGGTTGGCCCTCCCTTTAACCCTCTAATGCCCGGCGCGTGGCATTGTCAGCACGTTGGGCGCCATTTGAAATGGTCGCGTGTAGTCGGTAGTTTTGCTGTGCGGGAAAACCTCGCTTTTCGCCGGCCTTTGTGGCGGTCCGATAGCATATCTTGTTGCGCATTTGTCCATGTACCACGGTCAATGTTCTCGCCCTGGCCAGTGTCACCCTGACGTCAGCGTCCTCCGGGGAAGACTCCACCCCCACCCTTAACCATAATACACCACCAACTCCCACCCCCCTTTTACCAAGGCCAAACAAATGGGCGTCCAATGTCGCGTGACGCACAAGGATATCGAGTCCTCTGATTGTCGTCGTCGTCGTCGTTGTTCTGCCTTAGATGATTTTTCTAGCTTTCGCTGTTTGCTCTGTCACGTGTTTGCCCAGCCAATTAGAGTTATAGTCTGGCTAAGAGAGAGAGCCGGGAAGGAAAAGCCACAAAGCTTTGGGAGCTTTTCCTAAGCAGGTGCACAAACCATCCCGGAAAAATCGCTTTTAGGGCGGAAGAATTACAGGAGCGGTTCTAGAAGGTTTTCCTATTTAATATTGAGCCGAAATGGAATTAGTGAAAATGTTTTTCTACAGAAGAATTCTGAAACAAAAAATTGTTGGAGTTTTCTAACTTACCTTCAAATATATTTTAAATTTAAGATGTTTTGGGTGCCTATTTTTTCCTCAGTATCCCTTAAGGTATAAACCATCAATTAAATTTTTTTTTGCTAATAATCCACCTAATTATACAAATAAGAACTTCCAAAGTCTTACATTACGATTATGATAATTTGTATCGATTTATTATATCAACTTCCATAGGATCTTGGTTCGTCAGTGATTCAAAATGTTGGACAATTCTTCGGCTGAATTCACGTTCTAGGAGTTTTTGACTAGATATGCCTTATTACACAGGTTAGTATACAATGGGTTAGAAGCGGGTGATCTTATTATGATCTGGTGAGGGCGGTAGCGAGGAGACCGAGGATCGGGAGGGACTCTGCTGAGGTCTTGGCGGAGGACGCTGGGGATTGATGTTGGCATTGGCCTGGCGGAGATTGGCGAAGAACTGCTGGCGACGTGGTCCGCCTCCTCGCAAGGGTAACGTGGGGATCTCACTGGGCGATTGGTGGTTCATTTCCTCCTGCGAACAGTGACGCATCGCAGGATTCACGCACTCGTAGACGCTCTAAAATATTTCAGTTAAATTATAATTACAGATTGTTTAGTTTAATTTATGAACCCACCTGATCCGAGGAGTACTGATTGTTCTGGGCAAAGGCCAGCGAGGTGAGCGAGGGCAAGGCCTGGGCAATATCCGATCGCTCGATACCCCTCACGATCAAAAAGGTGCGTGGTATTAGAATGCCCACCAGGACAGCCCAACCCGAGGCTTGTAAACCCAGTGGTATAGCTGCATCTCGCCACTCATCGCCAAACAGGGACAACGCTATCCAGGCCACCCAAATCACCATGACGAGAACCGATCCTATCACAATCAGTATTCCCTCGCGGTAGTTCCTCTGCGATCGGTAAATGGAGGGTATCAGGGCGCCCACACAAACGAGGAGCACAAAGTCGTAGGCCAAGAGGCCCCACAACCAGCGGCCATAGTAGATATTCTCACAGGACACCGCCTCCGAGGCCACATGCATCACGACCAAAAGTTGCACGGACATGCCCACCTGGGTGACGACACTAAAGGCGCATATTACCGCCTGGATATAGCCATTCACGTGGGATAGGAAACCACCCTCCGAGCCAATTGAAGCCAACATCACAGCCCGGCAGAGGAGCAGGGAAAACACAAAACAGTAGACCAGAGTCATGATGAAAACCCTCACCGCGCACAGGGTATTCAAAGTCTGGGCATCCTCGAAGGTCACATGCGAATTGCGCTGCTCGCCAACGTACTCAATGGAAAAGGGCACAAAGGAGCAGAAGACCAGGATGAGGGATAGGAGGAGCAGAATGGAGGTGGCCGGATTGCCCTCGAAGACATCGCCCAACGAGATGCGCACCACAATGAACACCAGGATGGCCAGCGTGGCAATCAGGCCCAGAATGGCGGCCGTCAGCCCAGTTGCCACCCATGTGTCCATCTTGATGCGCCAAAACATCACTGACTCTCCGTCAAACAGGAAGGGGTACCTGCGATTATCCCCCGCACTGTACTGGCAATTGAACACCTGACCGAACTTGGTCTTCAGCTCCAAACTGGTGTGATTATCCCGATTGTAGTGATAGTATGTCGTCACATTGGTCACAAAGTTCTGCGAGGCAATCTCACGTAGCTCGGTGCGCGACTCCCCCGTAATCTTGTCCATCGTGAGGACCTTCTTCTGATACATTTGGAAATTCATGGCGGTGCCCAGTTTGCGCATCACCAACAGGGCCAGGATCTCAGCTGTTTCGTGCGCCTGCCGATACTCCGATGTCCGCCAGTCCTCAATGAAATTAGTGAAATTGAAGCAGGTATCCAGGACATACAGTTCCTGATCCCTGTCCCGATTACAGTGCTTGGACAGGGATCCGCGCAGCCAGTTCATCAGGTCGATTATGGAGCCGGCAAAGCTGAGGACGCGCGAAGGAACCACACTCTTCCCGATGAGAATCTCGTCCAGCTGGGTGGGCGTGGCATCCAGTTCCATTGTGGTGGTCAGGTCGATTTCGTTCTCCATCAGAACAAAAGCTCTGTTTGGTAAGTCTAGTGGGAAAATGGGTATTATAAAATGTATTAATTTAAATTAGAACAAGAAAGGAAGCTAGCTTCGGCCAGCCGAAGCTTAAATACCCTTGCAGATCATTCCTATTAATTACCAAATCGCAAAAATGTTCAATTAATTTCATTAATCTCATTAATTTTCCGATCGTTCCTATGGCAGCTATATGATATAGTCGTCCGATTTTGATCAAATTAAAATTGAAATTCGGAAATATTTAAAAAGAGTCATATCCTAGAGTAGAAGATAATACAATAAAAACGAAAGAAGCTAGAATTTATTTCCTATTACTTTTCCATTAATTTCCCGATCGTTCCTATGGCAGCTATATGATATAGTAGTCCGATTTTTTAAATAATTAATTCGAAATTCAGAAATATTTAAAAAATAACATCCCCAAAAGTAGAAGGTGATATTTCAAAAAACACCGAAGCTAGAATTTTTTTAAGGTTTTCTTTTCCGATCCTTCCTATGGGAGCTATAAGATATAGTTGTCCGATCCGGTCGGTTCCGACATATATACTACCTGCAATAAAAAGAAGACTTTTGGGAAAGTTTCATCCCGATAGCTCAAAAACTGAGAGACTAGTTTGCGTAGAAACAGACAGACGGACAGACGGACAGACGGACAGACGGACAGACGGACAGACGGTCAGACGGACAGACGGACAGACGGACATGGCTAGATCGACTCGTCTAGTGATGCTGATCAAGAATATATATACTTTATGGGGTCGGAAACGTCTCCTTCACTGCGTTGCAAACTTCTGACTGAAATCATAATACCCTCTGCAAGGGTATAAAAATTTATCAATTATAACAGTAATACAATATTTAATAAAATGGCAAATATTATAATAATTTTAAGAAACAATATTGAGAAAAAATGTTTAAAAAAACTGTTTTAAAAATGCAGTATTTTGTTACCTAAAATAAAGTGATGCTACACACAAAGGTCTACTTATAGTTACAAAAATAAAATCAAAATATAAAATAAATTCTTAAAAGCAATTAAAAGTTTTTAACGTGTTTACCATCAAGAACAACTGGCATTTATTTTAAGCAACTGAAACTTTAACTTTTATATCGAAATTTTCCTCACCTGCCAGAAAATCATCATCCGTTCGATCGGTGGGCACGGAAAATAGAGTGCCATTTTCCTTGAAGTGGCTGGCCAGCTTGTTGCCAAACATTATGTACACGTTCTCGTCACTTTTGAAGTGCATGAGACACATGTGCTCCTGCCGAGCGGCCTCCATGAATTCATTGTACATCTCCAGAGTTTCGGTGGCTATTTCCACTGATGCGATTTTCTCGCCCCAAGGCATTTGGTGCAGCAAATGCGCCACCTTGGGAAAGAGATGTGCCCGAGTGCCTGGTATTGGCCAGATATTGTACTCGAGGTCCTTGATAACCGGCTCCAGTTGTTTGTACAGCTCCCAGTCGAGGAAAATGCCCAGGGAGTACTTGGTGCACTGCTGCAGGAATTGAACCTCCTGGAGGAGTAAGTTCTCGGCTAAGCTGGCGTTGTCAATGTTGATGGCGCGAAGTCCTTAAATAAATTAATAAAATATGTAAAAATGTTAGAATTAAATAAATAAGTTATTGCAGATTGATTCGAATTAATGTTTACAAACCAATTTCAAAGTCGGCCATTATGAGATTCGCCTGGTTCACTCGATTAATAACGAACAATGCGGAATCGGGATCCTTGGTGAGGACACTGAGCATCACTTCGCCTTCGAGTATCTTGACAAACTCCTCCTGTTTCCGTATCACCAATCCCTCGTCCGCACTGTTGACGGTCAACTGCAGGCCATTGAGACAAATTTCCGGCACTAAACTGGCAGTTGTTCCCTCAGTTGTGGACGAGATGAGTGGGGCCAGTTGGCCATCATCCAAGGAGCTGGAGGTGCCATCATCATCATCTTGGTTGGTGGTCTGACCCACCGTCGTTGTTGGGGCCTTTGTGGTTATACCACTAATGGGCTTGGCCTGTGGACTTGAGGGCTGCGGTTTGGTTATTCGAAGGGGAGCGGACTTCTTGGTGGGTGATGTCACCTCTACGCCACGGCAGTCCAAAATGCAGATAGCCAGTGTGATTAGGATGCATACTAGTGCTGGAAAGGAGTGATGAAATTAAAGAAATTTAAATAAAGCACATGTAAGCCTTTAGAAATTCATCGATTAATTTAAATGTCCCCAGAAAGAGTTAAAATAAATTCTTTATAATAACGAATTTTTTTCAAATACAATACAATGTATTTAGAGATTAGATTTTGTTGTTTAAATACTAAGAAGGGTAGTAAACAAATTGTTTATTTTTATATAAGGTGGATACATCGCGGAATTGTTTAAGATTTAACTTCTTTTAAACCTAAATTACGAAAAACTTCAAAATGAGGTACTTGAATTTTTCTCAGATTCGCAGAAATACTTAAACTGATTGATTGAGCAATACAGAAAGAAAAAAGGAATCTGCAGAAATGGCAATGCCATGTTCTTCAACTCTTGGCACTCGACAATATTCTCAGAACAAATATAAGAAGTCCATTCGAGTTGACATTTATTCCATTGCGTTTCACTTTTGCCTTTCAACATTTACTGAGCACTCACCCACTGGTAATGGCTTCCTCCAAGAATTTATGACCTTCATTTTTTAAGTTTAATCGGTTTTAATTAAACACAAAAAAATGTCCGTTGATAATAAAGCGATTTTACAGTCTTTTCTTCAACATGAACTGATAATTAGTAGCATTTTACGAGGACGCTGGAACAGAGAAATATTTGTAAGTTGGATATTAGCAATTAAAGACTTTTATTTTAGCTTTTTTCGTTTCATTTTTTCCCGTCCACTTCAACCGACATTTGCCGACTGCGTGGAGAGTGTTGCACTTTAATCGCATTAAAAATTGTCACACTAACACAGTTTGCACTTTTCCAAGTCCGTTTCTTCGTGATTTTCCTTCGCTATCAGTGCAAAGTAATGCGGTGGAAAATATTTCTTCTTTGCATATTCTCTTCTCTCACTTTGGGAAAATCAATAGAACTGTTTTCTTTTTTTTAAGGCGAATTGTAGAATTTATGGCACCGCACTTATTACACAGATTCACGCACTGAGCCCTCTGACAGTCTGGGCCACAATAGTTTTGGTTTTAGCCATGGGTGCGCAATGGCTAAAAAACGAAAAAAAAAAACACAAATGTAACGCCTCAGTGATTTTAGGGTCAATTAAACGATTCTCGTTTTATGTTTGCCCAGTGATGTACGCAGCGCACTCAGCCCATGTATTTCATTTGTCCAATTTGATTTTGTAAGCCCCTGTGTCAGCGGGTGCAGTATTGCAATTATGTTCAAATTCGATTTTTTCCGCCTCTTTTATTTTTTATTTGACTTTTTTTCCACCGCTTTTGAACCCACCCCCAGAAGAAACACTGATGTGGCAATGTTTTGCACCTGTTTTTGGCCGTTTTGTTTTGACTAACTTGGCTTAGGCCCGGCACTCGCTGGTTGTTATGGTGATTGGCTCAAACGTGTCACTCAGCCAATTGAGTGCTTTTTCCTTCCCTGCGAGTGTGTGTTTTCCCATAATTATAAAAATAAATATGTACACCCCGAAGCCAGTTCAAATATTGGTCATTGCAATTAGCCAACCGGCTGGGTAAAAGTTTCGGGTTTCATGGTGGTGGAGAAAAAGGGGTTGACTGTCAAAGGTGCCGATCATCGGTAATTGCAATTTTTGTTAGTCGAGCACTTGACAGCTTGCACAATATTATTTTATCCATTTTTGGTTTTATTTGTTTCCTTTGTTTTAATGCTAGCCAATCTAAACTGGCTCACAGCTGAATGTTAGGTAGAATGTCCTTGAAAATGAAATTGTCATTGCCTTGAACGCGTTTCCGGGTTTCGGGTTTTTTGCATAACACTTTTAATTCATGTCAAAGGCAACATCAGTTGAAAAACTGCAAATTGCATTTGTCTACATTGCATAAGTTTAATTTGAACTATTTTCCCCAACGCTTTTTAACTTTTATAGCCGTCGAAAAGTATTTTTAGCTTAGCTGGTTGTATTTTAATTTACTTTATTTAAATTTGTTTTATTTTTGACTCAAACGCACCAATATGTCAACGGCGGACCACGTTCACGTTTAAACTGTTTTGGCCAACTGAACTAGCGGAAGAACTGGCTGAATTGCCGTGGTCGTAAGCCCATAAAAATGCAGCTGCAGGTTAGGGTTAGTGGGGGTGGTCTTAGGCCCTGTTTTCCACTCGACTCATTTTCACCTGTTTGGGGTAGCTCAGTTGGTTCTTGCCTTGCAGTCAATATAATATGCAGTTATTAGTGACACCAATGGGCATTACTAAGCCGGGATTGGTAATGCCAAGGGCCAAATAGGTCAGTTTTATGCCCAATAGCAGGGCACTTTAAATAATGCACTAAAAAAATATTTGCCATTCAGAAACATTTCTTTATAATTTTGTAAATTTTTATTATTTTAAAATTTTTCTAAATTTCAATTCGGGGTAAATATTTACGTTCAATGAATAAAATCACAATTTTTTCTAAATTAAAAGCAAAAAACATATTTTATTGATTTTGAACACAGTTTAATTATGAATCCCAAAATTGATTGGATTGAGTACAAGCAATCCATAAGTTATTGCCAATTTTTTTAAATACGTAGTCTAAATTTAAATATTACATTTTTTGGGTTTTACGTTATTTGAGGGGAAATTTAGAGCATTCCAAAGGAAAGATTTAAACAAGTATTAAGATGATTTATGGGGTATAGATTACTCCTCCTCCTTCGTAGCTTATTCATTTGTCTGATCTGGTAAGAAATATTTATAGCTAGTCCATTGGCATTACATTACTGACCATCTCCGGCGCCCTTGTTGACCGGCCTTCTATTTGATTTGGCTGAAGGACGAGCTGTGGCCGCTCCACTCGGATATTTCAAGCCACAATCATCGTCCTCGCTGCACGATGAGATTTCCGAGGAGAACTGGAAGTCGTCGACCTCCGTGTAGGTCTCATCCATACTATCGACCGGAGTTTCCACCTCTGTGTCGTCATCCTTTTTATCACCCTGACAGCCGGCGATCTTACGAGAGCTTTTAGCACCCGGCTCACTCAGTCCACCACTGGACATTTTCTTGGGCATCAAAATGTCCTCGAGATTGGGCAGCTGACCATCAACACTCACATGTCCGTTCATTTCCTTCATTTGCACCTGAGTGCAGTAGCGCTGAATGTGATCGAGGACCTCGCGAACGCCAAAATCAGAGGATTTTCCAACTAAGCTTTGGTCCGAAGAGGATTTACGGGCTGCCACAATCGGCTGCTGAGCCTTGGAAGCACTGTGATAGGCCCCCGAATTCTTCAGACTTTCGTTCATCTCCTTCTTTTGTGAACTAGACACTTTTGTGTGATTCTTGTGACTCTTTCCCCCTTGGTGCTTTAGACTCTGAGATGGCTTGAATCCCAGACTTTTACCCGCCGAGGCAGCTGCTACTAGGTTTGCCTTGGAAAGATTGATCATCTCGGGACTTGGTTTGCCCGTCATCAGCGATTGATGCTGGTAGAACATCTTATCGTACTCGGACTTCATGCACAAGTAGCGAAAGTGCCGGGAGTTCTCTTCGCCGTAGTATATAACCTCTGTGAAATAAGAATGTTATAAAAGTAGCAGGAATATTAAGTAATAACCTACTACTGGTAACCTGTTCCTGCAGTTTGTCCAGATTCTCGTTGGTCTGCTTCAACTCGCCGGAGAACCTTTCGATTTTGTGGCTGAGATCCCGAAAGTTCTTTACCAATGCATCCGAAATGGTGTTCTGAGGGAATAAAAAAATATATATAAATAAAATTAGATATTATAGATTGAGCACTCACTCCTACGGCCGTCTGGACGGTTTGGCGAATCAGCTCGAAGAACTCCTCGGGATCGTCCTCCTTCTCATCGTCATCGGCGGTACTCACGTGCACCTTGCTCGTCGGAATTGGCTGTCGCCCACGCGAGTGCTTCTGATGCGGATGTGGGTGCGGATGTGGATGCGGATGTGAATGCGGTTGTTGTTGCTGGTGATGCTTCAACTGGCTGTGATTCGACATCTGCTGCTGGTGAAGCTGATGCTGCGGTGGATGCTGCATTATTCCCGATTGCATTTGCATTTGCATCTGATGTGCATGAGAATGCTGATTGTGCCGGCGCAGATTTCCCAGATTTGCCTGCTGCGGCTGGGGCGCCATTAGCTCTTTATCCGAGAACTCGGCATTATCATCCATGGGATAGTTGCCCCTCTGGGTATTATTTGCCTTTCCATGATGCTGGTGCTGCATTCTATAGGCCTCCTTTGATTTAGCCACACTATAGTTGTTAATCTTACCCTCTCCCTGGCCAAAATGCGCAGTCTTCGTCGGCTGACGGGCACTGGCCTTGTTGGCCATTTGGTTTCGCCTCGAGGACATGGCATTATAGGGCGATGGCTGTGGATGACCAGGAATCATCTGCGATGGCGATGCCTGCGTCATCGCACTGGGGGCATTCCGCAAATTAGCCGCCGTCAAGGGTAAATTAGTGGTAATATAGTAATCGTTTTCGGTGACAAAACTGCGCTGTGTGCGACCATCGGTTTGCCGGGAGCTAATGGTTCCTCCACCGGCTCCCCCATTTGGACCTGCAGCTCCTCTCACTGTGGTTGTTTTGGTCATCCCTGCATGAGAGATCGCCACGGACTTGACCGGGTGCAGGGGAATCCATCTTGGAACCGTACACCTCCTCGATTCCCTTGCGACGATTGGGGCGCACCATTCTCATCGAAAGGCTTGTGTTTAAATTTCACTTACAACAATCTTGTATCTTTTTTTAGCCTTCGATTTCGTTGGCCTCGTGTATTCTACCAATTAACGCAAATGCACAATAATGTATAAACTGTTCTTGAAATATTTTACATTTATATGTGTTCTTCATGTGACTTGGCTAAAATGAATGGAAATGGTTGGAAAGCGATTGAAAGTTATTAGACTAGCCTACTTTGGTAGCAAGACTTCTGAAAAAAAGATTAGAAAATTATTATTATTTAAAAAGTTTTATAAAGTCCGGAAAATAATTCGAACTTTTATCTTAAGTTTTTTATAATAATTCTAAAAAAATTTATACAGCATACATCATTTTAAAGAAAATATTATAACTTTTTCTTACATAGCTTTGAAACAATTTTTGTTTGCATTTTAAAAAATATGCAAATGTGTAGAATTTTAAAGGAGCCAATCCTTATAAAGTTTTCCTGTCTTCCGCATTTCCTAATATTATCAAAGCTCTTCAAATCACTCCATCAAATTTGATTTACTCCCTTATATTTACTAGAACATGATAGATTTCTGAACCAAAATCGCATTTATATTGATTACCCACTCCACCCATTACCCACTTGCCAGCCAATTTTATTTTCACACCTCGAACACCGAACCCCTCTTCATTATCCAAGCCGCAGGTGGTGATGGAGTTTTCCCGTAAATTTGTTTACCTTTTGCCGCTCAACTAACCGCAAATGGCAATGACACAGAGCAAAGGTTCAATGTTTGCCCGCCTTTTGGCCGGAAATATTTGTTCGCTTCGACGCCAAATCAAATGCTAATGAGCTGCATCTGATTGCGGAGGTGTGTGGATACATTCGCTGTTGCCGTTAGAAGTGGTTCATCGCTCAAGAAATTATTACAAATATTTATCCGATTATTTACCTTTGAACCGCCTCGGGCGGCGCTCTGTGTAGCCAAGGCGAATAAGTTCGCCGGATGAATCCTTAAGCAGGCAACTAGCTTTAAGGCCATGTCTGGACTGCTGAAAATAGACCGCTTAGCCTCAGGTTACAGACACTTAAGACATAAAGGGAAAGGAATAGGAATACGCACAAGAACGAAGCGAAAAAAGGGGCTCAATAAAGGGGCTGAAGGACCCTTGAAAATTGGGTCATCTGTCCGTGGGGATTGCGCCTTGAAACGGAAAACCCAAGACACCCGGGCCAACACACTCCTTTTTCTCATATCCTCATTATGCAAATTGCGCATACGACGCGTGTGCTGCGGGCCACTGCAGGAGGCCATCTTTTCTCCCTCCCCCTCTTTATGCGGCCAGCAAATCATTTTGTTGACAATCTGTTGCATGCGAATGTTATTAGAGAAACGAGATGATATCTGTGGGAATAATTTCCATTTAATGCCCACCCTTTTCGTTTCCCCCACAGCTCACTTAATGTCCTAGTCATAAATATATATGAACCATGAAAGGCCGACAAAGACGACAGTCGACAGTTGACTATAATTTAAGATCCTGGACTGCATTTGAATTGCAGCCTTGGAAAAGCCATTTTCTGCATGTGCTGGGCATAAATATTGCAACATTCGAGGAAACGGCAAAGGTCAGACAGGCTTTATTTGTTGAAAATTCGCAGCAAAAGCTGCCACTAAGCCTTTGACGTTGCTCGGATTGTCATGGCAATACACAAGATATAATCACCATTATTAGTTGTTCCGCTGGAACTGCCCGTTGTTCGATGGAGTGTTTTCCCAGATTAGCTGCAAAATGGCAAAACAAAACGTGAGCCATTCCCAAATTAATATTAGTCATTAGCATTATGCGAAGCGATAAATTTTGATGGGCCACGGCATTAGACCAGCTTAAGGCAGCGACATTTCCAAGAAATTTATCACCCAAGAAAGTTGCCCCGCGGCGCAAATAAATCATCCAAATTGTGACCACACATTTTTAAGCATTCGGTAAGCCACAAAAGAAGCAAGAAATGCTTTTACAGGCACATTTCTTTATTTTTAATTGCAGGCCCCGGCCAATTAAAACTCAAGTGACCGTTGCAGTATTTTACAAACGCATAAATTTGTCGGCTGTCGGCAAGATTTTGAAGACTTTTCCGGACACTTTTCCGACTGCCCACCCAAAATACGTCACTTGCACAATTTTAGTTTTCTATTTTCGGCTTGATGTCAGAGGAATTTCGAGATTTCCTTAGAACTGAGCGGTTCTTTTGTTAATTTTGTATGCCTTAAATCAAATTGGCACAATCACTAATGAGCACGTGCACGAATTTCCTTATGAATTTCTATGAGAAAGCGGGAAAAATAGGCGCAGAAAATTAAAACACTTTATCTAATGACATGCCATAAAAACCATGACCTTTTCTAAGTCTTTGTTAGGAACTTCCGTCATTATTATAATTTATTTGGTGTATTAAGAGGAATCTCATATTTTGTTTCCTTTTAAGAGCATCTGAATATCATCCATATGTTTTTCTCTTTCATCGTTCTCGTTTATGGATATATTCATAATCAAAGATTCATACATATATAAAATTTATATTATAAATACTCTGGGCGAGTAAATAATTTTACGCCAATTTATTCGCTTAATTTAAGAGCTATTTATTGTTGTTTATTTATTTTAAAGTATCCCCGCTGACAGACGAACATGACGAGCGAGAATTTTCCCCTTCCCCCTTTTTTCTCACTCTTTTCTGGGCCGTGTGCTTTATGACAAAATGTTCACAATAAATAAATGCTACAACGAAATAAATTGCCGCTACAGATATGATACAAATAAATTTGCTTATTTATGCGATGCTGCCAAAGTTTCCAACAAATTTCGCGATTCGATACGAATCGAGTCGAGAGTCTCTCACTGGCGTTCTCATAAATGCAGCTGCCGTCGCTTTGTTTTGTTTTGTTTTCGGATTTTCAATAAAAAATTACTTCTCGACTCGACTTTGATTGTCGATGATTGTTTTCAGAATTTTGATGGCTTTTTGTCACGAATCCAGAACGGAGCATTTCTTTATGTTGCCCATTTTTTATACGCACTGAAGATCAGTGGACGTGTTGTGTTTTTTGTATTTTTTAGCACATCACAGAAAACTGAATGAAAATACAATTTCCTGGTATTTGGGTCAACAGAACTTTTTGCTTCACTTCAGTGGGATTAATTAAAGTCATAAACATGGTGATGCAATTTTAATTTTAAAGGAAATGCACTGAATGGTTTTATGAGATAAGTATTTAAGCATAAGAAAAAACAAATGTTTAAATTGAAAAAATATGTTTGGAATTTTCTTTAAATTAAACTTTAATACAGTATTTGGAACATAAATGCTAAAGGTGTTTATAATATTCGCCCAAATTAGCTTACCTTTTATTGTACTTATTAAAAGGTGATAAGAAAGCTCGTGACTTACTTAATGTTGCTGAAACAATAAGCTCTCGTTAGCTGGCAGCAACATGTTGCTGCTGCAACACCCACTACACTTTATTAGCCCCTTGAAGCTGGCTAGTGAACAATAATTAATTGGCCAACTGGCTATAAATATTAACTCAACACTCGAGGCACTCGGGCTGCATATCCGTGTGGATTGGTCAAGTGCAGCAGCAACATTGTTAGCAAAATCTGCGGCATGTTGCTAGTGATTCCGACCGAAAACGAGTTCGCCAACATAAACAAAGAACAGCTGTTGCGGATTGTTCCGCTGTCGGCTTCTTCAGCCGGCTAACTTAAAATGTGGGGTGAAATCAGGCAGGTCACTTGTCGTGTGCCTTCGTGTTGCCGTTGTCGGCAAACCAGCAACACCAGCGCCAGCAGCAACACCAGCAGCAGCAGCAACATCAGAAGCAGCAGCAGCCCAAACAGGAAAATCCGCACGACGATGCCACACAGAAATTCAGTTCAATGCGAAATTTTGTTTGAACCAGACGCGAAATTTCTCAACGCAGCGTGGCCAAAAAAATCTTGTTGTCAAGTGCGTGAAAAGTGTCAACAAATAAGGGAGTTTAGTGCCCTACGAACACTGAACAATGTTATATTATTTACCAAAAAATATATGAACAAGGAAAATATTTACAATTAATTGTGCATATAAATCAAGAGACCTTTTTGACCATCGCGTGTGCATCTTTGAGATAAACTTGTAAGACAAGATAACCTGACTAAACGAAGTTCAGTGAAATCGAAATCGCTGGCCAATTGACAGTGCCGCTTGTTTAACACATTTTTGAACACCGAACTCAATTTCCATTTGAATTCAAATACAAATTCAAATCCAAAGTGTAATTTCAATTTCCATTTCGAGTGGACAATATTCAATTGGAATTGCAATTGCAATTCATGGCACGGCAAGTAGTTTGAGTGAGTATCGCGCCGCGATTGCGCAATTACAATTACTAAGCGCCATGCCTTGGACTCCATCCATGTCTCCCTCTTAGCGCTTAAGTATCTATTCAATTCCAATTTACTATATGCTATATGCACTCGTTCGCATTTAGTTGACAGTGATTAATCTCAACATTTGAATGCGAAATCATGCTAAGCTCGCCAATTAATTTGTTCGCCTGGCGACGGCGACTCAATTATGCATGTTACACCAGGATTGCAATGAGTTTTTCGTGCAAAATGTTACACTTTATTCCACAAAATGCAGGCAAATCGATGGCTAATTGATTGGAAGAGTGGTGGGAATTTCATTAGAAATTAATAGTTATGCCAACGCAATTAGCACTAAACTATCCTTAATTGTTTTTATGAAATGTTTATTACTGGAACGGTTTATAAAATTTAATTAAAATTAAGTGAAAACATATGTAAGTGTGCATAATTAGGAATTTCATTAGGAATTAATATAAAATGCATGTTGTCAGAACTGACTAAGTGCCATGCTGCATTTTCTTCACATTAAGATAAATTTTAGGTAAATGGAATAACTTGCCAATTAAAATTTTTATTTTGTATGTTATTAAACTAAACGAGTTGATGGAATTTCATTTGAAGTTAGCTGACATGAAATTGATTTAAGAAAAAAAAAGGATTATTAAACCGGATTTTTTGATGTAACTCACATTAATTTATTAGTTTAAATGCTTAAATACATTTTACAAATGCCAAGAAATCTAAAAAAAGTGCGTCATAATTAAATAAACAAAAATTTAAATAACGTAAACCAAGAATAAAACATTCCACCAATAGTTAAAATAAAACTTTTCACTCCACTCAAATTTGTGGAATTTTTAGGGAAATTTCAAGTTTACATTCATACACATTGCTCTACTTATTGATTCTAGTTTTTAAGTAGCAAAGAATTAATTTAATTTAATTAAAATTCGCCATTGGACACATGAAGGTTGTCAGTTGCATTAAATTAAATACATGAAATGTCAAGAACTTAACGCTGCTGAAGTAGACGAACTTTCTGAAATCTCATTAGAAAAAGGAAGTAGTTGCTGGATAAAACACTCAATTAGTTCACCGACATTCTTTTGAGGATAATAATTATAGCTACAAAATGAGAAAGCAATTTTGTCAGCTACATTTTGACCCATTTCGAATTATCAAAAAGGTCCGCAAGCTGTACAAACAAATGTACTTCAACCTGAATAGACCTCAACTACAGCTGTGAGTTATCAAGTGCTAGCCAGACTGATGTGCATGAATAAACCAAGGCAAAGTCTCTTCAACTTGGCAGAAAATTAAATTTACCTCTGGATGTATAGTTGACAATTTGTTTCGAAAGTGGCGGTTACACTAACCAACAAGAAATGGTAAATGGGGAAAAAAGAGGAGGCGAAACCACTTGGCCACTTGTCTGAAACGCGGCTTCAATGGTGTTTGCCAATTAATAGCGAAATTGAGGCAAGATAAAGTTGAACAAGTGCACTTGTTGGAGGAGGAAAAACTAAAGTTATGTTGTCCTTAGCGAAGGCGGAAGTTGCCGAAATAGCGAGGCACAAAGGGCATATATACGTTCAATAGTAAATAGAAAACTTTGCAGGCGAAAAAAGAAAGGGAAACTATTCGCTGGAAAGTCAGTTATGAGCAGTCAGCACTCACATATCTATATGTACACATGAAGACAACTCTATTCCTGATTCACGACTCGAAATCAATCTCCTTCTCCTCCCACAACCGAAAGTCATGTATCTTTGTGGGGATATACTATAGGATATATATATGTGGGTCAGCGGTGTTGATTGTGATTGATCTGCGTTTAATGCCATTTTGTTGTTAGACGGAAGCGTAAAAATGGTCAGCAAGGAGCGATGATGTGGCACAAATCTCTGCCAGAGGGTCCTTCCCCCTTCCACCACTTGAAGGGGGAGAAGTTTTCTGAATTGAGCTAGAGGACAGGGCCAGTCATCCGAGCTACACATGCTCGACATATTTATGAAGTTGTTGACTTGGCCGTGGCCAAGCGTTGACATGCAATCCGGACAACATATGCGGGGTCTCCTTTTACACAATTTTACGAGCTTATAAGTTTTGGACTCTGGACCCAGGCTAATCATGTCCTTGTGTGGCATTAATAGGCCCGGAAAATGCGCATAAATAAGACTGCACATGGAAAATATTTTTATACCCTTGCAGAGGGTATTATGATTTCAGTCAGAAGTTTGCAACGCAGTGAAGGAGACGTCTCCGACCCCATAAAGTATATATATTCTTGGTCAGCATAGAAGACGAGTCGATCTAGCCATGTCCGTTTGTCCGTCTGTCCGTCCGTCTGTCCGTCTGTCCGTTTTTTTTTTTTTCTCTCTTTCTTCTTTTTTTTTTTTTTTTTTTACGCAAACTAGTCTCTGAGTTTTTGAGCTATCGGGACGAGATTTCGAAAAGTCTTCTTTTATTGCAGGTAGTATATATGTCGGAGCCGACCGGATCGGACAACTATATCTTATAGCTCCCTAGGAAGGATCGGAAGAAAAGCTTTAAAAATTCTAGCTTCGGTTTTTTGAAATATTACCTTCTACTTTTGGGGGTGTTTTTTTTAATATTTCTGAATTTAATTATTATTTAAAAATCGACTACTTTTTATAGCTGCCATAGGAACGATCGGAAAATTAATGGAAAAGTAATAGGAAACATTCTAGTTCTTTGGTTTTTATTGTATTATTTTCTTAGGATATAACTCTTTTAAATATTTCCGAATTTCAATTTTAATTTGATCAAAATCGGAAAAAAAAATATTATAATTCCCTTAGGAAAAATAGGAAATTAATGAGAAATATTAGAAAATTGAACTTTTTTTTAATAAAAAGGAAAAAAAAAAAAAAACCTAAAATTTTTAATAGCTTTAGATTTATAAAGAAAATTTAAATACTTTCACAAATTTAAATTAATTTTGGGTTTTATTTTCTGTATTAAGGAAAAATATTATTTCAAAGATATAAAATATTTAAATTGCTAATAAACATTTTCACTTCATAAAAATATTAAAAATCTCTTTAAAAGGTAGTACCCTTTTTTTCTGTGTAAACACGTCTTAGATAAAGCTTCAAAACTCTCCTGTATTTGGCAACTCCTTGCAAGACGTTGTGTAAATTGAACCAGAAATCCCCTTTCAGCTCCCAAACGACCATATTCACTTGCATCCCAACCCATTCACGTCAAAAACATTAGGATCCCCGCTCAAGACAGCTAGCCCAGATGTATGCAATGGAAGTGCCAGCCATATCACGTATGAGCGCTATTTGCCCAGTCCAGTCCTCAAACATTGAACATTCTACATTCAACAGCCAACACCATACCATCCCCATCCCCATCCCCATCCCCATCCCCAAGATACATATTTGCACAGAGATACGTGCGTGTAAAATTGCAAATCGCATTTGTAGCTTTGGTTTGTTTCAATTTCCAGCGACTGACATTTTTGATGCATTGATTATGATATTCTCGGTTTTATATTTGCACTTTAGCAGCTGCTTATGCATACTTCATAAATCAACACGAAGTGAAGAAGGGTGGCTTTTTATTCGCCATAAAAAAGATGTAATAAAAATGTTTTAGAAAAATTATAAAAGCTTTGAAAACATTTTTATTTAGCATACAAATGATCTTGATTTTTATTAAAGTCAAGAACTCTCTACTCAACGAAAACATAGGTTTTTTCAATCTATAGGCACACACCGAACTATAAACCTTAAAAAAGGCCAAAAATTTTCCATTCGTCACGTTCTTATCGAGGAAGAAAATCCCCCAATTTATTTGTATACATTTACCATTGAACTCCAGGCTAATCGCAACTTTATGTGTGTCAAAGACATAAAAGAGGAGCCTGGAAAAAAAATTGAAACTTCACCATTGATTTGTTGACTTTTCGGGGTTACTTTGCACTCCACAAATTTTACATGCCGATATCGATGGTTCGAAATAAAAGAGGGAGAAGCTCTGACATGGGATGGGTCGCCAATAACAGGAAGTTGTCTATTATACGCCCACGTTTTCTCGGAAAAACTCACACACACACAGATGATTGCAGTAAAGATACGCCGACAGACTGTCTATCACTTTTTGCCGAGTTTTTTCCATTTCCATTTCCACCCCCCTCCACCCAATTTATTTTCGTATGCTGCATTGCTCTGCCGGAAACTTCCGCCCAAAGTTTATCATCTCCAGCTGAATGTGCCACTGATTTGTTGCCACTCTAATATGCCTAATTGAATCTTTTACATTCTGTTTCGTTGTTCTGCTCACCCGAATGCAAATAAATGTAGCTAATTTATTTATTCAAGTTAAATCGTTTGAGAAATTGGGTCACAATGCCTGGGCCCAAAGTTCGTTAGAGGGAATGATTAACATTCTTTTAAATGTAGCACAATTGAATGTTTCCTTTTTTGGGGAAAATCAGCAGAAAATGGCAATATTCTGGGCTAAAAGTTTCCAACAAAATTGCCAAACAAAAAACATGTGTCTATGTTAATTGCTAATGGCTTTTTGTAACAAAAGCCAACATTTAAATACTAATTGCCGGATTAGGACAGCATTTTTACTTGTTATGGAATCGCCACATGGCATTCAACAAAATACTTAAGTCCTAATCCGAATTTAATAAAATATACCAAAAAAATAATTTGCGCAACTCACATTCAATTTGTTGAAGCTGCCATTATTTGTCAACTTAATGTGCCTACGTTTTGACTCTGGGGAGATTTCAATTTAAGCTGAAAAAAAGATCTGATTTATTGCGGCAAATTCCTCTGCAATAAAAGGACAAAAAATAAAAGCAAATGTCTTAAAACACGGAGGCTGCAAAAAAAGTTCGGAAAGCACAATGAAGACCACCGCAAATGTGTGGCTGCTGTGCCAGCTGTCAATGATTTGTTTCAACAATTTCGCCTGCCGAGTGTCTCGTTAAACGCACA